CCCCCCCCGCTCGCGAAGGCCGAGACAACAAACGATGATGAAGCCAGCCCATCGCTGCCAACTTCGGGGGGGTCATCCGCTCGCCGCCTCATGCGTACTATAAGAAACCAGCACGGTAGGCAGACCGTCTTTTCTTTCCTTTTCCTTTCCCCTTCCCTCCCCACCCTTCATCCTCCCCTCTCAACCCGCCTACCTACCTCAGGCAAACCCACATTCCCGCCCCCGCTCCCACAAAGCCATTCCCTCCCTTCCACCTCTCTCCAGCCATGCCTCCCCTCCTCCTCCTTCCCTCCCTCCTCCTCCTCCCCCTCCTCCTCCTCCTCCTCCTCCCCCCCTCCACCACCGCCATCCCCTACAACACCTTCGACGGCCCCGGCCACCCCGCCTGCACCAACGTCTCGCGCATCGTCAACGCCACCTCCGTCCCGGACCTCATCTCGCTCGTGCGCGGCGCCGCCGCCTCGGGCACGCCCGTCCGCGCCTCCGGCAAAGGCCACATGTGGTACGACACCATGTGCGCCGACGACCCGTCCACGCTGATCATCCGCACCGAATTCGTCAACGGGATCAGCGAGTTCGACCTGCCCGAGGGCGCCGCGAATGGATCCGTGCTGATCGAGGCGGGCGTGACGTTTTTCCAGTTGGCGGAGTATCTGCACGAGAGGGGCGCGACGGTCGGGTATGCGCTTGTGAATTGGAACATTACGCTGGCGGGGAGCGTGGCGATGGGGGCGCATCGGAGCAGTTTGAGGGAGGAGTCGATGGTGGCGGCGGCGGTGGAGGAGGTGCACGTGGTGGATGGGAGGGGGGAGCTGCGGGTGGTGGAGAGGGGGGATGGGAGCGGTGAGGAGTGGGTGGCGGCGAGTACGAGTTTGGGGCTGTTGGGCGTGATTGCCAGGATGAGGGTCAGGGTCTATCCGGACTTCAAGGTGTATGCGAGGCAGGAGACGTGAGTGGGGTTCCCCGGGGAGTTTTTTTGGGGGGTTTTCTTTTTGTTGGCGGGGTGCTGACGGTTTTCGTGTGCGTGCGTTTAGGTTGCTTGAGGACGAGGTTTTGGATGGGGATATATATGGCATGATCAGCCCGTATGCTACGGCGAACTTTTGGGTAGGTTCTGCTCCTCTCTCTCTGTGGCGTTTCGGTTTGGTCAGAGCTCACACGGCGGCCTTCACCAGTGGTGGCCTTTCCTGCGCAAGTTCCACTATCGCTACTACGACGAGGTGCCGGCAAACATGTCAGACCAGGAGGGATTCCAGTCGACCTTCTCCGTCACCAAAGCCGAAGCGGACACGGCGGCGGCGCTGCTCAACTCGGGCAAGTACCTGGCGTCGTCCAACATCGCGGCGGAGACGCTCTTCTTCTCGCTGTGGTCGCCGCCCAACTTCCACGAGAAGACGACGGACACGGCGATCCTGTCGTGGCCGGTGTACGGGTGGAACTACGACGTGCTCATCGGCGGGCTGTACCCGGGCTACGGCACCGAGTGGGACTACGGCCTGCGCGGGCTGACGCTGGAGCTGGCGTTCCCCGTCACGCAGGCGAACGCGGTGCTGAAGCGGGTGCGCAAGGCCTTCGACGACGAGGCGGCCAAGGGCATCGTCATGACCAGCACGTACCGCAGCGGCATCAACATCAAGTTCGGCAAGCCCTACTTCGACCTCCTGGGCCAGGTCACGTACGGCACGGCCGACGGCGCCGACTGGACCAAGGGCGCCATCATGTTCGATTTCCCGAGCTTCAAGCCGACGGTCGGAGACGGGTTGCGGTTCAATGAGCCGTTCTGTAGGTTGCGTCCTCGCCGGTGGAGAGCGAGAGCGTACGGCTGATGGCGAGCAGATCACACGCTGGCGACCACCCTGATCGACGAGTTTCCGTGCCGGCCGCACTGGACCAAGAACACGCGCGATGTGTTCAAACAGGCAGTCAAGAACCTCGATCCAGACCATCTGGCGCGCTTCAAGGCGGTGCGCGAGGACTTTGACCCGAACGGCATTTTCAAGAGCGTTGTTGGCGAGATCATCGGCGTGTCGTAGGACGGCCGACTTGAGGGTTAGGTAGGAGCTCGGTGTCTGGCGGGGTGCGGGAGAGCGAACTCAAGGAGCGGAAGGCGTCCGATGGGGGCCGACTCTAGCGCTCGGCCAACCACTCGCGGTGCTCACCGTACGTGATGTATGAATTTTATTTCTTGTATTGAATGGACGCTTAATGGGATATTCTTCTCTCGTAATCAAGGCCATTGCCTCTGCTGGCTTTGCATCTTAGAACTCCTTCCTCGTCCACATGGACTGAGTGTAGCACCACCCCTTCATGCCCACGACACCCCATTCCATTCCGAAGCCGCTCCACTTGTGGCCTCCAAACGGCACGTTCGGCGCCAGCTCAAAGTGCGTGTTGACCCACACGCTCCCCGCCTCGAGCTTCTTGGCCATCCGGCCCGCGCGGTCGAGGTCCCTGCTCCAAACACTGGCGCCCAAGCCCATCTTGGTGTCGTTGGCGCGCCTGACGACGTCGGCCTCGTCGCGCCACTTGAGCAGCGGCACGATGGGGCCAAAGGGCTCCTCGACGACGATGCGGCTGTCGTCGGGCGGGTTGTCGATGATGGCGGGGTGGACAAAGTAGCCCTTGGCGGTGCTGCTGTTCCGCTCGTGCACGGCGCCGCCCAGCGCCGCGTTCCACCCCTGCTTCGCGATCTCGGCGTACATGTCCTTGACCTTCTCGTACTGCATGCTGTTCTGGATGGGGCCGACCAGCACGTCGGGATCCGACGCGGGGCCCGTCTTGACGTTCTTGGCGGTGAAGTCGACGAGGGCGGCGCGGAAGCGGTCGTAGATGTTTTCGTGCACGTAGATGCGCTTGATGTCCATGCAGATCTGGCCCGAGTTGAGGAAGGCGAAGGTGCCGATCTTTGCGGGGCGGTTGGTTGACGTCAGTGGACAGACAGGGGGAGGGTTGGGAGTGGACGGGTGCGTGCCGTACCTTGGGAACGACCTTGTCGAGATCGACGTCGTCGCAGATGATGGCCGGGTCGTTGCCGCCGAGCTCGAGGGTGACGCGCTTGAGGGAGCGGCTGCAGCTCTCCATGACCTTCTTGCCGGTGAAGGTGGAGCCGGTGAAGCTGACCTTGTCGACGCCCGGGTGGTCGGTGAGCATGGGGCCCAGGTCGTCGCCGCCGCTGACGACCTGCAGCACGCCCGGCGGCAGGATGCGGGCGGCCAGCTCGCCCAGCTTGAGGCCGCTGTAGGGCGTGAAGGGCGACGGCTTCCAGATGAAGGTGTTGCCGGTCAGCAGCGCGGAGCCCACCTTGCCGACGCCCAGCAGCAGCGGCCAGTTCCACGGCACGATGCCGCAGCCCACCCCGAGCGGGATGTGCCGCACCACCACCGTGCGCTCCTCCGTGTCCTCGATGACGTCCTCTGGGATCCGCAGCTTGCTGATCTCGCGGAGGTGCCCGACGCTCATGGCCACCTCGATGGCCGCCGTCTGCGCCGGCTTGCCCGATTCCTGGACGAGCAGGTCCTGGAAGGCTTGCGAGTTGGCCTCGAGGCCGTCCGCCAGCGCGACGAGGTGCTTTGCGCGCTCGTCGTAGGAAAGGTCGCTCCAGCCGGGGAATGCTGCCCGGGCATGTTTGACAACTTCCTCTACGTCCGCCTTGGTGGCCACGGGCACTTCGGCGAGCGCCTCTTCCGTGCTGGGATTGATTGCATGTCTCGTCTTTGCCGTAGACGTCAATTCGTTGTTGATGACGTTGCTGAAAGTCTGGGGGAAGCGTCAACGGATAGTACAGGCGTTGAGCTCAGGCACCATGTTACCGTAAAGTCGATTTTATAATCAACAGTCATCGTGGGCGCGTGGTTATGCGTGCTTCACAAAGGTGGGAGAGGAAGAGTGCAGGATGGACCCTGTCCCGGAGCGGCTGCTTTATAACGGAGCTTGCGTATCAAAATATTGGTGGATCTGCCGCTTTTGGATCCGATTATTCAAAGCACACCTCGGAGGTGGGCAAGCACGGTGCAGCGCGCTGCCACGCGTGCCGACGAAGGATTCCAGCGGGGCGGGGCTCTATGCGGGGCCCCTCAGGGTGCTAAGCCTGTAGTTTACGCCCTACCAGCACATCATCATTAGCCGCCTTTGTGCACCCATCCGACGGCTACAGATCCGAATTGCCTCGATCCGACACCGAGAGAGCCAAGGCCTTTAGCGCGGGCCGGCGCGTGGTTGGAGTACTGTAGCTGGGATGAGCAGCCTCGTATCAGCCATTACTCATAAGGGGCTATCTGCTGCAAGTAATCGCACAAAAAGCGGGCAAGGATTTCAAGCCGACCCACCGTGAAGAGTTGCAATTGGGCGAGAGAGAGGCTGTCGTACGATTGATAAGGCTGTTGTCAGAAGGCTGAGAGTACGCTTCGTAAGACTACAGCGTTGCACCGGTGGGGCATTATTGATACATGGCATGCACAAGGGATCATTGGTATGAGTGGATGGACCTAGGGTTGACAAAGGCGGTGAAACGGAGGGATGGATGCGAGCATGCGAGCCCTGCAGCGGGCGCCCCCATTTGTCGCGCCGCGAAGATCGTTCCCGACGACATGCGCCCAGCTTACATTCAGATTCTCCATGTTGGATTTCCTTGATTTCCACCATCGACGTGGATGAACTCTTCTGCTCTACTGTGCCACCCATTTCCAGCCGGTCTGTCAGCCCCGCTTCGCATCAGGCTCCCCAAGATCAACGAGCCCTTCCCTCGGCGGCACAAACTGTCTCAACGTAACCCCGCCCTCTTCGAAGATCTTCGCCGAGTCGACGTCCATGCTGTACGTCTGACTGTACACGACCTCAGAGATGCCGACCTGCGTGATCTTGATGCTGCACGTCAGGCAGGGGCAAGTGTCGCAGTACAAGATGCTGCCCTCGCGAATGCGCTCGCGGCCCGCCTCGAGCAGCGCGTTCTCCTCGGCGTGCAGGCAGAAGCACGTGGCCAGCGATGAGCCACCGGGCGTGGCCGCGTTGCAGCGCGGGCAGCCGCCCTCGTTGCAGTTGCGCATCTTGCGCGGCGTGCCGTTGTAGCCCGTGCTGACAACCCGCCGCTCGCGCACCAGCACGCATCCAACCCGCCGCTTCATGCAGTTGCTACGCTGCGCCGCTAGCGACGCCAGCTGCATGAAGTACTGGTCCCACGCCGGCCGCAGCCGGGACTCGTTGGGGAGGTCGAGCGCAGCGAGGGCAGCGTGGAGGGAGGACAGGGACGGGCTGCTGTTGAGGAGGCGGAGCTGGGCGCGCTGGAGGAGCGAGGCAAGGCGTGTGGGCGGGGAATAAAGGTGGGAATCGTTGCGGAGGACGAAGGACGAGAGGTCGGGGGCTTCGAGGGAGGAGGCGGCGCAACTGGACAGAGTCAGACGCACGCCGCTTCATCTCGTGAACGATCCAAAGGCTTACCGTGCCTTGAGGCGCTCCCAACGGAGAGTTACGGGAGCATCCACGCTCACCAGAAGGAAGAAGGGGCGGCGTAACAAGACATCGACGATCTCTTCATCCCAAATGTCCGTAGTGACCCAGCGGTCCTGCCATTTTTTGGTGACGAAGTCAATCAGGCTCTGGACGTCTTGAAAGCAAGGCTCGTTGTTCTCGTTTGGGGGTGTGTCAAGTGGCACGTGGGCGTCGGAGGCCGACTTCTCAACCGCGGGCGTAGAAGCAGTGCGAGCTAGTCTGATGCGCTTGAAATTGTGCTCCTCTACTAAGTAGGACGCTATGGACGATTTGCCCGAGCAGATACCTGAGTGCGCGTCAGGATTGCTGCTCATTATTCTGCAGGGGATCATGGTGGATTGACGCGGGAGAAGCGCCACAACAAGACGCGTTGGACGCGTCTGATGCTTCTCCCGGCTTCAGGAAAGCCATGAAGAGCGGATAGACGCGTGACCCTCACGCTGATCACGTTTCCTCCATCACAGACCGCTTTGGGAGGATCGACAGGAAGGAATAGGAACGGCAGGGTAGCACCACGAGAGGCTTGGATAGATGGGGACCGTGTCGGAGGAAGCGTGACATACCACCACAGATACCGATGAGCATGTTGGGCGAGGGCGGACAGAGCGACTAAGCAAAGATTACGGGGGTCGACCAGAGTCCGTTCTGGCGAGCTTGAGGCGCCGCGTCACAAGCGTTGGGTCAAGCGAAGGACCCTGTGCACGGACCCCCAACCCCTCCACGCCTTACATCATCCTCCCACGCCAACCAATGCCCGCCATCCATCCGCGTGCCTGACCACCCAGCAACGCCGCTTTCCGAGACAGTCAGCCCGCTTGACGCAGGCACATGCCCACGCGCGAGATCCTGACCAGGCGCTGACGCATCGCTCCGCTCTGCACTACTTCGTGCGCCAGCCTCGAGCTCTGTGCAGCTCTCACTGCCCCACAACAACCGTTATCCATCATGGCTACCGTTCAGTATGCGCCGTGGTCCTCGGACATCGAGCTGGCTTTCTACGCCGCATTGGCCTCGCTGAAGATCAACCACGACAAGCTCGACGACAGCGCCCGCAAGATCTTGGGTCTGTACGAAATCAGGCCGACCGACGCGCCGGAGCGCTCGTCGCGCATGCAGATCCTTGGCTCGGCTCTCACCACTGATGAGTGAGTACACCCTGCTCTGCACCTTGCCTCACCTTGCCTCACCTACTGACCCCGCTCCCTTGCGCAGAGCCCCTGCCGGCTACTATCGCGCCGAGGGCATCCTTAAAAACGTCAACACCATCGAAGCCTACAAGAACCTCGACCGCGCCCATGCCATCGAACGCGCCGGCCACATCGTAAGTCCGCACCGCTCCAGACTCGGAGAGGATAAGACTATTGAGCCTCTTCTCAGATCTGGGACGCCATCAACGACGGCACCATCTACTCGTGCCCGTCTCTGCTCGCCTCCTTCTCTGCCATCTCTTTCGCCGACTTGAAGAAGTACAAGTTCACTTACCACTTCGCCTTCCCTGCGATCCACTCTGACCCGCCGTGGAAGTCCTCTGGCTCGGTTCCCAAGCTTAGTCCGGCTGAAACAACAGGTCTGGTGGATGCGGTCCAAACCTGGCGATATGGCGTGGACTCGCGCCAGCACGGTTTCTTTCTTGCTAAGAAGCTGAAGCATGTTCCGGGTCAGCATGAGAATGATGAGGATGGACGGCCCAAGACACCGCAGACTCCGGGAATGATGGAAGAGTATGGCTACACGTGGCATGTCGGATCGCTTGCGGCCTATGAGCAGGGCTTCTTCAACAACGCAGACTTGGAGGACCGCTTCGTCTGCTTTGCCGACCCTTCGACGTACGAAAACAACCCTGGATGGATGCTGCGCAACTTGCTCGTCCTGATCCGTCAGCGATGGCGACTCAACGATGTCCAGATCCTCTGCTACAGGGATACCCACCGAACGCGCGACACGTCCAAGAGCATCATCATCAACCTGAAATCGCCGCAGCCAGCCGGCATCGCGGTAGATACTTCCCTCGAGACATCCACTGACAGCATTTCGTCTCGCCCAAAGACTCCGAAGATGCCCAAGGTCACGGGATGGGAACGCAACGAGGCAGGAAAGTTGACAAGCCGACTTGTCGACCTCTCAGCGTACATGGACCCTACACGTCTTGCAGACCAAGCCGTGGATCTTAACCTGAAGCTCATCAAGTGGCGTATAGCGCCAGGCATTGATTTGGATGTTGTCAAGAATACCAAGTGCTTGCTCCTGGGCGCCGGAACGTTAGGCTCTTACGTTTCTCGCAATCTGATGGGTTGGGGAGTGCGCAAGATTACCTTCGTGGACAACGCCACCGTCAGCTTCTCGAATCCTGTGCGGCAACCGCTCTTCGACTTCAAGGACTGTCTCGAAGGCGGCGCAAAGAAAGCCTGGCGGGCTGCGGAAACATTGCAGGAGATCTACCCTGGCGTCGACGCTGTCGGCCACGTCATGTCTGTCCCGATGGCTGGCCACCCGATCCTGGATGAGAAGAAGACGAAGGAAGAGTTTGAGACTCTGAAGAAGTTGATCGATGACCACGATGCCATATTCCTTCTTCTCGATACGCGCGAGAGTAGATGGCTCCCAACCCTGATGGGCAAGGCTGCTGGAAAGATTGTGATGAATGCGGCACTTGGATTCGACACGTTTGTGGTCATGAGGCACGGATTGAAGCCTGGCGGGCCTGGCGAGGAGGAAATGGGGTGTTATTTCTGCAATGACGTGGTCGCTCCGGCCGATGTAAGTTCTGAGTCACTTCTGTCGTGGTTGATCAAAGCTCGGACTAACCAAACCCCACAACACAGTCACTCAAGGACGCCACGCTCGACCAGCAGTGTACAGTCACACGGCCCGGCATCGCGCCGATCGCCTCGGCGATGCTCGTCGAGCTCCTCGTCAGCATCCTCCAGCATCCCCTGCGCGCCCATGCCCCCGCACCGACCACCAACTCCTCGACCGACAACGACCCGAAGGCTGCCGCTTCGTCGTCGGCCAAGCCGGCCTTCGACCACCCCCTGGGACTCGTCCCTCACCAGATCCGCGGCTTCCTCTCGTCCTTTAGCAACCTGGCCATCCGTGGTCAGCCGTACGATTGCTGCAGCGCCTGCAGCGACCGCATCGTCGAGCGCTACCGCAACGAGGGTTGGGACTTCGTCAAGCGCGCGCTAAACGAAAAGGGCTGGGTCGAAGAGGTGAGCGGCTTGAAAGAAGTCCAGCGCAGGGCCGAAGAGATGGCCGAGGAAGTCGAGTGGGATGAGGATGACGATGAAGACAATGGCAGCGGCGAGGGTGAGTTGCTTTGAAGTCTTGACAGAATTATCCGCATGATGGATCGATGGCGAACCGGGTGATTGGTTGGACTAGCTGAGCGCTTCTCTGGTTGGATGAATGGTTAAGCAGGTAAGCCGGGCATGGTGGTCACGATTTGTACGGGGGACTGGCGCAAATGGGAGTTTCGGCTCGAAGGATAAGAGTGGCGGGCGGCGGTTTAGATGGGTTGCTTCTGAGCTTTTTCTTTTTTCCTTTTTGCTTATAATGAAGACGGCTGGTGCTATTTTGCGGGCAACTGCGTCGATTTCTTTTTGTTGTAGAGCTTTCCTTTTATTCCTCGTCAGCATCAGGTAACCATTTGCCTCTTGAAGTCTTCCATTTTAGCATCAGGATGGCGCTTGTGGCGAATGGTCGTCAGTGATGGATAATCATGCTTGTTTCCCATACGCTTCCATGAGCTTGACGATTCGTTGTAACAAGAATGTTTGACGACCCGACCAGAGCGCATTGTCCAAAGTCGAAACAAGCTTCGAATAAACAGCAACGGTTCAACTAGTCAGTTTGGTTATACGATGAATTACCACCGAGCATCGCGGCTTCCCGTTTGCAATGCGATGACGCGACTGACTACTGATCTGCAAGTACTTATAACAACTACATGAACCAGGCGGTCGTGCATCGCGGCTTCAAGCTGTCGGCTTGTTTCCCACTCACTCTGATCAGAATGTGCGTCGAAAAGTCTGGAATTCGAAGCACGAAACTCCTAGTGTAGTTATCCGCCTCTGGACTTGGTATCGGAAGCAAAATTACAGCACCAACCATACTTTTTCTGGTGGTAGCTCGTGTCAAACCACTGTGTGGATCAACTTCGTACCTATTGATCTTGCCCCGCCTTCATCATCAACGCCCGGTGCTGCGCCGCGTCACGAAGATAGAACGGCGAAACTCATTGACAAGGGGAAAGTATTGATCAGCACGTATAGATGAAACTGACGAGAATCGTTATTTTGTTCCGCTGACTCCAAGTTGGGGTAAAGTATAGTAGCAGCGGTTGTACTATCAGAACAGCAGCTACTACCGGAAGAGTGCAAAAGACTTCACCAAACTGGAGAAGACAAGTGCACTTTACGATGTCGCTAAGCCAGTAACCCTCCTATCCAAACCGTCATCGTTGTCTCCAGGAAAAAAAAAATCCACGGACGCCAAATCGAACAGCTTTTATACATACATCAGCCTCCCACAATCAGCCGATCAACCAACCACCAGACACAACAACACCCACCGCATCACAAGCGCACCAACACCACCCCCCACATCCACCACCACCCCATGCCCACCTAAGCGTACGTCACCCCCGTCCCGTCCCCGTCCCCACCAACCAGCCGAGTCGCGTGCGGCTGCGCACCTGCACCACATACACATCACCTAGGCACGGCAGCCGATCACGACAATTAGATTTAGCCAGCTCACCCGACTGGCTGGCTGGCCGACCGTACTATGTACTGATCCGCCCAGCCCGGCCGGCCGGCACGCGGCACACGGCACGCGGCGCAAAGGAAAGAAAAGCTTAGCCCACGTGGTGATTGGTCGATCGGTCGCCACCCGCGCGGGCGGGCGGGCGAGGGGGCAACTCCAAAGCCCGGAGCAGATCATCTGCTGCTGCTGCTGCTGGGTACCGGCGGGTGGGAAATAAATAAAAATAGGCCCAGGGAGGGGGGCGAGTGGTGGTGGTTGTCACTTCGCAGGTACGTGGACGGACGGACGGACGGTCAACCTGGCAACTGTGTCTTCGATGCGTCTGCGATTGCATGCAGTGCGTGACTGGCTGGCTCGCTTGGGTGAGGTGATGTAGAGGAGAGACACGAATGCGCAACATGAGCGCGAGTTTTTGCCTCTCCCCGGGATTGCGGGAATCTGATTTGCTGCGTTTCCGTATTTACGTTCGTTGCTGACAAGCAGCATCACTACCTGTTAATGGCTGTGGCCGGAGTCCTTCCCTTCATGCTTTATGGAAGTTGCGTATCGCCGTTCAACATGTCAAGTGAATTACTGCCAAAAAAGGTAGCATTCTGCCCAAATGGTTTGAGTCATGGCTGTCAAAAGTTCTGACTTTTCTCCGTAGCCACTTCATTATCATGCCAATTTATGTTTGATATCAGTCTACGAGCCCATAGAACGAGACAGGTGTCTCCCCAATGGTGCAACCATTCAAATAGTGTGCTCGGCTTTCTCGTGCAGCACCTCAGTCTTCTCTGCATGGCCGGTCGAGCCCCCCCGGACCAGATCCTCGAGGCCGACCTCGCGGTTGACCTCCTTCATGCGTTCCTTGTCCGCTTCCGCAGTGCCCTGGCTGCCGAACAAGATGTCCATCTCCTCGAGCGTCAGGTTCTTGGTTTCGGGTACGTAGAGCCAGATGCTGCGCGAGTGTTAGCTGAGTTCTTTATTATCTTCGTGAGCATATGCCTAAGGACTTACAAAGCGGCGCCACCAAAAGTCAGGAGGCCGAAGAAGATATAAGTGCCGTACGTCATGCCGGTGAGCATATCAGGCGTGACTTGACCGACGATGAAGTTGTTCATCCACTTTTAAAGCTGTCAGTTGCGGGCATCTGTTTCGTAAAAGAAAGGAGGAAGAGCATACGTTCGAACTAGCGCCCAGCGCAATACCGTATGGACGGTTCGAAAGAGGCCAAACCTCGGAAATGATGATCCATGCACAAGGACCCCACGAGTATCCGAAATGGACGACGAAGAGCCATACCATGACAACGGCGGCCCAGCCCGCTGCTTGGTGAGTTTCCCATTGGTCTTGATTCTTCGCGACGATGACGGCCTGGAAGGTGTTAGTCTATGAGCAGGCTCCGTTGTTTGGATGAAAGACCGACAATTATGATGTGGCACGTCGCCATGCCCAAAGCTCCGACAATGAGGACAGGTTTGCGCCCAAGCTTATCAACGTACATGACCGCGGGGATGGTGGCAATAAACATTACAATGCCAACAACACCGGTAGCCAGCAGCGAAACAGTGGTGGACGACTGGCCAAGCTTTTTGAAGATCTGAGGGGCATAGTAGAGAATTGCGTTGATACCTATGGCGACCTGTGTCAATAGTGTGATATCTCAATGTTTTGCTAGAAGAGAACGCACCAGTCCACTGCTGGAAGAACATAGTCACAGTAGCGACTATCACACGTCGAAACATGGGCATGGTTTTGAAGAGAGAGCCGATAGCGACCCATTGACTGCTTCTGTCAGCTCCACGGCCTGAGGATAGGATACGAGCGTGCTTACAGCTTGAAGATGTTCCACGGCGTGGGCTCTACCAGGTGAGGGAACTTCTCTGCCAGGGTCTTCTTTTCGAATAGTGACTGCGCCCGGATTTCTGCGTACTCGAGCTCGATAAGCTCGTGGTCCTGCGAAAGACTACGCAATCCGGCCAGAACAGAGCGAGCCTCGGCTTCTCGGCCATGGTGGATGAGCCAACGCGGAGAGAATGGCATGAAAAGCATGCCAAAGCCAAGGATCACAGCAGGAACGAGCTGCAGGGAAAGCGGCAGCAGCCATGCAGTGGTATGCTGACCATCGCCGGTACCGCCAATGAAGTTGCATCCGTAGTCAATCCAGAAGGAGATCATGATGCCGAGGGTAATGGACAGCTGTTGCAGACCGACAAGGGCACCACGAACTTCAGGAGGTGCGATCTCGGCGTTGTACATGGGCACAATCATCGATAAGGAACCCACGCCGATTCCGGTAATGAAACGGCCTGCGAGGATGCAGTGTTGTGCGCCTCCGGCCGCAGCGGTGGTTTGTATGATGACGCCGACGATGAAAACGGAAACGTTGATCAAGATGGCATATTTCCGGGAGAGGATCTCGGCAAGGAAACTGCTGTAGAGAGCGCCGAACCAAGCGCCAAGCTCAAGGATGCTGGTGAGCCAACCCATTCGCGTGGAATTGTCGTCGCCGGTCCAGTCAGGCAATGCTTACGAAGCGTCAGTTCGAAGTACGAGAGATCCCCAGCCGAAAATCAAGCTTACCTCTATCAAACGAGTTCATGGTCAGGACGCCACTAAATACACCCTGGTTGTAACCGTAAAGAAGGCCTCCAAGGCAGGCAAAACAGGCAATCCCAAAGACCTTGATGTTCTTCACCAGTGCGAGAGGCCCAGCAGAGCCAGTCAGTTCCTGGCGACGGGCCAGGGCGGCCGAGTCGAACTGCGAGGCAGAGCCACCGCCAACAGCCATGATGGTAGCGGTGCGCGCGACGGTGGGTGGAGATTCAAGAGGAGTCAGTCGCGGCGCGAGCACAAGCAAAAGTCCGGCAGAGCTGGCCCGGCGGCTGGGGTCTGCGTCTGACACGCATTTTATACATGGGCGCGGTTCCGAGCCCCATCTCCGGGGTCGCAGAGGTGCAGACGGGTTGGATGCGCAAGCCGGTCGAGTTCACGTGGCGGATAAAGTGGCCGGGTAAAATGGAGGGTAAGCTTGAGGAGAGTTTAGACGGGACGACGGGCTCGCGGCGCGAATGGAACGCGCGACCGAAGCGTCGAGGGTCGTGATTTGCTGAAGCTGACACCGGAGGCTGATGCGGGGCTGTAGGCTTTTGCCGGAATCCTGCACTGGATCGGCGGGCGCGCTGAGTCGTGAGGTGTTGTGTTGTCGGCGACGAGGACGCTATCGCCGAGGGAGCCCGCCCGTTTCCCCGCGGGAAGGAACAACCCCAGCTGATTCCGAAAGAGGAAACCACCAACGTCGGCGAGCGCTGTTCGGACGCATCAAACCACAACGCGGCCGACAGCGTGCGAAATACTGCGCGATTCCCGTAGTTAGCTGGGTCTGGTGTGGGAGGGACAGTGCGCTTCGGATTGGCTACAGTGATACACGGTTGAGCGCATCAAGTCCGAGCGACTGGGAAGCCATTATGGTGGATTTCGAGCAGGTCTTTCCGCTAGAATCACCGGCAGCTCACTCGATGGCTCAGATGCTCAGGTGAAGTCTTGGTGGGTGGCACGGCAACATGTGTTTTCTCAATTCACACCTGCATGCAAGCTTCACCTGCGGACTGCCATGGTACCAATATCACTTCCATGGAAGGCGCAATACCAATGGGAAATCACACGAATATGCTTTGTTGACTTTTGAATGAGCCACTGAAGCAATGTATGTGAGCTTATGTATGAACTCAGCCACCTCGTCGAACAAGCAACGGCCCGGTGGCTGGTCGGATATCCTGTCGTCAGGGCAAAACGAAGGCCATGCCGCCATGAGCCTTTCCAAGACGGGCCATGTCACTTTGAGAGTTCGAAAATGCATGTTGCAACCGTGCTGAGGCGCGTGCAAGAGTAGTCACCCAGAAAGTAGTCAGAAGACCCTGGGTGAGCGTAAAGACACTTCAAAAAATGACAAGCAAAACGCCCTTATGAAGCGCTCCATTTGCCCTAGCACTAACCGTGGCAGCTGCCTCGCTTAGCCCGCGCGCTCGCGTGACCGCGACAGCCCGCGGCATCTATAAAATCTGACCCAGGTGCCCCTCCACAACCTTTCTCTCCAACGCGGCAGCCAGATCTTAACGTAAGCTTCCAGCAGCTCCCAAATGCACTTGTTTTAATCCCGTCTAACACGTTTGGTTACCAGAACACACACATCCACACACCCACACATCCACAATGGCCGCCAACATCAGCCACAGACACTTCCGCGAGCTGGTCGCCGCCCGCCGCATCATCTTCGCGGACGACCGCGTCGCCCTGGTGGAGGCCCGTTTCGAAGACTCAAGGAACGAGCCGGACCGGAAGGTGTTCTGGACGGACGCCTCCGCCAGAGGCGACGGGTCGGTCGGCATCGCCGTCGTGTGGAGGAAGGACTTCGCCGAAGATCTGGCGCCGTTTGCCGCCGCGGGGGAGCAGGAGTGGACGGAGCGCTACCTCGTCAGTAGCAGCTGCACCGAGTCGAGCGAGGGGGAGAAAGAGGCCGTCTTCGCGGCCCTGGATGGGGCAGAGGCCATGTTCGCGCCGGGCGCCGTCGGCGACATCGTCGTCTACACCGACGCCGGCCTGGGGGCCTTTAAGAACCCGGGCACCAGCGGCGGCACCGTGTTGAACCGCCTCGGCGGCTTCGGGACCAGGGCGGCCATCCGCGCCGCAGAGCTCGCCGACAAGGGCTTCACGGTCGAGCTGAAGGCCTGCCCGGGCCACTGCGGCATCTTGGGCAACGAACTTGCCGACTTCTGGGCCAGGAGGGCCATCGGCTACGATCGCCCTACTTACAGCGACGGGTCGGATTGGCTGAGGGCCCATGCCGCAGTGGCCCAGCGCGAGGAGCGGAGGAGGGGTATGTCCCCCAGCCTTTCTTCCCCCGTTTGAGAACTTGATAACCGCGATTGCAGCCTTAGAAATCCAACACGAGCGCTGGAGGAGCCAGGAGTGGCTGGCTCGTTACAGAGTCAGCGGCAGCACCACCACCACCACCACCACCACCACCACCACCACCACTCCCATGGCGGCCGCCACCCCCGCCATCACTATAGTAGCCGCTCCCGCCCTTTCAGCCGAGGAGCAGCTCGAGGCCGATCTGGCCGAGCTCGAGGCCTTCATGGCCGAGAGTGAATGAATCAAGCAGCGGTGAGACCGCAGAGGAACGAGGAAAGCGGCTGGGCCGGCAAGAGGAGGACCACCAGCAAACGGCTCGCACTTCTACGCAGTGCTGGTGACTAGTAGCCCGGAGCTCTGTAGGCACCAGATGTCTGCAAGCCATCATGGGTGAAGCTAAGACGAGCCGAGGAAGATCTTATTTGGGGTGTGGGTTGATTGCGACATGACAGGTGAGTCGAGGCCTTGTCCATACATCGTATCATGTAGAGTTCAGTCACATGTATGTACATACATACCAATTGATGCTTCACCTACCCATCTGTGACTTGCAAGCTTTTATCATCCTCACGTGCATGAACCCTTCCGCTGAGCACGAGGCAGTGCGCGAGTCTCTGTAGTGAGAAGCAACGAGTCACCCGAAAGCAGCCTCAGTGAGAATGATGCGATTACTTTAACAGTCCGGGAGCAACACAAAAAGAAAAAGTGACCATGCTACTCTAACAGACTCTGCAGAACACTAGGCCCGTCGCCTCGGCCTCAACGCGTACCCTTTCGTGAGCGAAAAATCTCCAAGCGGTTCCGGACTCGGCGTCCAACTCCTAACAGTCCTTGGCTTCTCCCTCGCAGTCCTGACAGCCCTATCACCGGTAGGAACATTGAGCTTACCGGCCACATGGTTGCGTTTCGGCGTCGCAACTGCAGGCTCCGGTGCAGCCTCTGAGGAGATCGTAATCTCCACCGTCTTCTTGATACCGGCCGATGCTTTGGCCTTACCGTTCTGTTTGCTGGTTTTCCCCTTCTCCGGCTGGGCCACATACTCCTCAGCAATCGCCTCAGCGATCTCGTCCTCGAATCTCGTCCTCTTGTTAGGCCGGTACGTCGCGTCCGCATTCTTCCGCTTACTCTCCCTTTTCATCGCGCTCCTAATCGCCATGACGACACACTTCTCAAGCTCTTTATCGACCTCATCTTGGCTTACATCAACACCACCAGGCTTGAAGGCCAAACCCCCCAACGACGACACCCTCCACCTCCCCCTCCTCCCAGCCGACCCCTCCTTCTTCCACCCTCCCTTCTCCGCCTTCTGCTCCTCCCCCGCCGCCCTCCGATAACTCCCCCTCCTCACCCTCGGCAGCAGCAGCGGCTTCGTCGGCGTCGGCGTCGGCGCCTCCGCCACTCCCAACTGCCACTCCCGCATCCTCTCTCCCTCTTCATCATCATCATCATCATCCTCCTTCTCCCCCTCCTCGTCATCCTTTTCCTCAACCTCACCCTCACCCTCCTCCTCCTCTTTCCCTTCTTTCCTCCTCCTCCCCTCCTCCTCCTCACCCCCCAAAATCCCCTTCACCCACCACCGCCAAAACCGCCCCACGCTCCTTCCCTCCTCCTCACCGCCCTCCGCTTCCCTCCTCTCCTCCTCACCCGCGCCTCTCGACCCCACCGGACCACCACCAGGAAGCGGCGACGAGCGTGCCGCATCGGAATCGGTGGACTGGCGATGCAGAGGGGTGGCGGCGGTGGTGGTATCGAGGCGGGCGTGGGCGTCGTCGGCGTTGGGAATCGGATCATGTTGGGAGGGGGATGAGGGCGGCGGCTGTGACAGCGGTGACGGCGGTGACGGCTTGGAAGTGGGGAATGTTGCGGTCGAGTGGCTGCGCGGACGGCGGGCACGAGGCGTCAGTGGCGGCGGGTGTTGAAGGGAGCTCGGGTGGTGTGAGGGGTGGTGCCGACGATGACGACGATGAGGGTGATGTTGCCTTGTGTAGCTCTCGTCGAAGCTGTTGGTGCCGTCGCTCGACCGCGTCGAGTCTGGGAAGAGCTTCTTGTTGCTGCGGCGGCGGCCATGCGTGGGAAGAGGAGAAGGACGACCGGTGTGAGGGAGCGGCGGCGGCACCGCGCTCGCGGTCGTCGGCCTCGATACGGCTCGCCCCACGCCCGTGTTGTATGCGTCTGACAGCGCTTTCCAGACCTTGCCTCCGATTCCGGCCGCCTCGTTGCCTTCCTCGTCTGCAGAACCGCCAGGGGGAGAACCATCGCCGTCGAAGAGCGTTCCTCTGCCTCGCGCCCGCTGCAACCAACCATCACCACCGTGCGCCTCTATGTGCGCCTCAAACGCTTCTTGCGAAAGCTCCGCCAAATCCAGCCCACACGTCGGACAGTTATGCTGAAAGTCCATTTGCCGTAACGCCCGCTGCACCCCGGGATGCAGCAGCGCGTCCTGTGGCGCGCGACCTCTGAAGTGCTTCACGTAGTGCGCGGCGTACTCGGCCGGGCTGGTGATGTAGATGCCGCAGTCGACGCAGTCGGTGGGGTCGAATGGCGGGTCGTCGTCGCCCTCGTTATCTGTTGTCGACAAGACCGACGACGACACCGGTGCTTGGGGGCGGCCTTGGAACCATCCGGACAAGGTTTCGGTGAGGCTGCTGGGGATGCCGTTGCGAGCGCGGTGGAGGATGCCGCTTCCGTCCGTCGTGCTGCCAGCTGTCTGTCGCGTTGAAAAGTCCGTTAGCTAAAGTCCCACAGGAAGATGTATATATGGGAGGCGGATCAGGTGCACCACACTCACTTTCGGCACCGGAATCAAATACACGTCATGGCCCTCAACTCCCTCCAACCACTCGTCCATGATGTCGTCGAAATCCTGAGGCCTGACGTTCCGATCGACCCAAATGCAGTCGTCGTCCGGCCCCTCGGCACCGGCACACACCCTCAGCTCGATTTCGTCCTCCGGCCCCTCCAGCTGATCCCCCACCAGCTCGTCCGCGATGCGCCAGAAATCCCTATGCTGCGCACGGGCGCGCTCAGCACCGCCCCACGCCCTGCCAGACCATCTCCACACGCGGAACGGGCGCGACGCGTCGGGCAGCGTGACGGTGCCGTCGGGATCGAGCCGGCCGTCGTACAGCTTGATCTCGAGGTACGGGAAGCCGTCGGCCAGTCCGTCCCCGGCAGGAATCATCACCGCATCGGGACCGGCGCCGCTGCAAGCCGGACAGTCCGGAAGCTCGAATCTGACCTTCGACTGGCCCCCGCAGCGGCGATGCAGCGGTTCGGCAAAGCCGCGCCTCTGCGTACTGCCGCGGCGACTCCCCGCCGGCGGCGGCGGGTCGACCATCGTGTAGTCGCCGTCGGCATCGTGGAAGGATGATAGATTCTCGTTCATAGGCCCGGTGGCCTGCTGCGCGACGCTTCCACGCTGCTTCACAACGCCGTAGCCATAGCCCGCACTCTCTCGCAACGGGCCGCTCGAGGCGGCAGCTTTGTACCGGGAGGGGATGAACAGGCTGCTAGACTCGGTGCTGAGGTCACTCAAGGCACTAAGCCTCCGCCTGCCACCGCCGCCGCCGCCGCCGCTACCGCCCAGCGGCCGCTCGTAGCCGCTGCCCTCGTTCCAGAAACCAACACCGTCGTCGCGCGTCCACGGCTCGTTTCCGGCGAGCGGCTGGAGCGGCAGACCGCCGTCGGACGCGGCGAGGGCCAGGTGGTAAGCGACCGTCTTGACGGCCCTGTTCTGCGGCCATTCGCGCTTGGGGGGCGCGGTGGGGGCGGCGCCGCCGCCGAAATGGCGCTCGGTGTTTTCATCCTCGCTCTTGTGCCAGTACCCCAGGTCTTTGAGCGTCGCCTCGAGCCCGTTGACGCGGAGGTTGTCTTCGAAGTCGTCGATCAGGCGGGCCACGGCTGCGTCGGGGTATTCCGTGAGGTGGGGCGGGCACTTGTAGTATGTGCTGGCCGGGCCCAGCCGCCGCCATGGCACGTAGTCCTGGGGGAAGTCGTCGTCCTCGGGAATATTGGCCTCGGGAATATCGGCCTCGGGAACACCGAACTTGGGAATATCGCCTTCGAGGAAGTCGTCCTCGAGGAAATCGTCGTCAATGACGTCGTCTTCAGGATGGTTGTCTTCGGCCAAGTCGTCGTCAGGGACATAGTCCTCGTCTGAAGAGTGTTCGTTCGATTCAGCAGAAGAATCATAGAGATAACCGGAATCGCTGTCCAGCGATCCATACTCCTCATCTTCGTCATCGACGTGATCGTGTGCCCGATGAAGTTCACCCGCAATGCGAATCTTGCCGGCCTCCAGCTGCTGACTTGCCCGCCTCGAAGCGCATTCGTCCATGTAGCTAGCGAAGTCAACCTCCCCAGCTGTCCTTGGGTCACCGTCCTTTTCAACATCCTGCCAGAAATGATATGTGGGGAGATGGTCTCCTCGAAGCGCGATGAAGAACAGATTGCTCTTTGGCTCGGCCAAGACTTCGCGCCGGGTCTCAGATTCCTCGCGAAGGTGATCTGTCCGATAGACATACTCAATGCCGGCATCTGGTGGATCCTGTGGATCATACAGTGTGATCCCGCCCTCGATGCCCCATTCATGGCTGATATCAACTGTTGGTATTACTCTGCAACCAGCGAAAAACCCTGGAGCTTCGCCTTTCTCAATTTTCGCTACCATCTCAGAAGACGGACGCTTGACATTGGGAGTGAGTGGAAGCTTTACCGGACCCCCCTTGCCGTCCGGGTAGAGGATAAATACTCGTTCGGCATCCCACTCGATCGGAAAGTCGACGGTTGCAAATCGCTCACGATCAGGGACGGAAGGGTGACGTTCGAAGAGCTCCAGGCAGCGTGTTCTGAGGTAAGGTTTGCTGTCTGTTGGGCTATCAAACATAGAAGCGCGACGTGCCCTAGGCGACTGCCTGTCGAAAAGGGAAGTGTTTAACCTGGATGTGTCGGCAAACATGCTCACCCGGCGATTCCCCATAGCGGTGGCGATGAAGCAACGTGGTGATACTCAGATTGGCTGGGTTTCAAAATAATGTTTGACGCAGAACAGAACGGAGGCACATAGAAGAAAGCGATTTCACCGTGCTTTCATGTTTCCTGTCATTGGGGCGTTTTCATGACATGTTCCCGAAAGACAAAGCAATCATCTTGATGTTGTCTCTGACGGTCCGCATCGAATTCGCAACGAAGGAACAAAGCACATCATTCACTGCTGACTTCTGCTTGCGGACGCAGGAGAGGAGGTTGCCTGTATTGTATGGCGACACCGCCAAGCGCCAAGCGCTAGGCAGCTGGCCATGCATTCCGGCTGCACCAGGTCGAAAGCAGCGCATTACCTACCTATGTCCACTTACAAGTGATGAGAGCGTCTCACTCGGCTAAAGCGCGGCTGGATTGTCGCTCAAAACATTGATTGCTCGTACCAGGGTCTAGTATTATAATGGTCTACTACAGACGAGCGAAGCGTTAAAACCTGGTTCCGCAACGATGGCAGGAACAACAAGGGCAAGCGCAGCAACGAGGATGAGACTCACAGTTCGTCTTTTTCCACTGCTCTCTTCCGCTTCGCACCGTTTTGCTCTTCGTCCGTGTGCACTCCTATGTTAGAGGCAGGGGCGGTGTCCAAGAATCCTTCCAGCTCCATCCACTCGCAAGCAAATGCCGTCACCAGCTTGGCCCAGTCATACACCGTATCGAGGTCCAGGTGCTCTCCATCGTCATCCATCTCGTGCCAAACCCGTGGGAATGGCGTGGGTATCATGTGTAGAATCTCTACTCCTCTCAGCATGAACGGAAGGTGGTCGTCGGACACCATGCCGCCCATAGACGCGCTAACATCTTTATCAGCATCAGGGAAGAATGTGGGCTCATCGACCTTCTTGGCTCCAGTTCTCTTCGAGGGGTGATTCGGCGAAGACTTGAACTCGCCCAAACCACGCAAACGCTTCTCAAGCTTAGCCATGGCCTGATATGCCCAATGGGTCGTTTGAAAGTACGACGGTATCCTGGGCTTTTTCGCACCCAACAGGTCGAGCAGCACGAACAGTTGAATCGAAGAAATGGCCGTCTGGAAAGTAGACACGCCGGGATGATAGGTGGCCTCCCAAGTTTCGGCCAATGCTCTGTATGTATGTCAGCCACGCCCTTGTCCGCCCATGGAAGCCCGATTGGTGACCCACCTCGCGCCGTACAGCGAATCCGTATCCGTCCAGCTCAAAAACGCCTCCTCCCCATCCAGCAGGATAATCTGCACGCCCCTCTCCTCCTCGAGCCCGCCCTCGCCCACGCCCTCGGCCTCCATCTTGTCCCACTTCTTCGTCAACGCCTCATCGATGCTCCTGGCCGCATGCATCAACATGGCGCACGGCGCCGCACTGTCCGTCGCCCCGATAAACCCGTGCGGCGTCAACTTGCTGTCATAGTGCGCCACAAGCGCCAGCCTGCCGACATCGCCCGGCCGGGCCCAGGGCGGATCCCTCGTCGCGATGACATTGACAAAGGTTATCTCCTCGCCGTTGCTCGTCGGCGTCGTCGACGTCGAGTTGTGCAGCTCGAGCCGCCAGCCGGGCAGCGTCTGCGCGAAGAAGTCGACAAAGTGCTGCCGCACCTTCGCGTTGCCGGGCGTGCCCGGCACGCGCGGGATCAGGATGGGCGCGAGCAGCGCGCCGTTGTGGATGTCGAAGTCTTGCGGCGCGGCGGGGAGCGCCGCGAGCGTGTCGTCAGAGAGGGCGCTGTAGGCGTGCGAGAGCTGCGGCGCGAGGCCGGCGGCCAGCAGCAGGAGGGCGCGGGAGACGAGCTTCATGGCGACGGCGGGGCGGTGGGATTGGAGTGTCGTAGCGGAGGGAGGGCGGCTGCGTGGGAGATATTCCCCTACCGCATGACACGGTAGCGGCAGCGAGCGGTGAGGATACGGGATTCTCGGGAGTGCCTGGATGGAGGTGGGAGACGTGTCTCGTTTGGGGCGGGTTTGGCGCCCGATGGACAGGGCCGGATCGACGGCAGTGGCGGCCTCATCCCTGCATCGCTAATTGGAACGCCCTTCACGTGTGGGCCGTCCAGAGCTCATGCCAACCCTTCTTTGCACCTCCAGTCTAGGCTCTGCCCGCAAATGTCATGATAACGCATCAATTGGCTGGTCTTCGCATGGCGGCCAGGCTGCATGCCTCGAGGCTGCCTGGTCTTCGTCCGGCCGTCACGAACAGGCTACCAAGCCTGCGGCTGTCGTCCAATAACGCCAAACACGAAGCGCCAAAGTCTACTGCGGATGGGCCGAAAGACTTCGTCGCGAAGCCGAATAAGAAGAAGCCTCGTCAGTCCTTCCAATCTCCACGAGACGGAGCGGATCGGAAGCCCTAACACAATGCCCCCCAGTCTTCCCCGAGCGCCTCTTGATCTACAATGCCGGAACGGGCAAAACCACCTGGATCGCCTTCTCCAAGTTGGGCACGGTCGTCTTCTTCGCCTTTGGCTGCCTGGTGATAGCACCGCGTCTCCACGAGGATCCAGGATCTCCGTGGTGGGCAGCTCCTGCTGGTATGTGATGCCTCTCCATCGCACGTCCAAAATTTCCCTCACTTCCTCTCTCTCTCTCTCCCCCCCCCCTCCCTCCGCCACCAAAAAAAAAAGTCAAAAAAAACCACAAATCTCACTTCTCCCCACCCACCCACAAACAACAGCCATCCTCCTCACCCCCATCCCGCTCGTCCTCACCGCCGCCCTCACCTCCCCCTTCGTCAACTCCATCTACCTGCACCTGCCCCGCTACGCGCGCGCCTCGCGCCCGCTCCTCCGCCGCTTCGCCGCCAACCCCCCCGCCGAGACGCTGCTCGACATCCGCACCGTCCGCCTCAACGGCTACTGGAAGACGACGGGCACCACCGTCGGCGAGCTGCGCTTGCTTCCGCCGCGGCGCAGCGGCCTCCGAGGGCTCCTCGGCGGGCTGGCTAATTTGGAGAGGGTGCCGAGGGTGGCGAGGAGGGGAGGGGGAGGGGGAGGGGGAGGGGGAGGAGGAGGAGGAGAGAAAAAGAAGAAAGCGGGCAAGGAGGAGGAAGGGGGCGGTGGTGCTGGTGATGGTCGTCGTGGGTGGAAGGATGTTTTGGGCGGGTTGGACACGCGGGGGGCAGACAAGCGGGGGCTGCTGCAGCGCTTCGCCGCGCTGTTTGTCGAGCCGAGGCGCAGGTTCTACGTCGATCCGGCCGGGGGCGGCTCCAGGAGGAGCGCGGAGCCCGGCGTGGTGGAGTTGGTGATGAAGGCGGTGGAGAGGCAGGGTCAGCAAGGCCAGCGCAAGTGATGATTCGTTTGGGCTCCTGCTGGGGAGGGGGAAGAGGGGTGGGCTGAGCAGATAAAGCTGAAGAGATAGTGCTGTTTCATTTCAATTCTTTGCATTGGCTGGGAAAGGCGAGGGAAAAGATGGCTATCTTCACAAAATTCTCGAGGCAAAAGGGACTGGTTGTTGTTTCACTCTCCATTTTCTAACTACTCTGCTGTTACCTAGTGGAGGGACGAACAATCGAAAAGAGAAACCCTCACTTTTTTGCCTATCACATCTGCATACTGATCAAAAGCCTACACTACTACCTACGTATCAACCGACCTAGATAGCCGTAGTGGGAGAGCATCCCTGCTAAAGTTGGTGGCTTTCTACCCCAGCGGAAGGATCTAACGTCTGCTGGGTAGGAACGGTTGACATCGTTCTCAATTTTTTCATTAAGTCGTTCGTCAACGTGTCGTGCTTTTCCAAACTCGGAGAAGCAGGACCCAAAGCAGCAAGGCAAACCCTGCCCTGACAAAAAAAAAGACACGCTGGTAAGGGAAATATAAGGATAAAGAGGAAAGAATACAAGTGGCAAAACTTCAAAGTGCCGTCGAAAGGGATATCTACCCAAGAAAAGGGTATTGTCCCAACAATAAGACCACTTGGGCCTAAACAATGTTCTCCAAGGGACAATAAAACGCTCAGTAGGTGGAGAGAAGGGGATACGCGCCAAGGTAAGTTATACCAAAAAATCAACAATCTGGGGCCTCGGCTTAGCCTTCCGTAAGTTGCTCATACCATCGTGAATCGAATCTTCAACTTCACAGGGTCTCCTCCTCCAACATGTCCTCGTCGTCATCTGCGACACCAATACCGGAGTCGAACTGACGCCTACCCCTACGAGCGGGGCCGCCTTGCTTCAGCTCGTTCACTCGATCGTCAAGGCCCACCGGCCTCATACCCTCCACATCGCGCATGACAGCTTCGGCATTCTCAGCATGCCTGTCACTGAGGTCCTGAGCATCCTCGGCAGCGTGCAGGAAGCTTTGGGCAAGAGTCGCCATCGTCTTGCGGCTGGACAGAGTCTGCTCACGGAACTTCCTCTTGAGATCCTCAACTTGGTTCTCAAGAGCAGTGATCGACGTGAGGCGATTGTCGGCAAGAAGCTGGAGCGACTCGAGCTGCTCGTTCTTCTTGTTGATATCCGAAGTGTATTTGTCCTCACGCAACTCGAGTGCGCGCCGGAGCCGGTCGATCTCGGCCTCGTTGTTTTCGATCTTGTGGCGCAAAGAGTCGATTTCGTTCGCGTGCGTACTCTGCAGGTCGAGCATCTGGACGGCAGCATCCTCGACGCGATGTTCGAGGCTAGTGCGTTGCGTCTCCAGATTTTCGATATCCGTACGGGCGCAATCCACCTCTCCGGTGAGTTCGGCAATGCGAGCCTCTTTCTGTTCGACCTCACGCTTGTGAGCCTCCTCATTTTGGGCAGCCTCCGTACGAAGCTGTTCAATGAGCTCAGCCTTCTGGTTGATGTCGGTATTGAGGATGGCAATGTCATCGTGCAGAGTCTGGATCTCCTCCGCCTTCCGCTCGGCAAGGTCGTTGTACTCCAGACGGAGTTGGATGAGGTCCTCTTCAAGCTTGTCGACCCTCTTCTCCAACTCGGAGATCAGGTCGTCCTTCTCGACGGTCATGACCTCAATGTTTTCCTCGGTGTCGTGAAGTCTGGCCTGAAGCTCTGCGATCTCGGCATTGCGGTCTGCGAAGACCTGCTCAGCTGCCTCCCTGCGAGCGATCTCGGTCGCGATATCCTGGTTGTACTGTTCCTCACGCTTGGCGGCCGTGTCTTGCAGCTCGTCAATGACAGCCTGCTTTTGCACTTGGAGTTCGAACAGCTTCTGGCGGAGCTCATTCGCATGGTGACCAGCGTCGTGGATATTTTGCTCGAGCTCAGCGATCTTGTCGTCTTTTTCTTCGACTTCGGCGATGGCAGCTTCAAGTTGCTCTTGCTCGGTATCTGCAAGGTTTCGAACATTTTCCAGCTCACCGCGAAGCTCTTCCACATCATTCTCGGCGTCTTCGACCTTCTGTTCCAATTCGGAGATCGTGGCGTTCTTGTCGTCGAGCTCCTCTTCGGCAGCCTCGCGTTGAGCCTTCTCGCCCTCCTTGAGCCCTTGGAGTTCGATTAGGTTCTCACGGAGTTGCTCTAGATCCGACTCAGCAGCCTCGACCTTGGCTTCAAGTTGAGTGATGAAGGAAGTCTTCTCGTCGATTTCCTGCTCAGCCTGCTCGCGATTGAGCTGCTCGGTTGACAACTTCTGCTCGAGCTCGGTGACGATAGCTGCATGTTCTTCCTTCAGCTTCTCGAGGGCGTCCCTGGAATCCTCCTCAACCCGGCCGATGAGTTCTTGCAACGAGGCCACCTCCTCGCGGGAGCTGTTGATTTGCTCCTTCAGGCGCTCGGCCGCCTGTTCTTGTTCCGTCAACTCAATCTCCATCTCATCCATCTTGTTGTCCTGGTCAACAATCTCGGCGTCACGCTCTTCAACGGCTGCCTTGTAGGCTTCCAATTCCTCCTCGAGCTCAATCATGTCCCTCGTCTTTCTCTCGTTGACCACATCAAGCTCGTGCCATTGTCCTTCCAAAGTCTGCCTCCTGTCCTCGAACTCCGCCATCTTGTCGACAAGACCCTTGTTCTGGTTGTTGAGCAGGTTGTTCATCTCCGAATGCTGGCGGGCCTCCCCCACCTTCGCGTTGACTTCGTCTCTCAGACTCCTCAGCTTTTCGGTCAGTGAGTAGATCATACCGCCGTTCTCAAGCTGAGTAGCCGGGTCACCGGGGCAAATGGCCTCGACTTCATTGCGCACGTGCTGGAAGGCAGAGCGGAGCGAAGTAAGAACGTCGTATGCGTTGGCCTCCGGCTCGGTGAAGCCGAGCGTCTGGAGTTCAATGGACAAAATCTGCAGAGCAGCCTTGGCTTCAGAAGCCTCCTTGCTAAGCTCGGCAATGGCATTTTCGAACTGCTGAATCTGGATTTCGTGATTTGGGTCCGGAACATCATCGGTCTGAGTACCTTCGGCAACGGCATCGTCGTCATGCTCGTCAGCGTCGGGGAGCTGAGAGAGCTCCTTCGGCAGATTGATGTCCTCGGGCTCGATCAACATGAAGCCCTCGTTTTCCTCGTTTTCCTCGTCGTCCGAGGCCGGACCGCCCATGCCCATGCCCGTATCCATATCCATATCTTCATTGGGCTCCTCCTCGATGGTCGCGAGTTCGCGCTCGTGGCGCTCCCTTTGCTCCGATATCTCGTTTCTCAGGTTGTCCAGCTGGGTTTCGAGAGCCCTGACCTTCTCATTTTCCTTTTCCCTGTCCGCGTCCTGCACTTCGATGGCAAATTGCCGCTGGACCTCAATCTCGTAGAGAAGGTCGTTCAGCCGCTTGTCTTTGGCTTGCAGCTCCTCACGAAGACGCTGGAGTTCACGCCGGGCACGGGCATCCTCGCGCTTGTGCTCATCAATGTTGTTCATCTCCTCGCTGAGACCCCAGCGACGAAGCCTTCTCCGCTTGCGGTCCTCCAGAACAGCACGGAGCGGGGTAAATTGTACAAGACCGCCATCGGGGGAAGCGGTGCCAAACGTAGCAGGGAGTGAGACGCGACGATTGGGCTTCGAAGAGGAGCGGACGTTAGGGGTGATAGGGCCGCCGAAGGTTGACCTGTGCGTAGGCGTTGCGGAGGGGATGGGCGGGCCGGGGTCAGAGAAACGAACGCGACGATGGGGTTGCTGTGGCTGAGGCTGCGACTGCGGCGGGGGAGCAGCGGCGACAGCATCTACCTCGGCAGGCGGACTGCGAGGCTCGTGGTCGACGGCCTCCTGAAGCTCCTGAGCGAGCTGGTCTTGGTCGCTGATGGAGACGCGCTTGACGCGCTTCTTGCGAGGGCGCTGCTGCTCCGGGTCGGAGCCAGCGTTAGACTCCTCGCGGATGCTGGGAAGGTCGGACTGCTGGGTGGACTCGCGACGGGAGCGATCGTCGTCGACGACGGAGTCGGTGCTGGTGCGTCTCTTGCGACGGGTGCCCCGCGGCCCGTCTTGCGAAGAGTTGGGCAGGTGGTGCTGCTCAGCAGCAGCAGTGGACTTCCTGGGACGAGCCATGTTGTTTACCTCGCAGCGCTGGTGTGTTGGCGGGCTCTGGGGGTAGATGACAAGGGCTGGAAGGCCCGGACTGTGCGGAGCAAAGGTGCCAGGTGGAGGGTCGGCGCCGGCAGAAAGTTTGCGAGGCGAGTGGGGTTGTTGCTAGGCGGCAGGCTCGTTGGGAAGGGACGCTGGGTCGTGACGTGAAGGCAGCGGGCGCGGCAAATTAGAAGTGCGGGCGTGGCTGGCGCTTGCGATGGCGAAGCCCGGTTTTCCTGTTCGTTCCGTGTTACGCCCCGTCGTCTAGGAAACACAACACATGCACCGCCGCTGCGTCATGTGTGACGCGAAACTGTCGCGGGGCTTCCTGACGAAGGCACACGGTTTAAAAGGCGGGAGAATGTGACTGCAAATAAGGCCAGCCTCGCAGGATGCCGGCGACAACGTTGTTCCAACGCGTCTCAGCCGTGGTTGCCGCGCCCGTGCACGCCAAAGCACATGTCTGGCTCTTTTCAGTGGTGATGGGGCGGCGCAAGGACCTCCTAGCGGCTATTTTTTTCTCCAGATGCCCGCCTCAGCCACTCGCAGTCTCCACTGACGCGCTTTCCAGCCCCCTCTACGCTGCAGCTTCCCCTCCCACGTTTGCTGGCAATTCCACTCTGCTGCATATACGGCTCTGTGCGTGTATAGCAAAGACAACAGCGTGGCCAGGACGCCTACACCGCTATGGCTGCCCAGAATTGTCGGGCGGCCCAGAGCGTTCCTGGCCTTCATCCTGCGCGTCATCCCGCCCGTCACATCTACGTGGTTCTTTTATGGAGCTTGCGGTTGGAATGATCTAGACAGCTATGTACATCCCTCCTGTAGGCTTTCCGCCGGCCGCAAAGGGACAGCCATGTTAGCAGACGGCTACTTGGACCTATCGCCACCCGTCCAGGCCTCGATGTTGATGTTGATGTTGATGCCATGTCCAGCCTGCGCCGACTCGCCCGTTCAGGCGATGCTCGGGTGGTGGCAGATCTGCGAAAGGGTGTTTCAGCAATGCTGTAGGCTGTGCTGCTACTCCTGCCAATCATCTGCGACGGCATTCTAATGACAGCATGCTACGGTGGCATCGGTGGATTCGGCGGCGCTGAATAATGAGGAGCATACATACACCAGGCGTCTATTTAAAGGGCGACGAAGCGAGGAATAGATTAATCGCTTGAGGCTGCATGCATGGGGGCGATTTGCTCGGCATGGCTCCCGACAACAGATCGGGCAACTGGCTGCATGCGCCGCTCAAAGCGATCGGTCAACCCCACCACATCGTCAGGCCATGGTGACTTTCGTGCAGCCTGTTCCCGTTGTCGAGCGCATGTGCTCGCTCAGCGGCCGCGATGCCCGTGACGATTCCGCGCGACGAGGTCAGCCGGGCGCCGTTGACTAGGGCGGCAGGCAGAGCCCGGCTGCAGCCAACGGCGGGCAGGCAAGGCCAGCCCTGTTTCATCATGCCATCATCGCCGGCTGCTTCTCCGCAACACCCACCTTGGGCCATTCGCTCCTCTCACGTGCCCTACGCTGTTCCGCCCCCGATCGCGCTCTGAACCACTATCTCCTCGACCGTCCTCTAGCCCTCCGCTCCGTTGTCGCTACCGCGTATCACGCCGCGTGTTTCACGAGCTGACCCGACCGGCATCGCGCCATCTCCAGCCGTCGACAAGGCCTGAGCCAAGCTTCATTTCCCTCCAACCACAAGCACAAACGCCCGTCGAGTCTATCGCCCCAGAGCCACGCCTGGTGCCACCTTCCTTTCCAAACCTCGGCCCGCTTCCGAAGCTACCACGCCGCCGAGTAGGTAGTAATAATAATCATCGGCTTGAGAGGCTCCGCCCGGCACCGCCGCCACCCTCGCAGCCCGCCATCACGCTAACAATCGATACCTGCGCCACGATAGCTGCTCCCAAGCCCGGCCGTCGTGCTCCCCGCGCTGCCAGTTATCTTGACCATCTGTGACGTCTCACCGCTTCGGCCGAGATTGCATTGCTCGCCTTCTATCGTATTCCTGCGCTGCCTTGGTTGACTTCCATCCCTGCATTCAATATTGAGGAGCAAAAAGACCGCATATATTTGCCTGCCGGCTGCCATCAAGCTTGTTTATCCACCACGGCGGTGTGTGGAGCTGCAGAACCCCGCACTACACCCGGTCTGAGGCACAGGCCCTCAGGCCATACCCTCCTCCCATATAAGACCAAGCGTTGTCGATCCAGGCCTATCGCCACCAAGACCGAGCATGGACATCCCCAACCGTCCTTGCTCGCCTCTCCTCGACCTGCCCGCCGAGCTCGTCCAGCAGATTCTCTCGTCCTTATCGTCGTCGGATCTGTGCCGCATCTCTCGGACCTGCCGTTTGCTATGCAACCACGCGAGCGATGAGCGGCTGTGGAAGCCAATCATCCTCTCCAACACCCACTCCGTCAAATTTGATGCCAACCCGTCCCGCTCATGGCGAAAGCTTTTTGCAACCCACCATCCCTACTGGTTCCTGCCGCGCCGAAAGTTGTGGTTTGCCGACACGGCGCACACCGGAAAGCTCGTCCTTGCCCGCTACAACCCCCTCGAAGACTGCATAGAAGCCCACTCCATCGTTGCTGAACGCCTGCCCAACACCTTCGAGCTATGGGAGCACAACCCCGAGGTCATCATCCACACCTTCTCGCCCAAAGTCCAGCTCGACCGCACCACGACCGTCGTCAAGCTGAACCGCGCCGCGTACAGCCAGCCCGCCGACGAAGGCAACTTACTACAGCGCGAGCTCGCCATGGAGGTCCATAACGACGCCGCCGGCCACGGTCTCTTCTCGCTATTCATGCTGGCGCGGCCCGTCCCCTACGACATTGTCTCGCGCGGCAGCAAGGTCTGGCCGCCCCTCACCATCCCCGCCGCGCAGCGCACGCGGAACGAAAGCGTCACCCGCTTCCGCGGCACGGGGCACAAGCCGGCGCGGCTGGCCGAGCTCAGCGACACGACCTGGCGGCTGCGCAAGTGGATGGTCTTCTCGCACCCGCACCCGCTCCAGCACAACGGCGGCGGCGGCGGCGGCGGCTTCACCACCGCCCGCGTAGGCGAGGACGTGACGACCTTCGCCTCGCTCGACCCCGAGCTGTACACGCCCACCCCGACGAAGCCCTGGCGCGGCATCTGGTGCGGCGACTACGCCGGCCACGGCTGCGAGTTCCTGCTCGTCCTTCAGCCCGACGATCCCGCCCCGCTTCCCGAAGGCGCCGTCCGCGCGCTGGCCCGCCGTGACAGCAGCGCCAGCACCACCTCATCCTCGTCGTCTTCGGTGGGCAGCTGGGCCACCGTCCAGAGCCACCTGCAGACCAGCGACGGGGATGACGAGGATGATGAGTATCTTGATTTAGGGTCTGCGGCGGCGGAGAGCTTGGAGGCGAGCACTGCTACTGTTATGGATGGCTGCGATCAGTGCCAGCCACGGTCTCGGGAGGAGGAGCGGCGGCGGATCAGGGAGAAGAAGAGGCGGGAAAGTGAGTTATTTTCGGGCAGAATAGAGGCGGTGAAGTTGACGGGCGATCCGAACATCCCGCGGGGCGAGTACACGTTCATCGCGCCAGACATCGGGCCGGAGGGCTTCGTGAGGACGGCGGAGGAAGAGATTTTCAGGGGGGCGAGGGTCGTGAAGAGTGTGGGGCATATTGCCGCCAGAGGCTATCGGGACGGTGAGTGTGATTCACGTCGTTGGTCTTCTTTTCGTTCTTTCCTGCTTTGCCTGAAGTGGATGCGGAACTGACGCTGTTTCTTGTGCAGATGAGTTTATTTCTTCGCAGCTGATCATGATCTCGCATGATCGCCTGGCGCAGTATTGGGTTCCGTTCGGACACATCTCGTTCTATCAGCGCGTTGATTTGGATGCATTGCTGAACTCTTGAGAGATCTTCAGAGCCCCCCGCGGCATAGATGGCTCACGCTATACACGAAAGAGTTACGGGGACGTTTTCCTCAGCGCGCGATGCGCTATTGCTTCGACCTTCTCACTTCAACATTTGTGTGCCGATTAAAAGCGCACTGTCTTGCTCCTTGCATTATTCAGGTCTTGCTTCATGTGCTTCATAGTCCACACGTTTTAATGCTCTTGACATGGCGTACATATTCGGTTGAAAGTTCTCTGATGCATGAGGCACATCGCTCATGGAACTCAATGCATCTCTACTTTGTGCTTCTCTCATCACCACCTGGTGTCCATCAGCAGGGATACAAGTGCAAAACTTCTACGTGACCTTGCAGCTTACCTTTTTCAACTTCCAAACTATGGGCCAGATCGTGCACCTTCGCTTTGCCGCATGAGCATTCCCCATCACGCGCGAAGCTCTTCTCCACAGCGATCACATGCCCCTGCCACGATCATGACCCATGAGACCGACAACTTGAGGAGACGCCTCATGAATATAAGGTTCCCATACTCACATCCATTGCATTAACAACATCCAGCAGCTTGCATCTTCTGAACATGTCAACAATGCTGGTATACATATCAGACAATGAGACTTGCCACTTGGATGGGCGCCACCGAAGCATTTCAGGCACTTCTCGTGTCTTCGTTGCGTCGGAGTTAGGCATAAACTCAAAACACCGCGATAGACACAGCGGTGATTAGCGATGATGATGAAGGGCACCGTTTCTGGGAAGATGGTGGCGAGATGCATGAGATGATGTTCATGATGATCACAACGCCGAGTGGATTCGACGACCGGTCTTAGTGCCACGGGGAAGATCAGAGCAGGAAAGTGCCTAAAGGTGTTTCTCTTCGTGTTCGTGCTGCAGACCAAGTGCAGAAACCAAAGTCTTGTCTCATCCATTCAGGGTTCGCGATTGAAAATGATTGCAATCGCAATCGGGTCCTCGAGGCCCGTTTGCAAGCCGGGCCCATTTCATATACAATCAATCCAATCCGCCGATCACGATTGCGCTTGTTTACTCGATTAACAAGCGCTTGGTAATCGGGCGGGGTAGAGGCGGGGTGGTCATATATCAGGTAATCTAGTAATACTTAGCATAGTATTAAGTTCGGCGAGGGAGATCTTAACCGGTTCTCTATATACCATACTAAAAAGTGTATAAGAACTACGAAGAAACCACCTATATCCTCCCCCCCCCTCCGGGGCGGGCAGCCTCCTCAACACTACGGCCGCTATCGTTAGATATTTCGTTATATATCGATACCAGCTCATCAACGCACTAATAGAGCTACGAAAGGAGTAGTTTTACCGTACTCTACTACGTATAGAATCCTCGGTAGGCTCCGTATCTGCACTATACCCTTATATATACCCGATTACCAAGCGCTTGCCAATCAATCGGCCTTCCAGGGCCGATTATCAATCCAAGCGCTTGGTTCGCCAAGGGTGATCAATCGGACCCTATAGGGCCGTTTGCAAGCCGATTGCTTGTTCGATTGCAATCGGCGAGTTTCAATCGCGAACCCTGCATCCATTGCTTTGCGGAGAGGACAAGAGCTGCGCGGTCTCTCAAAATGGGGTGGGCTGTGATTCCTGCCCTTTTTATCCGAGGCAGGGAACTGCGAGACCTCTTCGATCACACGTGCAGGAGAATTGTGTAAGGACGGTGGCTTGCTTATCATGCTTCGCCGCGGTATCGTATGAACATTGATCAGGCAACCGGTCTACTACTCGCGAAAGCCGTTTGGCTCAATTGAATCGTTTTCCGTATGGGAACTGGCCCAATCCTTCTGGTATACTGTCTCTCACTGGTATTTTATTCAAAGCAGAGGTAACTCAGAACGTTAAAGTGGTGGCATATACGGCTGCGGTTATCCTTGAGAGGGTGGGTGGGTTGCTGTACAAGAAGACAAGTACATCGTTATGTTAGTGGCTTGGTGCCGTACCTCAGCATTACTTGCTGATGCTCGTTTGCAAGTTAGCACAATCATCCCAATGCGTGCCCGAAAATTGTTGCCGCTAGAAAGTAAGTTGAACTTGTGACACGCCCTGGAGCCGAGAGAGTCCCATAAAAGAAACAACGCGAACGAGTAGGACAGTAGATCCTGTTCTTGAGTTTCTCTGGGCGTTTTACAGTTGTATGGTCAGTTCTTACACATATGATGCCCTAGCAGTAGGAAAAGAAAGATGTATATATAGATAGCAACTCGAAGAACTGACGATACTGTCTGGCCTCTGGCCGGCTTTCGAGGGTTGGATTTACTGAATATGAGTCGGCCACTTTGCTGGGATCCGGCCGTAGGACAAATCAATAAATTTATAAAATGATGGAGCTTAGCAGTTGCAAGATCATGTTGAAAATGACCATGGTCTTGTAATGAAGATGTCGCAGTAGCTTGAAAGGATATGGGACCACGATTCAGCGGTAATTGCTCTGGCTCCAAATCAAGAGCTCATTGGTACACGAAAGGCCGGGGCGAGTAATACGGCATGGTTATGATTGGCGGCCAGTTTTCTTGTATGGTGCTCTAGGATGTCGTGTTTCGAGTATTAGCTCTGCAGTCAAGATAATGAAAAGGAGAAGGAGGAAGAAGAAGTAGAAGCATTGATATATTCTCTTGTAACAAGGCCACAAAGGCTCCAAGGCTCGCGATTGGTCTGATTGGCAAGTGCAATCGGGGTCCGGGGGTCCGATTGCAATCCAGAAGGGGTCTTCAGGTTAATCAATCAATCCAAGCGCCAGCGGGCTGCTTGCAAGCGGGCCTCGACTATCCGATTGCAACAACAAGCGCTTGAGACTGAAACACCTGTTCATCGGGGGTATCAAGGCCGCTTGCAAGCCTATTGATTGATAGATTGACAATCTGCTTGCGCTTGCTGCGAGCCCTGCACAGACTTGAGCATGACCTTACAGGTTTCATCTGCGGACAGATGTTCGCTTGAAACCCCAACACTTCTACTGAGTAGATAACACAAGTGTCCTCAAGCGCCGTGGTCCATTCTGAACAAACATACCCAATACCAGGTTCAAGCTATCCCAGAACCAGTCCTCCGAACCCAATGCTCGCAAAGCCAATACCCCCGAATACCCCGTCCACATTCAGCAAGCCGGCCCTTCAACCTCCTTCACCGCCTGCTCAATCTCCCCCTCCACAAGCCGCACCACCTGCCTCGTCGACATAACACATCCCTCATCTTCCTTTTCCTCCCCACCCCCTCGCGGCTCCAACTCCCTTTGCCAACTAACCAGTATAACAACAATCTTGAACACCTCCTCAACAAACCACGGCAAGTCGTCCAAACCATCACTCGTACCACCATCCTCATCGTCGTCACCTGCACCACCGACACCCCCCGCCATCACCGTCACACCCACCCGCGCACGCTGTTCCGCGACCTCCTCCAACACCTGCAAAAAGTATCCCGCATTCGCCAAGGCGTCGCAGCCGTCGCGCGTGTCGGCAACGACGCGGGCGAGCGTCTTGCGCAGGACGTCGTCGCGGCGCTTCTTCTGCGCTCTCCTCCGCCGCCGCTGCTGCTCCTTCGTCTTCTCGTCGTCGAGCTCGTTCTTCGTGTCCGCTCCAATCTCCTTCTTCTCCTTCTTCTTTCCCTTTCCTTCCTTTTTCTCGAGTCGGGTTGGGGACTGGCTCCGGTCCTGGTCACCATCCCGTTCTCGTGCCTCGAGATCGCGGCCAACGTTACCGAAGTGACCGGCCCTCGCGTCGTCGAAGAGCGGGCGGATGCGCAGGTACCGTGGTGGGTCGGCGGTGGTGGACGGGTCCCACACGGATGATGAGAGGGGAGCGGCGAGGTGGGCGTGGATGGCGCTCGGGTGGGCGGGAAGGCGGGCGAGGAGTTGGGCGAGGATGTGGCGGGCGGATAGGGTGGGTCGCGTCCTGTGCGGCGGTGGTGGTGAGATGCCCGCATTGTCGGGAGGCTCGCTGGCAGCGTTGGCGTCGGTGGTGGAGCTGAGATTGGTGGTGGTGTGGGCTTCGTCGACGTCGTCGTTGCGGTCGGCGGCGGAGGTGGCTGCGGTACGGCGACGGGCGCGCCGAGTCTTCTTCTTCGTCTTCTTATTCTCCTGAGTTGGTTCCGCGGCAGAGACGCCGGGGGAGCGTGGTAGGGCGGCGGACTCGGCGAGCGCAGATTCTATGGCAGCGGACTCGCGGCGGGCGGCGGCGCGCGTGCGGATACTGGTAGAGAATGCAAGGCTGCTACTTGGTCGAGACATGGGTGCGGACGGCGGGCGGAGGGCGAGCTTGGACACCGGCGGACGAGTGGCCGGCTTGAACGACAGCGGACGAGTGGCGGACGCTGGCGGCGGGGGTGGCGCGCCGTGGATGCGCTCGCCGTGGGCGCTCTGGACGATAGGACTTAGCAAATTTTGCTGTGTAGATCATGAGTGTAATTGGAGCAGAACAGCCTGGACGGGCATGACATTCGGGAGTGTGATGGGCGTTTGGGATGGAAGAGCAGGCGTGCGATTCGGTACTTACCCGCGCCGCATTCGCAGGTGTACGCCTCGGCCCCTGGTTTAAGGCTTTATTATCCATTGCGCTGCTCTTACTGATGGCCTTGTTGTGTATGGAAACGAGCTGGAACGTAGAGCTGAAAGCTCGCGGATGTGATATTGGCGCACACTTCGAGCTTGGAGCTGGATAGAGATACGGCCGTGCGCAAAAAGCTGCCATTCCGGCTTCTCAAAATGCCAGCTTTCTCGGAAACATATGAGCCGATCGCCGGGCGCACTGTGTGAGTGGCTGGGGCGCAGTGTGGGTGGCTCAGGTGAAGTGACTCCGGCTCCCAAACCAGCTTGCGGGCAGACCATTAACCAATCAGGGCCCTCACAGTTACCTATCGCACTCCCTCTTACAGGTTCACTCAGCAGGCTCCTCTCGCTTCGACTCGCTTATGGTGTTATTGTGTCGGAGGCTACGTACTTATAAACCTCCCACCCAGTAACTCCTGGACCTCTCCCTCCTCCTCCAGACAAGCTCGTTCATCCACCGACTTGAGTCAAGTTTCGAACACACTTCCCAAGTTCCTTGAAACCCCGAACCAGTCATCCAAGCTTGCACTTGCGCTTCTTCATCCGCCTTTCGCGAGCCAGATCAACCACCAATCTTCATTCAACTCTTCATCCAACTCTTCATCCAACTCTTCATCCAACTCTTCATCCAACTCTCCATCCAACTCTTCATCCAGCTCTCCATCCAACTCTCCATCCAAATCTCCATCCAACTCTCCAAAAACCTTACCCTCTACCACTCAACCCAACAAAAGCCAGCCGCAATGCCTTCCAGAACCTTTATGAAGCATTCCAAAGGCGTCATCTCCGAAGGAGGAAGGCTGGTATTCATGGACGACTTTGTCAAGCGCTACCGCGGAAACAGCCGCCGCGCCAACCGCGAGCTCAAGGAGAACATCCAGCCCGACGACCTCATCAGCGTAAGCAACAATCCCACCATCCCCCTCACACGTCCAGCTCACCCAAACCCCACTCGACCTTTCTCTCCCCTTCCCCGCGACACCCGCACCCACCACCAACCCCACTGACACCTCCACCCACAGGACCCCGACCGCATCAACCGCGTCGAACGCCTCGACGAGCTCAACATGTTCAACGAGCTCTTCGGCGGCACCGAGCGCACGAGCACCTCCGACACCGCGTCCAACCGGCCCCGCGAGGTCAACCCCGAGATGGCCCTGTGCGCCGTCGGCTCCCGCGTCGAGGCCAAGCACCCGACCGAGATCATCAGCACCGAGGAGATGCAGACCCTCGTCACGGGCAAGAAGAAGAAGAAAGCCGCGCCCGTCCGGTCGCTCGGCCCGCTGGAGACGTCACCCCAGCCGCAGGAGAAGAAGAAGAAGGCGTCGTCTTCGTCGAAGAGGAAGACGTTTGGCGGCTTCGAGGTCCGTGACGGTCGCGGTCGCGGTTGCGGTCGAGATGGCGGCCGTGGCCTCGGTCACGGTTTCCGTCTCGGTCGCACGCGGCCCTCTCGTGCTAGTGTTCGTGGCGGTGCGGAGGAGAAGGAGGGTGAGGAGAAGAAGAATGAGGAGGTCGAGGGTGAGAAGGAAAAGACTGAGGAGGTTCAGGGTGAGGAGAAGGTGGTTGAGGCTGAGCAGCAGACAAAGCCAGCTGGAAGTGAGGCTAAGGAGAAGGAGATGGAGAAGACGCCTGCTCTCGCTGGAATGAAGAGAAAGGCGGAGGATGACGAGAAGAACGAGGACAATGAGGAGGTCGTTTTGGTCCCTACGAGGAAGGTCAGGCGCCTGAGCAAGCGTACACTGGAGTAGGTGGGGGGATGAGAAGCTCAAGAGCCAATTCTTGGTTGAGAGATGGTGGTGAGAGACGGTGGTGAAAAATGGTGGTGAGAGACACTGGTGAAAAATGGTGGTGGGGAACTGCGGAGGATCTTTGCTTGAGTCTCTTTCTTCTGCTTTGGATTTTTGTTTCCTTCGGATACACCGGCTTTCATGTTTTCTTGTTTTTTCTTTTTTCCTGACGATAGCGGGTGGTGTTGAGGTGAGGGTGGATCGGCGGATCGGCAGGCGTTTCTTCCGTTGCTCACAATGCGTTTGCTGGTCCAGCAACCAGGGAGGGTGCCATGGTAGGTACTCAGATTCGAGCGAATCAATTTCATCATCATGAAGAATCAAACCGTTCGTTGCCTCGTGCCTCATCGAGCTTGCGGCTGCTGCTTGACAACCAGCTGGCTCATCACGTGCTCGCGCGCCAATCCGACTCGCGTCGCGTTGTTTCCCGGCGGCGATTCCACGACATCCCAACTCGCTGTCGCCGACATCCATGGACGACTTGCTCGGCGGCCTCAATGACGCACAGAAGAGTGCCGTCTCGAGCCCAGCCTCCGTTCTCCAGGTCCTCGCGCCCCCCGGATCTGGCAAAACGAAAACTCTCACCGCGCGCGTCGCCTATCTCACCTCGTGTTGCGGGATCAAGCCATGGAATATTATCGTGTGCACCTTCACCATCAAAGCCGCCCGCGAGATGAAAGAGCGCATTCGCGCTCTCGTCGGCGACGGCGTTGAGGCGAAACTCGTCCTCGGCACTTTCCACTCCGTCGCCCGCCGCTTCCTCTGCTTCTACGGCCACCATATCGGTATCGACAAGAACTTTGGCATCGCAGACACTTCTGACACCACTGCAATCATCAAGCGCATCATCAAACGTCGCGGCTATGGTGTCGAACCATCTGCGGCCCGGTCTCGCATTTCCGGACTCAAGGCCCGGAGCACCAGCTGCGATCAGTACGCTGCGACCCAGAAATCTGCAGAACAGCAAGAATTCGCTGCCATCTACTCGGAATACGAGGAGACCCTCAAAGCATCCAACCTCTTGGACTATGATGACCTGCTTCTGCGTTGCGTCGACCTTTTACACAAACGCCCCGAATGCGTGTCGAATATTCAGGCTGTGCTCATTGACGAGTTTCAAGACACGAACCACGTGCAGTACGAGCTCATGCGCCTTATGGCACAGTACCAGAAGAGTATCACCGTTGTCGGTGACCCCGACCAGAGCATCTATGGCTTTCGCTCGGCAGAGATCAAGAACCTCAAGACAATGCAGAAAGACTACCCGGAAACCGTCGTCTCCATCCTGCAGGAGAACTATCGGTCTGGTGGTGCCATTCTCCAATCCGCTCAGCAGGTCATCGAACAAGACCAAAGCCGGCCAGCAAAGGCGCTCTTTGCGACGCACTGTATCGGTGAGATTCCCGTCTTGCGTCGCTTGCCTTCCGCAGCAGTCGAAGCCTCGTGGATCGTTGCCGAGATCCAACGCTCTCGAGAATTGACGGGCAAGCTCCTCAATCATTCCGACTACGCAATCTTGCTTCGTTCCGCTGCTCTGTCCCGCCATATCGAGGCCGCCCTCGCCAAGGCAGGCATTCCGTATCGCATGGTCGGAGGCTTACGTTTCTTTGATCGCATCGAGGTCAAGCTTCTCCTGGATTATCTCCGCGTCATCAACCGACCTGATCACAACGATGCCCTTGCTCGCATTATCAACACTCCGTCACGTAGGATTGGCGATGTAACCATCCGAGGACTGCTGGAGGAAGCGGAAGAGAGAAAAGCTTCATTGTGGAGTGTCATCCTTGGAGCAGCTCAGGGTAACAGGAAACCGAAGACGAAACTTACAACTCAAGCGGAGAAAGGCATCTCAGAATTTGTAAACGTCATTCTAACATCACAAAAGAAAATGGCGGCCACAGGAACGGCCAAGTGCACTCTCTTGGAACTCATCTCGCACGTCATGAAGAAGCTATCCTTTCAAGAATATCTCCAAAAATCTCACCCTGAAGATTTCGATGGGAGATGGGCCAACGTTCAAGAGTTGATCGCTCAAGCTACGGATGCTTCAGCAGCAGCAGAAACAGAAGATATCAGGCTGAATGAGGAGGCTTTGCCGATAGTCGAAGGCGTAGAGCAACGCGAGCTGTCAAGCGCCGAGGACGAGCTTGCTAGATTCTTGGCTAATGTCGCCCTGTCCACTGAAGTCCAGCAGGAGGAAGGTGCGACCACCGAGCAAGTCACCATATCTACTATCCATGCGGCGAAAGGCCTCGAATGGCCCGCCGTTTTCATTCCAGCTGCGTACGAGGGGTCAATACCGCATTCGAGGGCGGAAGACCACGACGAAGAGAGGCGGCTGCTTTACGTGGGGATGACCAGGGCGCAATCGCTCCTGTACTTAAGCTGCCCTGTCAAAAACTCCCAGAAGGAGAGCACGACGCTTTCGCCATTCGTTTCCGACCCCAGCATGGACAACTTTTTCATCAAACAAGGTCCAAAGTTCCGGTATAGCCTTACGCAGGACCTCGCTCGTATTCTGCGCAGAGAATGCCCTCACGAGTCGGAGTGTAGGAAAGGCTGTGAACTCGTCGAGCGCACCGAAGACGACTACTGGCCGTTGGATGGCGACGATGTGGACCCTGAGGCCAAGTCCTGGGATTTCTTCAACACCCGAAGCACTGCATCATCCGAAGAGCCCAGCTCCAAGCGCCGACGCCCCAACGACTTCGTTCCCGTATCCCTGGCCGGAAGCAATGTTTCTGTAACAATGGACCAAGCCACATCATTTTCGATCTCGAACACCACGGTCCCCGCATCCACCGCCGGATTTATGAGCGCCGGCGCACGGATGCGCGAGATGGAGGGATCCGCCGAAGAAGCCAAAGCGCAGCAGCGCGCGGAGAAATTGCTCGTTCGCGAGCACGCTATGGCCCGCAGCAGGGACGCGGTACGAGCGCGCGAGCACGACGACAAGCCGGCCGTCAACAAGGGCGGTAAGGCAGCGAAGCTACCTCCCGGGCAAGGAAGCATCACGAGCTTCTTCGGCAGGCCGACGACCGGCCGCAAGCCCGAGACTTGTCCAGACGAGCAGGTGCGCGGCGCGATAAACTTCGTGCGTGAAAAGAAGCTCAAGAGCGTCAGCGCCGCCATGCCTCATGCAGCAGCGGGAGTGGCTGCAGCAGCAGCCCTACGCCGCCATCAGCCTCCCCCGCAAAAAGGTCAGCAGCGACAGCCCACCGCCGCCGCCGCTCCCCTGATGAAGCGCAGCCTTACGGCGCCATCATCGTCCGCCTCATCCCTGGCCCCACCACCACCGCCGCCGCCGCCGCCGCTCGAGGAAATCGAGAACGCGAGAGACCGCCAGCGCGTCCCGCCCGCGACAGCCCTGCCAAGAAACGTCGCAGCTCCTTCTTTTCCTTCTTCCGGCTTCTCGGCCGTTCCTCCGAGCGCTGTCACTGGAGGAGGTGCAGGGCAAGGGGGGCACAGACTGCGCACGGCTCCCGTGCCCGGACGGCCGGTGCGCAAGCAATACGAGGATGAAGAAGACGACGACAGGGTTGCTGCTGCTGAAATAGAACGGCCGTTCGAGGGAAAAAAGAGCGAGGGGAGGAGGCGGAAACCGTATTCTTTCATGTCGAGCTCGCCGCCGCTTCCCGAGTCGGACGACGACGATGGGAAAGACGAAAGTGCCGGCGAGGACGTTGCTGCGGTGGCGATGACGGTGGCAGTTGATGATGATGATGATGTCGTGCCTGCGACTACGTTGCATAATACGTCGATGGCGAGGCTGGCGGGTGGGAATACTGGGCCGGTGCGGAAGAAGACGTTGGGGATGAGGAGGAGCGTGCAGGGGTGGGGTGCTGAGGGCGTGAATAAGCCTTTCTCGGCGCCGGCGAGGAGAAGGACGTGAGGAATGGGTGGGCGGATGGTGGTATGGGGGCTGTTGTCTGTTTTTGGTTCTCGTTTTTGGGGTTCAAGGATGGGATTTGGGGCCTTGGTAGTAGATATCCGTACTGATGGGAGGAGGGGCGCCTGCTTCCGTGTTTGGCGAACGCTTCAAGAACCATCTCGTTGCTTGACTCTCGTGTCCTCGCATGTGTGGAAGGAGGCATGGAGTATTCTGCCGTCAGCAGTTGACGGCTTTGGAGTTTCTAGACATGCTCAGTTCTTTAAACGTGATGCTGCGCCGCTCAATTAACCGCGGTTACAGTGGCCGTAGTGGCGCTGGGTGGATGACTTGAAACTGCGAATCCGCCACATGAGCTAAGTGAGCAGAGAAAAGAGTACCATGCTCACATGAGGTGTGAGTCTATGGGAACAAGTAGAAGAGTCATCATGTGGTGTTGTCGTCCTATGGTCAGGCCAGGCGGGCCGAGTCCGATGTCGGCGGGAGCGAGTCGGGCGCCCGAGCTTCCCCAGAAAATATTATTCGACCGCGCGACACCTGCGAAGCGTTCCGCACCCCGCCCGCACACAATGGCAGCTACCAGAGCTCTGAGGATTGGTATGTCGCCCAGCAGCAGCATCGGCAATGGCCCGTCCCGGCTAACCTGCAGCCAGGTCTGATTCCCGGCGACGGCATTGGCCGTGAGGTGAGCTCCCAGCGCCCCGTCACCCAGCGAGCGAGCTCTGACGCACGCCCAGGTCATCCCCGCCGGCCGCCGCGTCCTTGAGGCCCTGCCCGCATCGCTGGGCCTCAAGTTCTCTTTCGTCGACCTGAATGCCGGCTTCCAGACCTTCAAGGACACGGGCGCTGCCCTGCCCGACAAGACGGTGGAGACGCTGCAGAAGGAGTGCGAGGGTGCGCTGTTCGGTGCCGTCAGGTAAGCAAACACTCAGCAACGAGCAAGCAATGCACCTAGCTGACACGGCCGTCGCCTGACCGCAGCTCGCCGACGGTCAAGACTGCCGGCTACTCGTCGCCCATTGTCGCCCTGCGCAAGAAGCTCGCCTTGTACGCCAACGTGCGCCCGGTCAAGTCGGTCGCCAACGCCAGGTCGCCCGTCGACCTCGTGATTGTGCGCGAGAACACGGAGGACCTGTACGTCAAGGAGGAGAAGACGTACGACTCGGCCGACGGCAAGGTGGCCGAGGCCATCAAGCGCATCTCGGAGAAGGCGTCGTTCAACATCTCCGAGATGGCCGGCGACATCGCCCTGCGCCGCCAGCGCGTGCGCGACTCGGGCATCGCCAGCATCCACCAGAAGCCGCTTGTCACCATCACCCACAAGTCCAACGTGCTGTCGCAGACGGACGGCCTGTTCCGCGAGACGGCCCGCAAGGCCCTCGCCCAGGCCAAGTACGCCGGCAGCGTCAACGTCGAGGAGCAGATTGTGGACAGCATGGTGTACAAGCTCTTCCGCCAGCCCCAGGACTACGACGTGATTGTTGCGCCCAACCTCTACGGTGACATCCTTTCCGACGGCGCCGCCGCGCTGGTCGGCAGCCTGGGTCTCGTCCCTTCTGCCAATGTCGGCAAGGGCTTCGTCATCGGTGAGCCGTGCCACGGCTCTGCGCCTGACATTGAGGGCCAGAACATCGCGAACCCCATTGCTACCATCCGCAGCACTGCGCTCATGCTCGAGTTCCTCGGCGCCGAGGAGGCTGCTGCCAAGATCTACAAGGCGGTCGATGCGAACCTCGAGGAGGGCAGGCTACTGAGCCCCGACATGGGCGGCAAGGCCAAGACTACCGAGGTGGTTGAGGACATCATCAAGAGGTTCTAAGGTGGGAATGCAAATACGATGGGCGCCTGGTGCGGAGAATTCGGAGGATTTGAATGTAAGCGGCGCAAAAACGGGCTACCATGTGCAAGAAGTGAACGTAAAAGAAGAAAAAATATGGAATTGATATGGATTCGATGTGAGCACAAAATCCTTCGATCATGCGCAGCTGACCTGCAGGATCTCGAGCTGCAGGCACAGGAACGAGTGCAGGTAACGATCTACGGTACGCGCCGATCCTACAGTTGATCGCCTTGTTTCTCACAACCGCACGCACATCAGCCGCGGGCGCGCGAAATGATCGGCAGGTCCTACCCCAGAGTCGCAGCGCAGCAGCAAACATCAGCCGCAAAGGCGGTGCGACTGGAGCCTTAGCACAGCACAGTCAGAGTTGGATGCAAAGAGGGCGACATGGATATAGAGAGAGAGAGTCCCACAAGTCGCACCGCTCTAGCGTGACGCCACGTTGTGTGCACAAGGCGTCCTGCAGGTCGTTGCTCCAAGGACGGCAAGCCGGATGATCGCAGTCGACGCGAGGTGGTGTGTTCTTGCACGGCAGCGATCGGATGCATTGCTAGACGAATTAAGCGTGCTCGGCACTGCGGGCTGAGTGCGGGGGACGGACAAGGCGAAGGCTTGGGTAAGTCAGGCGGACGGGGGGCTGACATTATACCTAGGTCGACTTAATGGCAGATGTACCACGGTCCCGCGTGCCTCCTTTTGACGTCCTGCTTACTTAAATTCAGCCAGGGTGCAGGATGCGACGGTAAGGTGACACCGAGCTGTGGCCGTGAACACGAGCTCTCCACCATTGCGCTGTTCTAAGCAAAACGGCGCGCCGAAGTAGCGCGGCCGGCAATACGAGCTGGCTCTTGGCTCCTGCTCGCAACGATGGCATCCGTGCAGCCGTCTCGCCCGATCCAGGACGTCTATACGCTCTCAACACTGGGGCCTCACCGGGGCCTCATGTGATTTCCGCACCTCAAGCTCCGTATTCCGCACCTTGCTCCCCTTTCTCCGCACCTTGCCGGCTGCCAAATTTAGCCATTCGCCGTCGTATCGGCCCTCTCTGGACTACCGGCGTCCGGCCCGCCCCAGCAGAGTTGCCACTCCCACCGCCGTGACGTCGATGTACCTGTCTTTCTCTCCTGTTGTATACGATCTGCCAGCGCAGAGCTTCTCCCTATCCCGTAGCTCGCCATTGAATATATAAGGACCTCTTCCGCAGCTCCAATCCCTCTCCTCCATCACCATCACAACTCCATCCTCTCAATCCAAAGCATCATCAGCTTCAACCCAAACCACCACCACCAAAAATGCAATTCTCCACCGCCCTCCTCGGCCTCCTCGCCGCCTCCACCACCGCCTTCGCCGCCCCCGCCGACCTCGAGGCCAAGCTCATGACGGCCGTCGCCTCGCAGTGGACCATCACCGACTTCACCCGCACCTGCAACGGCGGCGACACGTCGTGCCACCTCTCCTTCGGCATCAACCGCAACGACGGCTCGGCCGTGCAAAAGTGCGCGTACGACGTCACGGGCGCGCCCGCGTCGCGCGCCAGCTACAACAGCGTCGCGTGCGGCGCCTACACGGTGTCGTCGGGCTGGAGCGGCCAGTTCGGCGACGGCGCCGGCTTCTCGACGCTGTCCGTCACCGACCGCAAGCAGATTGTTTACCCGGCCTACACGGATAAGCAGCTCGTCAGCGGGCAGGTCGTCAAGCCCGATCAGAGCTATGCGCCCCAGGCGCTGCCTTAGATTTTCTTGACTGACTGAGTGGGGTTGGGATTGAGATTGATATCTGATGGGGATGGGGGGGTTTTTACGACAGTCCTTAATGCGTAATTCGTAATCTACGAGATTTTTTGGTTCGCAAATCAGTCATGACTTCTGGCTTCTCTTGCTGTGACGTGTTTGTTTCTCTTCTTTTTTTGTTGGACAACAAAGAACATGTTGTAGATGATAATCTCCATCACCCAACAAGGGTCTCTCATTCAGCAACGTGTTATCATGAACAACACCCTCGTTGAATCCCTTTCTTCATTCGCCTACATAAACCCCATGTAGTAGCAGCGATTCAATAGATCATCCAGCTATCAGCTTCACTTCTTTCACCCGGCTGTGATCACACCGACTGACACTTTTTTTCTGCTTCTCTGCAGTGGTTTCTCGTCTGCCGTTACCCGGCTGTGATCATCCGACGCATGAACCGTGTTGTTTGGGGGGAGGAAGAAGCAGTTCGCAGCCTTGCCTTTCCTCTTGGTCATACTTACACGCTACTTCGACGACAGAAAAGTCGATGCAGGAAACAGGCGATGAGGAGGTCCTAAATGTGTTTGAATCTGATGGATCGACTCCTCTGTGGGGCTAGCACTTCGTAGGAGACTGAATACATGAGTGAGATAGACTAAGTCTAATTGGATATTCTATCCTGAGAAGTATCTACTATATGCGGCGCGTCCTCAATCTTCTTCAACAAAATCTTCACGGTACGCTGGCCGGCCTCGGCATTATCATGGGCAAAATCTCGTGCCCCCCAGCATCAAGTTGTAACAATGGTGGAGCCACACACGCGCATTTCCCCCCTCCCCCAAAGCGCTGAATACGCCATATCGAAGGAGGGAGGGAGGCAGAGTCAGCCAAGCCCAGTCTATGATCAGTTCTCCGCGAAACAAGGAGGCCAGTGGATCCTACTCGATGGTCGGTTCTCGCAAAGCAAGGAGGCCAGTCAAACAGTTAGTGGGTATCCTCGCTGTTTCCTCTCTCAAAGGATCCTCAAGTGATGGTCGCTCCTCATGGACCGTTGGAATCAAGATATAGATATGTATACATGTGTGTGTGTGTGTGTGTGTGTATGCAGGATTCCAAAGAAATCGAAGGTGCTCATGGGACGGCCCGGCTGGTGCCCGCCAGGCCAGGTGCTGGTGGCGCGCGCGTGCGAGGTGGCTGCACGTGCGGGCTATAAGGGTAAGGCAAGGCGCGCGCTCAGAGCGCATGCGCTGATGGGGAGGACGTGCGTGATGGAAGCGGCGTGAGATGCGCGGAAGGCGGTCAGGTGGATGGGCGGGGCAGAGGAGGGCAAGGGATTAGTGTGTGGGGGAGGGGTATAAGAAGTTTCCTTTTTGTTGGCGATGCAGCTGTCTGCGGGATTCGATGGTGGCGCCCGTTTCGGTGTGAGGCGTAGACACACACTAAAACATCGAAGACTGCTTTCCTTGCGCCCTGTCGTGGATCACTCGTCTGGGTGCTTGGCTTCTGCTTTGTTTTGTTTAAGGGGGAAACGGTCTCTGTTATCTGAGCATTGCCACGCATTCTTATGTAATGAGTGGCGTCGTCAACATATCCTGCTCGCATCTACCATCATCGTAAGGTGATGCTGCTTTCCAGCAGTAGAAAAAAAAGCTGATGTGCTAAAGATTCCAACTTTGTCCGTAGTTCTACGGTGAAATGCGAGTGACCTTATGTTTAGGTCCCGACAGCAGCGCACCACAAAAAGTAGACTACTTGATACTTACAAGATCGAAACTTCGATTCTGAAGTAGCGCTTTGGAATCGTTGACATAAATCCTTGATGAGCGGATATAAATAATATTCTTGGACATGACGCGTTCCCTCGATTACAAAAAACAAATCATGAGAACTTCAGGCACGTGTCAACACCAGCTCCTATGTTAGGGCGAATGATTTACACATGCGAGAGGCTGCATCCTACTCCTGCCGCCCCCCACACCACAAGTGCCACAATTTGAATTTGGCCTCAGACCGTGCCTGGGAAAGCCGTCTCCGGAACTTGCTCGGGAAATATCCTGTATTCGAACACAAGGCGACCTACACGATACCTACTGTAACCATGACGCTGGTATGTCGAAAGAAAGCACTACATAGCCAACGTAGTAGCCAACATATCACCTGTTTGCACCCTCACTTCGCTGTGACACCAACAGCTCACAGGCGCTCCCAAGCCCGCCACCCTCTCTCACTCAGTCTCGGCTCATGGACCTCGGCATTACCGGCCTCGCTCCTGGCAAACGATGATTCGCCCAGTACGAATCCCAATCCCCGTCCGTCGGATCAGTCTAATACCAATGCGAGCTCCCGCAGTCCCTGAGATCGCCTGCCAGCAGCCAATGATCCATCACCCCGTCTCGGCCCGGACCGGTGTCATCCCAGCGGAACGGGGTCATCGAATCGAATATTCCCATGTATAGCTGATGAGTCGGCTGCATTTCCGGGCCAGGTGTGCTGACCGAATCCCGACCTGATCTAGGCTCGACCTCTGGCACACAGCTACCTCGGACGGTTTAATGGAGTCTGGGACTCAGCTGGCGGTGCGGATGCCAGCTACCTACCAGCTCTTGTTCGTTCAATGCGGGGGTGCGTGAAGGAAGGCGAGGGGGGGGAGGGTGGCTTGGGGATTGGGGTTCATTGGAGATTGTGGGGTCGGGCCGAGAACCACACGTCCTCGGCTGTACCAGGGCCGGAACAGGCGTAGTGCAGGAAGATGAAATCCGGACCCGCAGGCTGTCCGAAATGGCGCCCCCCTCCCTCCTGCATCCTGTCGAACAGCGGAGAATGTGACTGGTTGGGTCCGACAGTCGGCGCTGACACGGGGCGCTGGCAGCATGTCGGGCGCATCGTTGTTATTGTGAGGACTGGAATCAATGGGCGAGCACATCTGGACTCGGGAACATCGGACGAGATTAGATCTCCGGGAATGATGCCGCGATGCGTGTGTTGAGATTGGGCTTGTGACCCCTCCTGGTCCGTGCTCGTTGGAGGGGTAACAATGCGGGGAACGAAGCTTCTGGGGAAGGCAGTTTTCGTGCATACCCCTCACGCCTGCACGCTGCGATACGGGCCATGTCTGCGATACGGGCCGAGTCGCGCCGGCCAGCAGGTGTAACTGCGGGGCGGGCCGACTGCGACCGCCAAGTGCTGGCTTGCCATTGGCCAATCGAGAGGGAGACGAATGGGGGACTCGTGCGGAAATCCCCCTCATTGGCCGTGGCTGCCCCAAGCACTTCCGGACGCCCTCTCCAGTTGGTGCGACCCCGCAATCCAGTTTCCAGCCCGGTGCAGTCCCACTACTGAACACCCAGATGCCGCCTATAAATATTTCCACAAGCAGCTGGCTGTAGCCTGTTCTTGCCATCTCTTCCCTCCAACTCTCTCTCTCTCTCTCTCTCCCGGCTCAAACAAACCAACACCAAACCCGCACAGTCCACATCACAAGCCACCACCCTCCACAATGGCATCAAACGGCGTAAGTCACGACCCAAACCCCCTCACCGCAAAGCCCGACGACATCAATCTCACCCTCGCCTCGCAGAAAACCTACAACCGCGTCTTCAACCACGTCGGCGTGTCCGTGTCCGACGCCGAAGCGACGGTGGCGTGGTACACCAAGGTGCTGGGCTTCAAGCTGCTGGGGACCGTGTGCACCATCACGCGGGCGGAGCACCCGGAGGACGCCATCTTCGGCATCTACCCGGAGAGCCTGCAGGAGGTGAAGCTGGCCAAGATGGCGACGGGCAACGGCGTCGGCTTCGAGATCTTCGAGTTCGTCAACCCCAAGTTCCAGCAGGCCAAGGAGTTCGAGTACAACCGCGGCGGCTTCTTCCACATCTGCGTCACCGACCCCGATCCGGACGCCGTCGCGCGCACCTTCATCGCCGAGGGCGGCAAGCAGATCGGCAAGACGGTCGATCCGTCCGGCAACGGCGACATCAAGACTCTGTACCTGGCCGATCCGTGGGGCAATGTCGTCGAGGTTGTGGATGTTAATTTCGAGTATATGGGACTGAAGTCGGCGTTGATTTAGAGAAAGAAAAAAAAAAGAACGAACGAACGAGATAACCCGCGCGCATGCCGTGTAACCCAAAATAGAGAACGACAGATATCAATTTGCTTCACATCGTTGCTTCAATTTTCTCATCAAAAAGTCTATCTATGCATCTGTTTTTCTCTTCTTCTATCGGAAACGCCCTTTCTCAAACTTACAATAAACTGCCACAAAGGAGAAAAAAGAAAAAAAACCAAACAAGCCACCGTCCCCAATCCAACCAACACCTCCACCAACCCCCCAAGCGGAACACAGCATCAGCCAGCCTAGTCGTACTGCCTATCCTTGCGCAAAACCGTCGTCGGACCCAGATCCGTCGTCAGCGAGATGTGCCCGACCACCTCGCGCGCGCTCACATCGCCAATCCTGACCCTGACATCCCGCATCGCGCTGGCCCTCTGGACGCCGCTCTTGTACGAGCCCTCGGCGTGCCCAGGCAGGTGCACGTTGTCGCGGGTGTACGTCGACGCGAAGCCGAAGACGTCCGGCGCGACGACGACGAACTCGAGCACGACCGTCACGCCGCCGGCGACGACCATGACGACGGACGTGATCATGGCGACGAACATGTGCGGCCACCTGCACCGGTACACGCGGCGGCCGGGCCGGGTGACGCGGGCGGCCGTGTCGTTGAAGGGCGTGGAGGAGGTGTCGCCTTGCTTGAAGACGAGCCGGTTCGCGGCGTCGAAGGCGGGCGGGGCCGGCCGGTCGTGCAGCAGGTCGGCTTGCAGGTAGGGCGGCATGTAGAACGACTGCCACCACGTGTTGATGAGGGTCTCGAGGCGGGCGGAGAAGTCGGCGATCGGGACGGATGAGTAGTCGGGCCACGGGTAGTACTGGCTCGACACGTACCCGTCGTTGGTGCCGTTGAGCCAGAGCTCCGCGTTGGTGGCGCCGATGCCGTCCGTGTAGCGCGCGTAGGCGGCGGGGATGTTCTTGGATTCGAGGTACGTGAAGCGCTCTTCTTGGCTGACTGACGCGCGGGAGAGGGTTTGGAGGACCATGCGGAGGCCCTGCACGGGCGTTCCGCCCGTCGCGAGGTCGTGGTTGGGATCGCCCTCTGAGAGACCGTCTTGCGAGTCTGAGTCCCAGAGGCCTGGGTTCCAGACGTCTTTCCATTGGTTCAGCGGGCCGTTGCAGCTCCTTGAGTTGCAGCCCCAGCTCTGGTCTTCGACGTTGATCGAGGAGAGATATGGTACGGATGTGTCTGCGCTTTGTACCTCGTTCAAGAGGAGCATCGAGTTGACCTCGCAGGATGTTTGAGAGCAGCTGACGTTGGACACGACGTTCTGAGCGCCGATGGAGCAGTATGCCAGGTTGACGGGGACCTTTGGCAAAGGGGCAGGTTCGCTCTGGGCATCCGACACTTGGTCTGCGAAGGCATCCCACTGTGGATTTCCCTTCATTGAAACGAGCCGCATGGGCCAGGATGACTGCGACGCTGTCATGTTGTTCGGGACCGCCAGGTCCATGACGAATGCCTGGTGAGTCCAAGCATAGTCATGGTTGAAGTCGTTCTGATCCAGCATCGACGAGTCAATGTGTGAACAGTTGACGGCCCAGTGCCGAGACGGAAGCTGAAATGTCGTTTCCGTATTCAGATCCTGACTCAAGCCCGCAATGGGAATCCCCATCAACGAAGAGTACGTAGTAGGCCGACTGGCATCGAGCTGCCTCCATTCGGCGGGATTCCAGCTTCCGTTGCCCGGCATCAACGAATGGACCGAGGGTATCTTTACGTAGTCTTTGAAGTCCCGTGGGGAGCTGACTTTGGATTGCATCAAGAGTGAAATCTGGAAAAAGACTGCGCTTGAAAGCAGCAGTCTTGAGAGCGGCATCGAGACGTCTTCCGAGGCCTTTACCGTGTCCTGCGCGGCCTGGATCAAGGGCAGATACTTGACTGTTCCCTCCGTCGTGTTGTATGTATCCGAGAATTCGCCAAGATGCAGGACAGCCTGGCTGGCGAAGGGAGGAAGCAGCCAAAGAAGGATCATTCCTAGGCTGGTGATGGTGAAGGGACGCATGGTGACTTGGGTTCGAATAGCAGTGTAGATGGATTGGCATCCAACGAAGCGTTCCAAAGTCTGGACAAAGTCAGGGGGCAACATGGAGGTTGAGCAGCGACAGACTTACCCCGATAGTGATTCCGGTCTGGGCCCGGTAAAGAGCGAATTTGGAGAAAAAGCGTCCCATGATGGTGGTGAAGAGGATAGGAGTCACAGTGACCCAGAGCGAAATTTCGCGGAGTTTCGTTTTGGTGCTATAGTATTTGGCGTCGTCTTCTGGTTTTCCATGCATTGCCGCAATTGTGAAGACGAGTTCTGTCGTAGTCAGCACGTGCGGGTGTCGAGGTGTATGGAACATGGAGCTTACGGAGGGTATGTACCGCATTGATAAGTTGAAGGATGCCGAAGGCGACAGAAAGCACGCGCGGGAGGGTCCAGCGGCCGAGGTAGCCATCTTTACGCTGCAAAGGCCGGTCAACGACGATGCTTGGCTCGCGCGACTGAAGTGACTGCACGCGCTTCAAGTTGTGGATCGGCGACACAAAATCCTCCTTGTTGATGGTAGGCGAGGTCATGGTTTCGAAGGTTGGCAGCCAAGCTGCCAGGCGGCGGTGGATGGTTTTCTTGCGCGCAGAGTGACGGACGAAAAGTAGAGGAGGGGGAGGTGGGCAAGAAGAGAAAAAAATAGAAAGAAGTAGGGCAGTTTCGGCAGTGACGACTCTGGCCCTGTCTCGTGACCGCCTTCCTGGGTGGGACTGGGAGTAGGTGTCAAGGAAGCCAGAGAAACCGTAGCTTCACCCGACTGTATAGATCGAGTGAACGAACGGGTGAGTGGAGATGACCGTAGCCCATGAAACAAAGAGTGATGAGGTGTAAGGCTTCCAGGCTACCAATGTTGCAAACAACTTTGGCATAAGCTAGGTAGCACGGAGGCCGAATACTCCATGTTTGCCTATCGTACTCCCATGCTTCATGCATACTAAGCTGGATCGTCGTGGATGGCATCATGCCTGGTTTCTGGCCGAGTAAACTTGCAATCGTCCGCACTCCTAGCATCTGAAGTCCCCGGAAATTTCCAAGACCTCATGTTCCAATCTTACCATCCTGAATCAAGGTTCAATATCAGCAATCGACTGGAGTCACTCCGTGATGTCACAGTCGCGTAAGTACTGAACGACATAGCTAAGCGTGCCAATGTTTCAAAAATGGAAGTAAACGGATGTTTAGGCATGAGTTGGGTTCGTGGAGATATTTAGTCAATTAGGACAGTAAGGCTACGGGTGTACCTTTGAAGTAGTAGGTGGCGTCGCAGGGTCCGTCCGGAAGAGAGAATTGCCGAGATGCGGAGGACTGTGTGGGGTATGGACGCTGCACGTGATAATGTTTTTGTATATAATTTATCAAATCCGCAAATTCATTTCCAGTTGCGGCCATGGCCTAGTGGTTATGGCGTCAGTCTTACAGTGGCCTTGTGCCTCCATGTGAACACTGAAGGTCGGTGGTTCGATCCCGCCTGGCCGTAGTATCTCGATTCCTTCTTTTTTTTTCTTTTTATCTACTCTTCCCTTATTAGTCGATCACCCTGGAACAGAAAAGAGTGTTGACAGCATTAGCCAGCTACCTCTCACAGTACTTCTGTTTTGGCTCAAACGCACTTATCTCTGCATCGCCAAAGCAACCGAACAACCGCAAGCGAGGGACGCCATCTCAACGACATAGCCAACCAGCTCTCCGCGCCAACCCCGTGCCCAGCCCCAAGCCGCCAAATCATTGTTTCCGCCGTGCCCCCGTGCCTTCCGTTATAGCTATCATGTTTTGTCTCTACCAACCACCGCCGCGCCGAGACGGAGATACCCCTCCAAGCGAATACCTCCGGCGAGAGGAGATAAAGCTAATCATCCCGCTCACCCGTCACCGGCGGCTCCCGACTGAGCTGCAAGTCATTGAAATGACTTCAGGCGAGAGCCAGTTCAATGTATATGAGCAGCCGAAAATCCTTGCGACAGGAAAGATGGAGGGTAGATAGTGATCGAGACACTTCATTCTTCCACAATGATGCCATCGTCCTTGTCCGCCTCTAATGCAGCATTGCTGCTAGTGACGCTCAGCAGCACGGCCGCCGCCGCTCTGTACAGCAACACAAGCACCCTGAACCACACATGCCAGCTGAGTACGCCAAAAACAAAACCTACCCACCCCGACCCGATCCTAACACGAACCAAATGCAGCCGACCCCATCCAATCCTGCTCCGTCGCTGCGCAGCCAGGCCTGACCGATACCTGCTGCACCGAAACCTTCGGCGGGCTGGTACTCGCCACACAGTTCTGGGACACGTACACCGGGTACGAAAGTCAAGCCCAGCTGCTGCCACAAGAATCGTGGACGATCCACGGGCTGTGGCCGGATTTTTGCAACGGGTCATACACGCAATACTGCGACCTCAGCAGGCAGTACGACCCGGACCCGAGTCCGAAGACGACGAATGGGCTGGCGAATGGTAAGCTGCCTGCTCATCTCCACGGGGGAACAAAAACCGAGAAGGTGAAAGGAGAAAATGGTGTGTTGATACATGGACAATGCAGGCACCGTCGTCCCGCCGTACAACGGCTCCGACATCAGCAGCTTCCTCATCCCATTCGGCAAACACGACTTGCTGGAATACATGAACACGTGCGTAGCCTCCTTCCACCCTCCCCCAAAATCCCACCCAACGCACGAAGCTGACTCCTCCCCCTCCTCCGCCCACAGCTACTGGATCGCCCAAAACCAACCAAACTGGCACCTCTGGGCGCACGAGTTCTCCAAACACGCAACCTGCTTCTCGACCTTCGACACCCCCTGCTACGGGCCGCCCGGCGCCCACAACGCGCCGCACGCCTCCGTCGTCGACTACTTCGAGACGGCCATCCTCTTCGACCGCCGCCTGCCGACGTACGCCTGGCTCGCCGACGCCGCCATCGCGCCGTCCAACGGCACGCCGTACGCGCTGTCCGGCATCCGCGACGCGTTGCGGGCCCGCTACGGGGCGGCGCCGTACGTGGGGTGCTCGGGCCCGCGGTTCAACGAGACGGCGGCGGGGGGAGGGTCGGCGGACGGCGGGAGGACCGTGTTGAGCGAGGTGTGGTATTACGGTCATGTTGTGGGGCGGCCGCAGGAGGGCGTTTATCTGCCGGTCGATGCGACGGGGGGTGGGACGAATTGCGCGAAGGCGGACGGTGCGGTGTGGTATTATGAGAGGGCGCTGGGATCGGAGAGGGTGGTGGGTTGAGACGTGTTGGATGATTGGGGGAGGTGATTGGCCTTTTAAAGCGTGTAGTAGTGTTTTGGATGAGGGAATGAAGAGTCGAGAGAAGGCCTTTTTTTTTGCTAGCTTGCTGCTTCCTGAACACCTTGGGTAGTACCGAGAACTCCGTTTATGCTTTTCCATCCACCTTCCACAAATCATACAGTCGACCAGAAACCTCGACAATTTTCCGTTTCACCAACCCCACCACTTCTTGATCGTATCTCCAATCGTCGCCTTTCCATGCTCCTGCCTCTGCAACCTCCTGACCCGCTCCTCCTCGAACAGCGCCTCGACCTGCTTCGCAATGATCTTGCTCTCCGCATACTCGCCCTGTATCACCCTCAACTCCACGTCGCGCTCCTCGCCATGCAGCTCCTGCAAACGCGCCTCAAACTCCTTCCGCATCTTCGGACTCAGCCCGCGCATCTCGTCCAAACTCTCGGCCAACTCCCTCTCCTCCCTCTCCCTCGCCTTCGCCTCATCCACCTTCGCCCGCGCCACCCCCTCGACCCCCACCACCACCACCGGCGCCACCTCCCCCTTCATCGCCGCCGCCACATTCTCCCTGCTCAAAATGCTCCCAAAAACCGGCGGCTCCTCCCCGCGCTCCCTCGCCTCCCTCACCGCCCGCTCCTGCGCCACCATCCGCTGATACAACCGATCCGCATGCATCTGCACCGCCTCCTCGCGCTCGCGGCCCTCGCCCTGCACCGCGAGGTACCCCAGCGCCTTGAGGAAGCGGCTCTGCATCGTGTAGCAGCGGTCGAGCGCCTGCGTGTCGGCGCGGCACATGGACACGCGCGCCGCCCACGACCCCGACCGGAAGCAGTCGGACAGCGCCGCCTGCTCGAAGGCGCAGTTCTCGAGCGCGGCCCGCCCGATGTTGGCGCGGCGGTCGTTGTACGCGGCGACGATGTCGGACAGCTTTTCTTGGTCCGACCGCGTGCGCGACTCGATGCTTGAGAGCGGCTCGTATGTCTTCCAGAGGTGGGCGTAGCGCCCGTCTGGGTAGAGGGACTCGGCGGGGGCGGAGGCGGGGGAGTTGTCGTGTTGTTGAGGGGTGGTGGTGGTGGTGGTGGCGGCGGCGGCGGGAGGAGAAGGGGGTTGGGCGAGTTGCTGGTGTTGTTGTTGGTGTTGTTGCGCGGCGGGCGTGGAGGCGGACTCTTTTTCGAGGAATTGCTTGAGGCTGGGGTCGAGCTGCTTCGCCGGGTCGGCGGAGGCGCTGCCGTCGGATGAGCCCCAGAACCAGCCCATTGTGATGTGTTGCTCCGAGGTTGTTTGCGTGTGCGTGTGGGTGGAGGTCAATTGGTTGTGTGGGGGTGGATGAGGTGGATGGGCGATGGGTGGTGAAGGATAGCTCGGGTTGTGAAGAAGAAAGTCTTGGCCGCTCGCTCGGCCGTCGGAGGTGCGCACTTGCCCCGCTTTCCTCAACCATCTAAACCCTCGTCATCCACCAGCCCAAGGCCATCGTTTGACGACTCGTATCATCAAGATGTGCTGTTCATCATCTAGATGTATATGCACCAACAATTTACGCCGCCGCCGTCTGGGCCGGGAGATACCACGCTTCATATCTGGCCAACTACCGGGTAACTCAATAGCGTGCGATTATTAGGCTACTGTCTCACCATCCTTTCAAACATGCCCTAGAACGCTACAGGCAGAGATCGCTATGCCCGAGCTACTGCAATCGACCAAACTCCATTCGACTCCTACTTCGACATTTCACATGTCCGGGAGAAATTTCCAAAGATTGGACTTGCTGAAGACCAGTGGCTTGCTCATGCATCCAGCATGAGTTTGATACCCATCAAAGAATATGGCGATGCAGTCGCTGTAACATAAATATGTCACACAATGGCTTCGAAGAGCACATGAAGTCTTCTCATCCGAACAACGTCTCCATAGAACAACTGCCGGAATTAGCAGATGCGTGATGGCTCCAAAGACCGCGACTACCCGCTGGGGACTGGCCTTTGCGATGAATGGGACAAAAGATTGAGAGCACTCGATCCAGATGCCCGTCCTGGGGAGCCGCTTTTTGTGACTAAGAAGCAGTTCCAGAAACATGTTGGATCACACATGGAACAACTCGCTCTTTTCGCTACTGGGCCTTCGCAGTTCACGGCTTCTGAGCTGGAAACTTCGAGGCCCTCGAAATTTTCTGTCAAGGAGCTCAACACCTTACTGAAAATAATAGATAGATGCCACTTTACCGGTTCCACAAGCCCCTCAGCGAGGCTTTCTGCCTAAGGACAATGATGGCTTTTGTCAAGTATGTGGACTTTTCTACCAAGTGTCTACTTCCGCCATGCCGTCAATTACATATTCTCGTTTATCAAAAACCCAGCGGAAGTTGAAGCAAAGATACATCATAGCAGAAATGCAGCCTTCTACAACGATCGCGTCACTACATGGAGAAATATTCCCATCGAACATGGTTCCTTCGGTCCTTAGAGTCGTCCTTGTAGTCATCCTCGTGATAGTCGTCGGACTCAAGACAGCTAGGTCTTTGCAGAAGAACATGGTTCTAGGCAAACCCGCAGCTGACTGGGCCGCTCTATGTGCCGTCGTCCTGTTCGAACCATCCGGGACCCTCCAAACGCTGACTTCGCATCCTTCGGGCGCCAGCTCAGTGAATCAGCGTGCCAATTGAACCGATATGCTGAAGCGACAATATAGACCATTAGAGCCGAACAAGGAAGAGTTACAAACCAACTCTTGAGGAAGGACTTTTCCAGACGGAGTTGGGCGGCACCTTCAGTCCACTGCTCTTGCCACCCCCAGCCCAGCATGACCTCCTAACACAATCTGGGGAAGCCGCGAGTCTGCGGAACGCGTGAGCGCGTATGTGATGTCTGCCCTTGCAGAATCACGTCTACCACGGGGCAAGGCAAGGCCAAAGACGCTCACGCCGCCACGCCAGTGCTGACGAACTTGAAGATATCGTCCAAGGGCATCATAGGGCGAATCGGCGGGATAGTCTCCGTCTTCTTGTCGGCCCCAGCGCCCTCGCCGCCCTCGACGCCTTCCATGGCGCCGCCCTCCTCATCCTCGTCGTCGTCGTCCTCATCCTCGCCCTCATCGTCCTCGTCCTCGGCCGTCAGGACCTCCCTGCCAATCTCGCCGCCCGCCGGCCCCGCCCAATCCCACAACTCCTCAATCTGCTCCCCCGTCAACCCGCCATCCCCAACCAACCTCGTCGCCCCATCGCCCCCGCCCCTCCCACCACTCGCACCTCCCTCCTCCTCGTCGCCCACAGCCAACCTCACGCCATCAGCGATCCAATCCTCGACCCACGGCACCATCTTCTTGCGCGTCAGCTGCGTCGCCATGTTCTCGTGCGAGCGGCCGGGAAATGTGGGCAGCGGGAACGGGTGCGCCTGGCCGAGCAGGGTGCGGTTGGCGGCGAAGGCCTCGAGCAGCGCGCTCAGCCGGCCGTTGATGATGTTGGACTGGTGCGCGACGGTGGCCCACGGCGCGGGGGCGTGCGTGTCCCAGATGTGCGCCAGCTGCGTCGCCTTGAGCACCTCGAGCGCGCCGTTGAGGTGCTGGATGCGCTGCGCGAGGAGGTCGAGGCTGCGGATTTCGTCGGGTGGGGCGCGCGAGGTGGGTGGGTGGGCGTGGGCGGACATGGTGGTGGTGGTGGTGGTGGTGGTGCAGCTCTGGGCTGGGCTGTCGCGGTTGATTTGGTTGGAGTGGAGCTCGAATGCGACGTGTAGATGTGCGGTGGTGGTGTGTTTGGTGTTTGGTGCTTGGTGCTTGGTGCTTGGTGTCGGCGGGCGGAAATGGACGAAGCTTGCGCGAGTCAGTCGCGAGGTCGGATGATGGGAAAATGCGGGACGCGGGTTTGCCCTGACGCATCTGCCAAAGAATGCAGCCATATTATCGAACGACCACATTTCTCGCACATACCTCTCCTTTCCTTTCCACCAGCCTTTTGCCACGTTGAGCCATGGCGAACCCAACATCGCCCAAGGCCACGACCAATGGCACCATGTCCCGCCCGCAGACGCCCAAGGTCAACAGCTTCGCGCTGACCGAATATACCGCCAACCCGTCCCCGCCGCCTCAGAGCCCGGTGGTGAAGACGCAGGGCGTGCCCGAGCACTTCCTGCTGCCCAACGGCTTCCCAGATGTAACACCGCCGTCCTGACTCTCGCGCCGCTGCTTCTGACCGTCGAGCAGTACCTGCGACTGATCCTGACCTCGCGCGTCTACGAGGTCGTGAAGGAGACGCCTCTGACCCATGCCGTCAACCTGAGCAATCGCCTGGAATGCAATGTCATGCTGAAGCGCGAGGACCTGCAGCCTGTCTTCAGCTTCAAGCTGCGCGGCGCCTACAACAAGATGGCGCACCTGGACCAGGAACAAAGCTTCAAGGGTGTCGTTGCTTGCTCTGCGGGTATGTCGGGAACATTGCGCAGCATGCTGGACATAAAGTGCTGATTGCTGCCAGGAAACCATGCCCAAGGCGTTGCATACTCTGCCCGGAAACTCAAGATCCCCGCCACCATCGTCATGCCATCCGGCACCCCAGACATCAAGCATAAGAACGTCTCGAGACTAGGCGGGCACGTCGTGCTCCACGGACCCGACTTCGACTCGGCCAAAGAAGAGGCACACCGGTTGGAGAAGCAGCACGGGCTGGTCAATATTGCGCCGTTCGACGATCCGTACGTCATTGCCGGCCAGGGTACCATCGGCATGGAGGTCCTGCGCCAGACGAACCTGCAGGACTTGGAGGCAGTCTTCTGCTGCGTGGGTGGCGGTGGTCTGATTGCTGGCGTCGGTGTCTACATCAAGCGTATAGCGCCCCACGTCAAGGTCATTGGTGTTGAGACGTACGATGCCAACGCCATGGTCCAGTCGCTGAGGGAGGGTCGCCGCGTCGCCCTCAAGGAGGTTGGTCTCTTTGCCGATGGAGCCGCCGTGAAGAACGTTGGCGAGGAGACATTCCGGGTGGCCTCGGAGGTCGTGGACGAGGTCATCCAAGTCACGACCGACGAGACTTGCGCCGCCATCAAGGACATTTTCGAAGACACGCGCTCCATCGTCGAGCCCGCAGGCGCGCTGGCACTGGCGGGTCTGAAGAAGTATGTCGCGGCCAACCCTTCGCCCAACCCGAACCGCGGCCTCATCGCTGTTGCTTCTGGCGCCAACATGAACTTCGACCGTCTTCGATTCGTCGCCGAGCGCGCCGCGCTTGGTGAGAAGAAGGAAGCGTTGCTCTCCATCACCATCCCCGAGAAGCCAGGTGCTTTCGCGAACCTGATCAAGGCCGTCCACCCCATGGCATGCACAGAGTTTGCCTACCGCTACAACGACGCATCCAAGGCCAACATTCTCATCGGCGTCGCGCTAAATGCCGCCAGCCGGAGCCGCGATCTGGCCGATCTCCTCGCCCGCCTAGAGAAGGACGGCATGCACGCCATCGATCTCTCGGGCGACGAAGTTGCCAAATCTCACGTCAGGTATCTTGTTGGCGGCTGTCCTTCGGCCGTCTCCACCGAGAGGATATTCGCGTTCGAGTTCCCGGAGAGGCCAGGTGCGCTGTACAAGTTCTTGACCACGATGCAGCCTGATATGAACATCTCGCTGTTCCACTACCGCAACCACGGCGGTGATGTCGCCAAGATATTGGCAGGCATCCAGTGCCCTGAAGCCAAGGAGAACGAGCTGAAGGAGTTCCTGGAGAAGATCGATTACCCCTTCAAGGAGGAGACCGAGAACCCGGTCTACAAGATGTTCCTGAGGGAGTAATGTTTTGATGATAGGTAACGTCGTGTATTTTGTCATGTGCGCATGTAGTCTTCTGGAGTTAAAGGTGGATTTTGAATGATAGAGGCGAAGAATATCCGTTCAGCGGCCAATGAGACTTGACACAAAAGCCATTTACATTACGTCGTCTTTTGCTGACCATCTAGTGCATATTATTCAGATTCTTGAGCCCTGTGTGACAGACGTGAGCGCAACTTACGCAAGTCGTGGGGGTTTCGCAGATGCAAAGTTGCCGAGAGGGAAAGCCGCGTCATTTTCAGTCATGAGTGACGGAAGAACGGCTGTCTGGGACTGACAAATGAGCATCGGTCGTTGATAAGACGGAGTGGGATATGTGGAGCCCTCAAAAGAAACAAGCATGGTTCCTGGTGGGGCTTGGCAAGGCTTCTTTTGCGGCGACTGGGTGCAGCTTCCGGACCCCGTCCCGCTTGTCGATCATCGAGCCTCCTTTCTCCGCCTCCAAACCCCGATCCGACCTCTGCCATTCTGCAGATCAGCTCGCGTCCATTCTCTGTGGTCCATAGTCTAGCTATAACGCAGACTCCTAATCACTAGCATGATCCTACGCAAGAAAAACTTCAACCTATTTGTGCTGATCTGCAATCGGCTCAGTATCCAATAGTCCCTTTTGCTAGGTGATAAGCAGTGCCGGTGCACCCGCTAGCGGGGAGAGGATCACCGCCAACTCCGGCAACGAATGACGTCTCATATGGGGACGACGGCACGGAGCTTGGGGTCGTCTCCACACCGCATATGTCAAGTTCCGGGGCTACCTGCCACCTGCCTTGTCGAACTGATTGCCACAAAGATGTTTGCAGGACCGATCGCCGCCTTTTAAACCTCGTGTCTCTTCTACCCACGTCCGGTCTCGCAGCATCCATCTTTCGTCCACAGAGCCAAAGTCTCTCCCGCGATGGAAAATCAAGGCCAAGATGCAGACCGCTTCGACCCCGCGGACCTTGAAAAGGAGTTGGAGCCAACACGTACTTCGAAGTTGAACGATAGCGATTCTCCATCGGGTGGCATTCGAGCAACACCATCCGACGACCGGATTTTGCTCTCCGAGGAGCAGGCTCTCAACCGTGCGAGAGAGCTTCCCAACAGCACCGACCCCATCTACTTGACCTATTCCATCGACGACAAGGAAAATCCACGCAACTGGCCAAAATGGAAAAGGTGGTACATCACCTGCTTCGTCAGCATGCTGAACGTATTCACGTATGTCCTAAACCCTCACCAGCTGCAGTCAGAAAAAGTCTCTGACAGATTCACCACAGCTGCCTCTGTGCAGGCGGATATAGCTCCGGCCAAGAACAGCTCATAGCTGAATTCGACGTTTCCGCCGAAGTTGGGACAGTGGGCCTGTCGATGTACATCCTAGGCTTTGCCGTCGGGCCCCTCATGCTGGCACCGCTGTCCGAATACTTTGGCCGCAACCCGGTCTACGTCTGGTCCTGGCTGCTTCTCGTCATTTTCCAGATTCCGCTCGCCCTGGCGCCAAACATCGGGACGGTCATCGTCTGCCGTCTGCTGCAGGGTTTCTTTGGCAGCGCCCCCCTCACAAACACTGGCGGAACCGTCAGTGATCTTTGGGCGAGGAACGACTGTGGTAGCGCCATGGCCATCTATGGATTGAGCAGCACCTTCGGCCCACCGCTCGCTCTGGTCATCAGTGGCTACATCGCTCAAAACATGGGCTGGAGATGGCTGTTCTGGGTGTACATGGCCATCTTCGGCGGTTACTGGCTTCTCCTCGTGGTATGAGTGTCTGAATCGTCCGAACCAAGCCTGCTCACCGCTAACGCACCCCACAGCTCACCGTCCCAGAAACGCGCCACTCCATCATCCTCGACAAGAAGGCAAAGCGCCTCCGCAAGCGACTCCGCGCTGAAGGCCTCACCGCAGCCGCCGACAACCTCCTCGACGCCAACGCCGACGAAAAAAAGGGGCTACACACCCTCTTCGCCATCACCCTCACCCGCCCCTTCCGCTTCCTCTTCACCGAACCGTAAGTCCCCCCATCCCCACCACCGAAACCTCGCCACGACCGCCTAATCTAACCACCACCACCACCCCCGCCACAGCATCACCATCTTCGCCGCCCTCTACAACGGCTGGATCTACGGCATCGTCTACCTCCTCAACGAAGCCATCCCCCTCGTCTTCGGCACCGGCCACGCCTTCACCACCGGCCAATGGGGCTGCTCCTTCGCCGGCCTGGCCATCGGGTCCCTCCTCGCCGCCTCGCTGCACCTCCCCCTCCAAGAGCGCCACTACCTCCGCCGCGTCGCCGCCTCCGGCACCGGCGCCGGCTGCCCCGAGGCCCGCATGCACCTCGCCCGCTTCGGCACCTTCCTGCTGCCCGCCTCGCTCTTCTGGTTCGCGTGGACGAGCTTCCCGACCGTCCACTGGCTCGCGCCCGTCGCGGCGAGCGCCCTCTTCGGCGCCGGCATATACGTCATCATCCTCGCGATCTTGAACTACGTCGTCGACAGCTACCAGACGTACAGCGCGTCGGCGCTGGCGGGCGTGATCCTCGTAAGGAATCTCGTCGGCGCGGGGTTCCCGCTGTTCGGGCGGCAGATGTACGAGCGGCTGGGGTGGGAGTGGGCGAGCAGCTTGCTGGCGTTTCTGAGCGTCCCGCTGTGTGCGATCCCGTTTGTGTTTTTTTACTGGGGCGAGGCGATTCGGTTGAGGAGTCCGTGGGCGAGGTGTGTTGCTGTCCAGGTTTTTCTTTCTTTTTCCCCTCGGCGGATGTTGTGAGAGGTGAGAGGAGAGGGTTCTTTGCTGACGGTGTGTTTTGTAGGGAGCATTTCGCGCAGGATGAGGATAAGCCGCATTGATTTCGTGGAGGTGGGGATGGTTTGTATGGGGGAGATGTCCGGAAGGGCGTGGTACAGAAGGTGTTGAATAAAGACGGATCTTGCAATCGATGCTGCGTGCGTCTTGTTGTCCTTCTGTTGTTCTAAATACAGCTATTTATATGGCTGGCATCATGCCAGCATGGGGTGATAAAAATGGCGGGCAAAGAGATCATGACAGTGATGAGGAAAGATAAGATAACTTCATGATGAATAAACGCAAAGACTGATAACGATGTTTGACAGTTACTGATCATGGGATTGAGCTCTTTTAGAACGGCCCATGTGTTCAGAAAGTATGACAGTGAACCGGTTGGCCAAAGGTTCCAGGAAATGATAAGATCTGCTGTCTTCCATCAGTGAATGAAGTTTCTACTCTGATCAGGTGCGGCTTCCCATGCTGCAAAAGCTGCTATGAAGTATAAGTTCATGAGCAACTGTCATTGGATAATCCCTGAGGATGAGCAAGGGCTGACAGAGGAAGAGATTAGGGCTATGCGCTCAGTTGTCCAAGGATACTTTGGCCTTGTTGTCTTGGACGAAACCACAAACGAGATTTCCAATACATTGACCTGAAACTTGACGGCCTACAATAAATCACTTGAATGAAGTAGATCTATATATCAACACAATGCTGAAGATCAGTAAGTCGATAATGCCGAACAACGTCAGCAGGCGCATCAACGTTGCGGGGCTAAGAAAAACGGCCCCTTCTCCACAGAGGGGCAGAAAAAAAGGAAGTGCAATGCACGCAAGGCGCGCATGGTTACGCGTTACTATCTATGACCATACTCAAATCGCAAGCAAGCGGGCTGCTTCTTTTAAACACCAGCTCCTCGTACTAGCAGATGGACCACCGACACGAGACCAGCCAACCAGCTTGTGCGTCTCAGCTGCTACGAGCATGTGAACAGTACCGAAGCAGAGAGGCGCGTGAAACTCCCCCCCAAACGGCCCAAGTACATCTTGTGTGCACGCGCCACCGCCACAAAGGGGCCAGTGGATCGAATATAAAGTAGTAGTAGACTTTTACGCTTTCTATATCAAACACCTCAGGTAGTGATCTCGGGATCGCGTGTTAGTGTAGGCGGAAGTGGGAACCCTACTCTTGCCCGAAAGGCAGAAGATAGACTACTCGGCGTGTGGGGCGTTTTGGTATTGCTTGTCTTTCTTTCTCTTCTGATCTCAACGTTCCTCTCGGTGATTATCATCACTCATCGGTGATGACGAATTGATGTCTTGACACATGATGAGGTGTCGGAGCATCATCAGATAGTGCCATGACTGCTCTGAAAAATTCGGCAAGACAATGGGAATAGATCCAAGTATAACCGTCAAGACCGTACTCCGGGCCAAGGAGTCAAGATTGCCTGGATCTGGTGGCTGGAAAGGCAAGATGAGCCAAGTCAATGGAGCAAAGGCGGCGCAAAGTAACCTGCTTATAGAATTTAACCGAAGAGCACGACCCAGGCGACAGCAGCTCGCAGTCGACGTCACGAGACCATGTTGCGCATAGAACCGACATCACGTTCGCCAGTGATCACTGCCGACACCCCAACGATGGTGGACCGGAGAGCCCCGCGCGAAGTGCCACAGAATCTCAGTGACATCACTCACGAGAAAACCAAGCAAACAGATGTCTTCGATCTACACTGATTCAAAACGCTTCAATCTCAATATGCCCGCTACCCCAAACTCCTCTCCACAGACGGTGAACCGTCCGCACTCTAACCCCTGCGGCGAGTGCTCGGGCTCTTCGCCTTGCTCGCGGACGTCGTGGTAGCCAGCGGCTTTCCGCTGTCCTTGTCCTTTGCCTGCACAGCCTTCTCCGTCGCCTTCTTCTTGCTCTTGCTCTTGCTCTTGCTCTTGCCGCTGCGGCTGGCCGGCGCGTTCCAGTAGTAGATCATCTGGATGGCCAGGACAGCGTTGAGCAGGAAGCCCGCGACGAAGCCGAAGAGGATGAGCTGGTCGCCGACCTCCTGCATGGTGGTGAAGATGCGCGAGAGCGACCCGAGGAGGTAGTTGAAGACCTGTATAGAAAAGCATCAGCCTTCCGTATGATACTCCCACCACCACGCAAGCGGGAAACGAAGTGAGGAGGAGCAACAACCACACAAAACAAAAGACGCGCAAAGCAGAACAAAAAGAAAGAACAAAAAGAACTCACCGCAAAAGCGCTCAACTGCCCCGTCCCGCCCTGCCTATACACCTCGACAATCTGCGGCGCCTTACTCGCGATGCTCAGCACGCCCCCGGCCGCCTGCAGCGTCGCCAGCATCTTCGCATCCACGATGCCCTTATCAAACAGCGCGTACCCCGCCGCCGCGAGGCCCGCCACCCACGCCGCCGCGCCGGCATCCCTCCCCTTGAAATGCAGCACCAGCGCCGCGATGGCCACGTTCTGCACCGCGATCAGGGCCGTCTCGCCGTACGTCGAGAACGGGAAGCCGGCGCGGGCGTTGTACGCGAGGCCGATGAGGTACGCCGCCGTCTCGAGCAGGTACGACAGGAAGGACACGCCCTCGGCGCTCTGCGACCGCAGCAGCTTGATCAGCTGCGGCACCTTGACCACCGCCGACGCGCCGACGATGCCGATGCCGAGCCCTTTGCTGATGGCGAGCTTGAGGCAGTCGGGGTGGGCGATTGGGTCGATGTCTTTGATGAGCTTTTGGTAGCATTTGGGGCCGAGCAGCGAGAGGCCGAGGTCGTGGATGGGGGCGGGGAGGTTGTGGGTGATGGGTTGGAGCGCGGTGCGCACGGTGTCGAGGGCAGCGTCCATGGTGGGTGTGGTGGGTGAGGGTCTCGTGGAGGATGGCCGATGGAGGAATGAGGGTGATGAGGGGAGGGGAGAGGAGGTGGTGGCGGTGAGAGAGAAAAGGAAGGAAGTTGCTTGGCTGGAGGGGGGGGACACGAGTTGTGGAAAGCTGTTCGGAATATTTTGAGGGTCACAGCTCCCAGCGCTATGATGCAACGGACCCCGGATCGCCGGGTAGCCTCGGCGTTACCCTTTCAGGGTCCGCCGACTCCGCAAGCGACATTGCCGGTAAGCCCGGGAGATGATGGCTCGTAGAGCTGTAGTGTTCCCAGGGACTCGTTAATCTATGTATCAAGGGACGAGCAGCATGCTGAACATCGTGTCCATAATCAAACATGTTATCCATTCGACCCTATACCCGTGAAAATACCTATAACGCCCTGCAGTCATAAGCCTTTTTACGCATTTCTTTATCCTATAACCCATCCTGATTCGAAGAATCTCAGCCCACTACCGCTAGACTAGCCAGTTCAATCACCTGGCCTCCACCTTCCGTCTTCATCGTAACGACAACATCATCCACGCAGCCGTCTGTCTGCGCTTCAAACCTAGCGATGCTCACCATCACCCTCCCCACCGAACATCGGCGCCATGGGAGCCCCCTCCAACGGCACCATCGGCACGCTCATGTTCGCAACGGGCACCACGGGCTGGGCAGCCGGGTCCAGAGGGACCTCGACGACGGGCGCCACCGCCTCCGCCAACGCCGCCTCCGCAGGCGGGACGACCGGGGGTTCCAGAACGAGCGGCTGCACAGCCGGGGCAGGGCCGGCCGTCTCGGCAGCAACCGGGGCTGCCTCCGGGACCACCGGGGCCGTGATCGTGTCGACAATCTTCTCGGTGATCGTACCGCCGTTTTCCTCGACCGCGACCGTGGTCTCGAGGACGGCGCCGCTGGACGCGTCGCCAGCCACTTCGGCGATCGTGTCGACCGCGGGCTGTGCCGATGGACTGCGGACCGAAGGCGCGCGCGAGCCGTGACGCTGACTCTTGGATGAGTTGGGCTGGAGAGAGCCGCCACGCGAGCTCCCGCGGGATGGCAGGCGATGGAAGTTCTGCGGAGGGGACTGCACGGGAGTTGTGGATTCGGCAGCTGCAGGAGCAACTGGACCGCCGTTGAGAGGTGCACCTGCCGCAGGCTCCACGACGGTTGTGGTGGTCTCGATAATGCTGGACTCTAGAACATCGCCATCTGGCTTCTTGGTGGTAGTGTTCTCACGGGTAGTGACAGTAGCCTCGCCTTCAGAGATGTTGTCGTTGGCTGCTCCAAGCAGGGCGGCAGCGCCCTTGGGTGTGCCAATGGTGAGCCCGAGCTCGTCGTCGTCAGACTTGGGCTCATTCGGTTCGCTGGCCTCGCTAGCTGCGTCATCCTGGGCAGTAGCAGCCTCTGGAGCAGGCGCCTTAACACCATCGGTCGTGTCAAGAACGGGCTCGGTTGCCTTCTGCGGAACAGCATGGTCCTCATCCGAAACTTCGCCGGCCACACCGAGGATGTAGCTCCACTCGGCGGGGCGAACGTTGGCCACGCTGAGGCGGCTCTGTTTGAACAGTTGCATATTCTCCAATGGCTGACCATCCTTGGAAAGCGCCCGCAGTTTATCGAGCGTGACTTTCTCGGGAGATGCGAACTTGCGGTGGAAAGCAACCTTCACGCAATACCACGCAGGCTTCTCCTTCTTCGATCTCGGATCGTAGTACGGGTGTGTCGAGTCGAACGCGCTCTCGTCAGGTGTAGCTTCCTCGGCAATCTCCATGATGCCAACAATGCCAGGCGTCTTGCAGTTAGAGTGATAGAAGAAGGCTAGATCGCCTTTCTTCATAGCGAGCATATGATTTTTAGCGACGTGGTTGCGAACACCGTCCCAAGGTTCAGGCTCGCTAGCAGCAGCGAGATCGTCAATAGAGAATTTGACGTCCTTGCCGTTCTCAATGCGAGACTCCGGTTCGGCCTTCATGATCCAGTAAGCGAGTCCATTGGTCGCATCCCTCTCGATTCCAGCCGTTCCAGCAGGTTTCTCAGTCCCAGCTGCCTTTTTAGGCCCAGCCGTCTTTGCTGGCTTCTTGGTTTTAGCACTAGACTCCTCGGGCACATCAGCTTTGGCCTCACTCTTCTTTGGCTTCGTTGCCTTTTTGGCAGGCTTGGCCTCCGCTTCTTCTGGTGTTGCCTCAGCCTTCGGAGGACGGCCGCGACGTTTCGGGGTGGGCTCTTCGGTTTGTTCGACAGGATCCTTCGCCGACTGACCACGCTTGGTTCCCTTCTTGGGCTCTTCGGCTTTGGGTTCTGCAGGAGTGGAACTCTTTGACGGGCGTCCGCGAGGCTTTGGCGCAGCGTCAGTCACTTTCGGCGTATCTTTTGCCTTACCCTTCTTGGCAGCTGGAGCGTCCTGAGCCGGCTCTTCTTGAGCTGGCTCGTTCTTCTTTCCAGCTTTGCCGCGGGCCTTCGGCGCCTCAGCAACTTCAGACGGCTCTTCCTCCGCATTCACTTTAGCCGGGCCACGTCCGCGCTTCTTGGGCGCTTCGGTAGGCGCCTCGGTAGGCTCTTCCACGCTCTTCTCTTTTGCGGGTCTACCCTTCTTTTTTGGCGGCTCACTTGCCTCCTCAGCTGCGGCCTCTTCGGGGACCTTGGCAGACCTTCCCCGCTTCTTCGGTGCCGCATCGGCCGGTGTATCTGGCGTCGGTTCTGCACTCTTGGCAGGTCGGCCGCGCTTCTTAGGCGGTTCCGACACCTCGTCAGCTACCTTGTCTTTGGCGGCAGGCCGTCCCCGCTTCTTCGGCGGCTCCGCGACCTCTTCGACCGGCTCCGGAAGCTCTTCGGCCTGCTTCTCCTTGGCCGCGGCCTTTCCACGCTTCTTCGGAGGCTCCGGGGCGTCCTCCTCTCGAGGTTTCTCTTCAGTCTTGTCCTCGGACGCCTTTGCAGCAGGCCTGCCACGCTTTTTCGGTTGCTTGGGCGGCTCTTCGACCGGCTTCTCCTGAACCGGCTCCTCCGGGGCCGACTCTTCCTGGGCAGGCTTAGCCGCCGGCCTTCCGCGCTTCTTCGGAGGCTCTGGCGCCTTCACCTCAGGCTGCGCTTCCTCTTCTTTCGCCGCCGCCACCTTCTTCCCTCTTCCCTTTTTGACAGGCGGCTCGGCAGCAGCAGTATCAGCAACAGCCTCTTCAACCGGTGCCGCCGCTTTCCTCCCCCTCTTGGCCGGTGCGGGCGCAGGCTCCTCAACCTCCTTGTTATCCTCATCCTTCTTCGCCGCCGCCTTACCCCTCCCCTTCTTCTTCGGCGCCTCGTCCGCACCGCCAGCATCCTCAGCAACAACCGGCTCCTCCACATCCTTCTTCTCCTTCTTCGCAGCAGCAGCAGCCTTGCCCCTCCCCCGCTTCTTAGGCGCCGCTTCTTCTTCCTCCAGCACCATCGCTTCCGGCTCGTGCTCGTGCTCGGGTTCGGGCTCGGGCTCCGTGACGGCGGCGGCAGCAGCAGCAGCACCCTTCTTCCCAGGCCTCCCCCTCTTCTTCGCCGGCGGCGGCGGTGCAGTCGACGGCTCCTCTCGCTGCTGAGCGGCAACCGCCTCCTCGGCAGCGTCCTTCAGCTCGTCCTTCAGCTGCGCGCTCGACGCCGCATCCTCCTCGTCGGCACCGGCACCGGCACCGGCCTGCTGCTGTTTGGGCGGGCGGCCGCGACCGCGGCCCTTGGCTTTCTTCTCCGTCGTCGGAGTCGTCGTCGGTGCAGCGGTGGCGGGCGCCGCGGCCTCTTCCTCGGCGACGACGTCGTCGTTCTTCTTTTTCTGCTGCTTCTTCGCGCCGCGCTTGTTGGTGGGTGGCGGAGGTGGCGGCTGGTCGTCGTTGGTCGCGCTCACCTCGGCGGCGGCGGCGGCGGCGGCATCTTCGTCGTCTTTCTTCTGCTTCTTCGCGCCGCGCTTGTTCGTGGTGGTGGGCGGCGCTGGTGCGGGCGCGGGCGCGGATTGCTCCTGCGCGTCATTGGCTGCGGCGCCGCGGGTTGCGCGCGTTCGCGTCGTGTTTGCGGGAGCTTGGGCGGCGGCGCGCTTCTTGGGAGGCATTGTTGCGGCGGGAGAAAAAAGGCGCGCGACGGGATCGCGTGGGCAAATGTGGTGGTGGACGGAGGTCGCGACGATGTCCAATTGATGATGGAGAGGCGAGATAGATGGGGGGCAAAAAATAGGAAGAAGAAGAAGAAAAAAAAACAATGGAGTGGAAAAGAAAAGAGGAGTGGTGGCGCGACGAGCGAGGAGGGGGAGTCGATGTCGCGACGTGCGGGCGGGTGCGGCCCAAGCTCCTGCCAACAACAGCTCAGCTCAGCAGCTTTGCTTCCCCTTCCCTGCCGGTCCCCTTTCTTGCCGCCAGTCGTCTTGCTTTTTCTCCGCGCTGGCTCCGGCGGATTACGTCAAGTGTTGCGTGTGTCTTGTCTCTCAGCCTCGACCCCCTGTTCGTTCCTCGTTGCCGGGTGCGTTTCTGGAGGGGTTTGCGACTGCGAACGGACAGGAGGGAAAGAAACACAGCAGGACGGCAGAGGAGCGTCCAAGGGCCGCGCGCGCTGGCAAGCTTTCACTTAAAAACGGCCGGCGCGCGGGAAATTGGAGAGGTTGGTGGGCGCTTCCCCCGCACCTGGGACGAAATGGAGCTACTACCACCGACGGATGGTTACTTATCGCGTCAGCCTCCCACCAACGCGGAAACATACGATTCGTGTGGAGCGTAAGCTTTGTCTTACCTTTCCCTTTTGTCCCGCGAGCGCTTCTTCTTGCGGCTATAATCCCTCGGTCCTAATTACCCGCTCGAACTCGTTGCTGAGACACGGAGCTGTTCCCGAAGCTTCCTGCCCATGCTCTCCGATACCAGTAGCCATCGCCGATCGACGAAGCCCACGACCCTCGAGCTTCCATCGTTGCGAAGAGTTGCATACCTTCGGAATACCCTGCATCTGCTCTATCTGAATCCGATCAGTGAAACGAAGACGTGCCTTGTTTGCTATGCATAGCGCTTGCTCCATAGAGGTTTAGTCAAGTGAGCTACTATCGTGAAAGAGAAGGTCGATTCGCTTAATATGCCATCAACGCGATGCTTGGATCTTCTATCCGAATTCTCTTATCCCAATATTTCGCCAGCCAACCTTGGTACTGTACGAAGTATCACAAAGACGACTATCCTTGCCAACTTAACCTCAAAGCACACAGACTTGCTTTTTCTACCCATGCGAACCGAGCGCACCGTGCTTTGCAAAACACATCTCACACACGAGGGTTGAGTCTCCACGTCGCCGCGCGCCTCACGTCCGGACATGGTGGAGTCTTGTCTCGAGCCAAAACGTCCGACGGCCAATCCACTTCATGTAATCCGTATCCAGCCCTCCAACCTCCTCGACGCAGACTCCAGTGCATCTTCGGCAACCTCTTCCCGCAGCTTCCGACCATGACATGATCTCTTACGCCCCAAGTTCAACGATCTGCATAAACTCGCCGCCCAAAGACCACCTCCGCGGATCTCTACCAATCGCCTCCGGCCGGCGTGCAGAGGGCTCGAGCGAAACCGGTCGCGATCTCTCATCCTCGTCGCAATGACGTCCCTTTTTCATCCATGTTCCATATATCCCACAATATGTTCTGACACACTACGCCTTGTCCTCTCCCTCCTGTCAAACAACGTGCCCGTGCCTTCAACGATGCAGCCAGCAAGCGAACCGCTCCAGATCTGTTTTCATCATCGTGATAGGCGTTGCGAGCGCCGCCGCCGCCATGTCGCCGTTCTTGTTAGTCAAGTCCCTCTGATTTTGATCCACAATCCGTCTTACCCGATGTTGATTAGCAAAAGGCTAGCAACGGGCACTTGTGCCTAGTAACGGATAGGTGCGCGTGTCTTGAACGATCCCACGTTCGACCTGATGGCGCCATGTATGTACACCGTTCTATAGGCAAATACTCGGACATTTCCTCGCGCGTCGTCGCGATATCCAATCAAGAGCATAGCCTTATTTAAGCTTATGCCGACCGCGAGCATATATGGCAAAAGACCGTCAGCCTCCAGCCAAGAGTTGTCTAGGTATGTATGATGCTCATCCGGCTTCAACATCAAAAGTGTTTCGTCTGTCAATCGGGATACGTCACTCTACAGGGGCTAGCCCTCAAAACCAAATCCGAAAAAAATATCTCTCATTCATCATCATAAAAAAAGAGCCAAAAACCAAGGACTAAAATGCAAGGGAAATAAATCCCACCAGCCGGTGTGGAGCCCGTCTACATATACAACTCAAACCTTGAAGATGTATGTCCAGCCGGACGGAAACAAATCCCGAAGGTACCCTACACGGAGAGAGATAACGAGAGGAGGAGAAAAATCAAATAAAACGAGAGAAGATGGGAAGAAGCGGTCAGAAAGACGATGACACCTCAAACACCTGGAAATGTTTGTGTTCGTGCATGACGTTTACGTGAGAAGCTCCGCGTTAATAACAAAGGTGGGGGGGATATAGCAGAAGCCAAACGCGCTTTTTTTTCCCCGAAAATGGACCGCACTCTGTACCCGAAATCCATACAATTCAATCAAGAAAAGGAAGAAAACTTCAAAGAGAAATCTCTGCAAGATTTCCTAATACCCGTTCAAGACCAAACCGATATTGGTGGTCCAGCAGTCTTCTGGGCTTCCGGGTCTCCGGACTTCCGGACTTCCGGGCTTCCGGGCCTTTTGAAGCTCTCCTAGTAGTCGGCGCCCCTACCGGAACCGTAAGGTGCGGCGTGCGGCGGCACCTGCGGTGGCAAGGTCCTTGCAGCCCCCGCTCCTAGATCCGCCTCCTCGTGAGGAGCGACGAAGGGGCTGGTCGTCTGCGCGCGGTACGAAGTGTCTCCGAACGTGTCGTTGACCGGGTTGTATGCAACCGGCGCGGCTGTCTGACCTTGGTGGGGGTTGGACAAGGTGTATGTGCGCTGAAGCTCGAACTCATCGGTCTCTTCTTCCGAGGACGATTCCTCGTAGTTATCACCACGTCGGCGCCGGGCGCCGTAGGTTTGTGCGTACGGGTTCGAGGAGGGGAGCTGGGAGCTGTAGGTTGTCGCCGTTGGAGTGCGGTTCAGGTCGGCTGTGTATACTGAAGATGGGGTCGGTCGCGCGTCTCCGTAGGCTTGGGCTGCGAGCTGCTGGCGATGGCGTTGGGAGTTCGAGATCTGTTGCCGGAAAACGTTGGCGGCAGGATCGCTCGCGTCGATGTCGGTCGCACCTGTATCAGCGCCCCTCATTGGCTGCTCTTCGTCTATCGTCTTCAGTGAAGCTGCATCCCGCAGCGGCTCCCTTCCTTCGTGGTTGATCGGATATGCATCAGCCGGAATTTCGGGCTCCTTGCCCCAACTGCGGATCGGGAACGCGCGGCCCTTGCGCCACGTCTCGCTCACCGGAGGGAAGTACTGGCGGTAGGATCCCCAGGCGGTGAGAATGCCGAGAAGACTGCCCGAGAGGACGTCGAACGGGTGGTGGCGGGCGTCCATGATCCGAGAGGCTGCAACCAAGGCGGCGCCAAGCGTGGGGACCATGACTATAAAGCTCTTCCAGACTTCTCCTTTCGAGTCAAGCACGTGAAGCTTTCCAGCAAGGTATATGGACAGGTAGTACAGTCCACCAAAGGCAGCTGCGGCTGGATTAGATGGGTTCGAGAACAGCGGGGCAGGCCAACATACTGCTGCTGTGCCCAGACGGGAAACTGCGGAAGCCATCTTTCAGGATGGCATTGTTGTCCTGAGTGCAAATGCTGTGGTTCGACAGGCCGAAGGGCTGGGGGTCTTCGAACGTATTGGGCTGGCAGCGGTCGATCAAATCGGGTCTCGGCTTGCCAACGGCATTCTTCAGTGAGCCTGTCTCCAATTAGCTGCCGTGAACATGGCCTCTCCATGCCGGAGCCTACCGGTGATGGTGAAGGCGGCGCCGACGGAAAGCATCAGGCCCAGAACGCCGCAATTCAGCTCCCACAGTCTATCCTTCATGCGGTATTTGCCCAAGAGCTTCCGCCTGCCTGGACCTGCAGCCGCACCCCTGTTGCTCGAGAACAGGCCATCGATGACCAGGGTGTAGAAGGCGATGATCAAGGCGGGAGCCAAGACGGCGATGATGCACAAATCGAAGACAGGAATGCGCTCCTTGACGGCATACTTGTACTGCAGCGTGTAGTTGCGGAGGGAGAACTCTTGGTGGTGGGGCTCGACGTGATCAAGGGCGTAGAAGGCGATGATGAGAATGCTGGCGGGGGGTCAGCGGGAGCGCGGATGGGGAAGGAGAGGGCGTGCTGCAGCAGTGCGGCGCGGTCGAGGCGGGCAGGACGTGACGTACACGATAATGACATAGTCGAAGACGTATCTGCAAGGTCAGCGGCGGCTGGGCGGGTCGGCGGGCAAGGCGGCTCACGAGACAATGACGGTCTTGGACAGGCGCTTCTTGCTGAAGGGCAGCTTCTGCTGGTTCCAGGAGTCCATGGTTGGGCCTTGGGAGTCCTGGGTCGGGGGCCGGGCGAGGAGAGGGAGCGAGAAAGCTTCAAGAGCCGGGTGGTGCAGCTCTCATATCCCAGGGATGCGCCGGGGCGGTGATTGGGCTGCTTGGCGCAGGCTGGGCGTGCGGTGCTGAGGTGTCGCGGAGTGGCTTTGACACGACGGATCGCCTCTGCACTGGGCCGCCGGCGGGCGGAAGAGCGCGCGAGAGCCTGCATCGTTTTCTGCTTGGGCTCGCCCTGCCGGCGCTGAAACGGCGTCAAACGCTGGGCGAAGAGGGTGCGAGAGCTGTGCTAGACTGCCTATTTTTGGGCCCTAATCCCAGCCCTCCAATCCGCGCGCCGCCAGAGCGCCTTCGCCCCGCCGCCTGCTGCGCCCCGGCCCAGCGCAACCACGACACGCTCGCTGTGTCTTTTCTGATCCAGGTGGCCCTGGGCGCCGACATGGCCACACCACGCAGCGAATCATATGTCGTCATCCCCCCCGTAGGGCTAGCAGATCGCTCGCGCGCGGTAATTGCCCCCCTATTCGCCCTATCCACGCCCGCCAGGCCCGGCTACCTACTTCTTGCACAGCATTCCATCGACTGCCTGGGACGCGCGGAGGCCGCGGCCCGTACGCCTCGAGCACTTCGCAACCGGCACTGCTCAGCATCCGAAACCGCCCTCGCCGGCTCCGCTGCTTGCGAAAACCAGCTCAAACGCAGAGCAGAGCAGCAATAAATGCTATCCGTATATCACGCTGTTTGCGCCCGCACATCCTATTGGCCAGGTTCTGTGCATGAAATGGTCCGAGTCAGTCGACCCCAGATCCAGCAGCCGCCATTCTCCGACGAGCCTGGGCGCTGCCGACTCTCGCGCAACGTCTGCGACAACAGCCCACCAACAAGTGCTGCCTGAAAAACTGTTTGTTTTGTGTTGCTCTGTCAATCAGGCCGCCCATAGCCGGCATATCGCATCTTCCAAGGATCACCTGGGCCCCACATATCTGTCGGCACGCGCCCAAACACCACCGCTCGGCTTACCTCAGATCCACACGCAGCGCTCCCTCCCCGGCGAGCTGTGCCACTACGCAGGAGGCTGTACATCTCACCGTTGCCCATCGCCTCCCCTCCTGGTGTACCACACCACCACCTTCTTTGCCGTTCAGCCCCATCCGTGATACCCTGGCCTTGGGACCCTGCGCCCGTGCCGATCGGTCCACACAGCCTACCGCATGTGATGCTAATCGCGGGGGGGCTTGTTTGCGGGGTTGCTTGAGCCAAGCCACTCGCGTGACTGCTACCAGCTACACCAACATATTTGCCTCAACCCTTTCCAAAGAAGGAAGTCTCAATCGGTACGTACCCTGTGCTCAGCCTGAGCATGAGCAAAGGAAGAAGAGAGAAAAAAAAATAACGCTCTGGTGAGCTATTCCGGGCCTTGTTGGCCCCTCGGCTTTACCCTAAACGGTGCGTGGCCCCCAAAGGGAGTTATCTACACCGCCCCGCATTGATAACAGTATCACCAGATGCCTCCGGGACATATTGTGTGTTGGGTAGCAAGCATGTCGTGGATGTAACGCAAGATGCCTTGCTGAATGCTCTGCCTAGAGGGTGATAAGAGGTCCTACTTTCGCATTGAGCGGTGTAGACGACCAAATTCTTCGCTTCGCATGGGCAAAGTAGCCCACTGTGAGGCGGTGTTGGTGAGAGGTCAATGTCTTGATTCCTACGTAGGCAGTTGGAACGAATCTTGAGACAGAAATGTTGATTTCAACTTCATTCATGTTTATCTACACGTAGACTTCAAGTACCCCACATCAATAGGTGATTCTTGAACATTGTCGTCCAATTCTTTTTTTTTTTTCGAAAGGCCGAGGTACATTGATGAAGTTCAAGCGATACTGCTGACCCGCGACATGTCGTTCAGCAACCCTTCCAGTTCGCATACAACGAGATTGTAGAAAGCTGCCTGTAAGCAAACACTGTTCAAGTCAAAGTCATTGACGGAAAAGTCGCACATAAGACAGCGAGACACCACCTTCCCATAGCGGAGTCCAAGCATCCTGCCAGCTACGGCATTACTGTTCAACTTGTGTGCCTCCAGAAATTCCGTGATTTCTGGGTCGTTCGAGTTTCCCATCGGTGGGCTAAGGACAAGTGGGCTGCCGAGTGCAAGTTCAAGCATTAGTATTCCAAGCGCATAAATTTGGTAATTTTTGACGCATTTGAAGATTTGTTTCGCTGCTGGAGGTGATGCCGGGCTTGAGTGATCTTGTTCGTGGGATGCGGTTACATGCGGAATGACCGTTTGCTCGGCGTCTGACGATTGGGTGGCGACGAAGCGGATTTGGTCGCTTGTCCATCTCTCCTTCTCTTTCAACCACGGGGAGTCGTAGAGGCGGAGAAGGGAGAGCGCCAAAATATAGGCTATCCTCACGCGTTCATATGGATACGTGATAAGCTCTGTCAGATGATTGCCCGTACGCCTCTGAGACAGGAGTTGAGATAGAGAGCAGGATATGTCCTCGAAGTGGCTTGTACAGCCGGAGACGTGGACTCCGAAGCAGTTTGAGCCGTGAGATGGATTGCTCGAAGGGTGGCGGTGGCATTCATAAACTTCGTGGACCGACCATCCAAGCGATTGCAGGCTTTGGCAGACCTGGCCGATGCACTGGCTTTCCTTGAAATGCGTGGTACACGCTTTGCCATTGGAGATTGGCTTGGTTGAGCCATCTTGAGTGATGATTGACTTCGCATTAGAGAGGTTTGCGCTGCCATTCCCCGCGTTCACTTGCTGTCGTTTGAGCCCCCCGGGGTAGGCGTACCAGCATCCCGACAGAGGACCGCCGTGGAAGATGACGCCGCAGTCTCGAGGCGTCTGTCTCAAGCTCCCGGCTGAACCTTCGTTGAGTGTGCACTGCAATGCCAGTTCAACATCGTGGGCTGGACATGCACAGTCGGCCCACGCCACGGACAGTGCTTGGTAGATTTTGGTGTAGCCATCTCTGACAGCCTTGGTGTCCCCGATTGTCTTTCCAGAAATGATGCGTACAGGTCGCATCTGTTTGCGCTGCCTCCTTGCTTGATAGACAAACTGTGTGAGGTAGCGGTTCGCTTCCGCGGAATCCTCCAGGAGGAGCTCGACCTTGCTTTTCTTCGAGAAAGCCCATTTTGTCTTTGAGAGCTGGAGGGTGCAAGTTTCGGAGAAGCGGTGATAATGCGACGATATGGAAGGTGCCGGGGATGACGTAACGGAAGGCGTCGCCTGCGAACGAGAAAAGTCAGTTTGCGGCAACCGCACGGTTGGTCTCCGGGTGGCGCCTACCGGTTCCTCCAGGCCGACCGACCGCAGTGTCGTCAACACTGCATCCAAAGTCTCTTGGATTATCTTCACATTCCTCCTAACAGCTTCGCACAGGTTCAAGTCGCCGTCCAGGATCATCCCGAGTCTGTTCTGGATGTCTTCGTCCGCCCAGGAAGGGTGCTCGAGGTCATCAAGCATGGTTTTCACCACGTTTTCGTCGATGGAGTAGGAGAACAGAGTCCGTATTGAGGCATGGAAAAGATCCGCTTCATTGGAACACTTGAGGCGGAGCTTGACGCCCTGGGTGCGATACTGACGGAAGTCGGTGAAAAAGGCACCCAGCTCGCTGTATGACTTCAACGCGAGCGGGATGGTTCCCAGAACAATTCCGGCGACCTCGAATCCAGACATGATGGCAGACTATGACATTGCAAGTGTCAGCCTCGTCGAGTTGACACTACTCGCTTATCAAGACATCAAAGCGGGGTCAGGCTGAGATTTCCAACCTGCATAAGCGCCGTAGCCTCACACTTCCACCAGAACTCCTTCTCTCCCGCGCCAGAGTCGGGATGGAGATCGCGACTATCGTTCATCAGCCATGGATATCGACTTAAACACGGAGCCAGCAGTCTCTGGCCTCTCCACGGCGATTCGGTATGCTCTGGAGTCGTTTGAGCCGAGTATCCAGGACGCAGACTTGCGGCATACGCACTATCGAAATGTCCAGCGCTACGTTCTCTGGGCGGCAGATCACGGAATTGTTGAAGGTTCTCTCGACACCCTGCTCAAAGACGAACCTGAACTGCAGCATGCCGTTGCCTCGCTGCTCATTAGCCTCGGTCAATTCATCTTGAACATCTGTACGGATATCACTTCCCACCATTCAAGCATACGTTTTCTGATCGTTCCCAAGTTTCCCACGCAAGAATAGCGAGTGAGAACGCACCGAGTCCTGTTCCAGATGGTCCGTCCCAGCCGCCTCTACGCCGATCTCAAAAGCGATGGCTCTACAGTATGGAAAGAGACAGAATCCTGGTTTTGGAACGGCTCTCGTGGAATCTTGCAAGAGCCCTGCAGAGCTGGCCTGACTGTCAGGATCTGGTGATTGAAGCGGAGGCGCTGAGAGAAGACTACGATCCTGCGTTGCGGTCTATGTCTTCTCCACCGAAATCGAAAATACCACTATCTTTAGCGGATGAGGATTTCTCAGAAGATCTAATGGGCGTCGAAGTCACGGTTGATCAGTTGTATGATCTCGTCCCCTCCCTTCAGTGGATCAGATCTCCAAGTCCTACTAGTAGCTTGGCAAGTCAGCAGTCAGTCAACATTCATACTGGCGCGGCTGAGCTCCAAGATCAAATCTGCTGTAACTTCCCAGACCTTCCAACTCAGGTTGCACATGTCCTGAGTAAAGCCTACCGTCGCCGTTGGGTGGTACCACAACCCGAGGAAGAGCACATGCTGTCCGAGAAGCAAGAAGATGAGGATGTCACGGCGGGCGAGTATCTGCCCCAAAGTTTTCCGGAGTATCCGGACACAACCTATGGGATTGGCAATGAAGTGAGTTGTACAGTGTGCCATCGGTATATCAACGTAGCGACCGAGTCACAATGGAGGTATGACAGGTATCCGTCAAAGCCTAGAAAAAGGCTAACAAACAGGCAGGCAACACATTCTTCAAGATCTCCGGCCTTACGTTTGCATCAACCCGGATTGCCATGCCAGACCACCAACATTCGCAAGCTTTGCTGTCTTTCAGCGCCACGCAATCGGTCACTGCGCTATTCGGCAATGGAGTTGCAAGTTGGGGTGCGAGATCAAGTGTGACACAGAGGCTCAACTGGCAGATCATCTCCACGTTACACATGGAATTTTGGAAGGCCAAAGTTGCATCGATATTGCGAACCTCTGGCAAGAGATTGTGCTTGTGGAAGAAAGCAAAGACGATTGCCCCTTTTGTGGCATGAAGGAGTCAGGGAGTCATCGTGACTATATCCAACACCTTGGACAACATATGGTTGAGATTGCCCTATGGTCAACTGAACCGAGAATGGAGAGCCTTGAAACGCCAGCGCAGAACTCTTCCAAAAGTCAGATGAACCAGGAATACACAATTCCCAAGTCTCCGGCTTCTGATACAAAGTCACTCCTCGAAGATCTGGGTATGAACTTGCTCCATACAGTCAAGCAAGACTTTTACCCAGAGCCAGCTAGTAGGAAGGATATACCATCAAGTCGAAAGAACCGCACTCGGCTACAACAATGTCAAAGCGCTCCTAGAGGCCTACCAGGTATCTCGACAGAACCACGGACGATAGCAGAGCTCAAGCCCCTGTCTTGGGACGAATACACGCAGAACAAGGGTGAACCGACTCCTCCAGTGCACTACGCCATTGAATTACTAATGGAGGATCCTGTCATATGCGACGTTCGTGATCACTCAATGCCATCACGACTGAGAAAGGGGGCGATGCAGTCACAGAGAGAAAAGCGTGGCAAAGGAGTCTCGAAAGTTGGAGCTATGTTCTCTTCGGATGGCACGGAGACGAAACAACTGCCTGAAAGGATCCGCATTCACTCACCACACCTCAAGCAGCTACTCGCGAGCGTCTCTAGCGGACAGCTCAGTCAGCCACCAGACGCCCCTCTCGTGATGCGCAGGCCTTTTAAATTCCTCCTTTACGAGGAAGAAACACTCAGACAACATGTGTCGGAGCTTGAAGAGACGGTCAGTGAGACTGGCGATCAGGCCGATGCTAGCGGAACCTCCTCGTCAGACGAACTCAGGCTGTCCCGTCTTCTACTCGCATTTCTGGACGACTACGTGAAGCCAACCCAGCAGCAGGTTACCAAGAAACGATCAGTCTACTTCCATGAGCTTTGGTTCCTCTACCAGCCTGGCCAACTTCTATACAGCCGGATCAAGGACTACCCGCAAACAGTCTGGAAGGTCGTTCAGGTCACCGGTGGCAACAGACTTCCTCGGAGATATGAGCCGAACGAGGATTCAGTCGAGTACAAACATTCCAAGATGGATTCTTTCAGTCCGTTGACGCTGGACTGCTTCTTTCTTGTTTTTGACGGGCTTGGCTTCCAGCCAGCATACCGCAGACTTGAGGTTCCTCATTTCCACGGCTTACGTGACATGAGTGATCTTCAAGTAATCCCTTTGGAAGTCGCGGAAGTAGAGGAGCTCATCAACAAAGATGACATTCTCTGCCAAGGAAACTTGTACCTGGAAGGCCTTAACCGTTCCTATAAGCTCTATCACGGCTGGACTGCTGACCGGGACTCCCTGGGAAATCAGCTCGTATCTGCCGAGTCGCATCCTGTTTTGCCAGAGAGTATAGAGAGCGAGGTGATGGTTGACCTTCATAGGGCATTTAGGCTCAATCCTCAATGGCTTCCGGAACTCGGCGCTCTACCTGAGGTTCAAGTGAATCCGCGAGAGTTCGAGGGGCATTATACATGGCGGCCGGAACCTATCGCAGAAGACGTTCATTGGGATATCCTACAAAAGGAAGACGTGATTGAGACGATGGACAACCAAAGAAAGAATCAGGCATGGGCGCGCTGTGAAATTGGTGGTGAGGATGTATTTTTGCTTCCAGGAAGAGCGCCGGCATTCGTGTTCAGCTCTCGAAGATGGGGTATTTGACCTTTGATCCGCTGTCCACTGAAGTTACTAATTATCGAGCAGCTTACCTGCAATTGGGTCCCGATGAAAACACATCAGGCTCACGGAGCCAACTGATGCAGATTCAACCCAGCTCTTCGCCGTGGGAAGAATTAGTATTGCCACCACGTCATAAAGCCATGATTCAAGCTCTTGTTCATTCATCCTTCACAAAGGGTGACGATTCAGATCTTGTGAGACACAAAGGTGCAGTACTTCAGAAACTTGACAATGGGGTCGGCTTCTTACGAGATATCCAGGTCGAGGGCTTGTAATTCTTCTTCACGGCAGCCCAGGTGTGGGGAAGACCTCCACAGCTGAATGCGTCGCATCTCATTTCAGAAAACCACTTCTGTCTATAACTCCAGGTAGTCCCCAACATCTAGAGCGGAGGGATTGAATGAGTTTCGTAGCTGATGCTGAATTATCATAGGTGACTTGGGGCTGGACCCTGTCCAAGCAGAGGCCAACATGTTAAGGTATTTCGATTTGGCCCAAGCTTGGGATTGCGTCCTTCTTCTCGACGAAGCAGACGTGTTCTTGGCATCACGTACCAACAACCTCCAAAGAGACGCACTTGTTTCCGGTATGTAGATGGTATAATGCTGAGTAATATTATGTCTGACCCATTTTCGCAGTTTTCCTGAGGCTACTCGAGTACTACAAAGGAGTCCTATTCATGACGACGAATAGAGTGGGATCCATTGATGAAGCTTTCAAATCGCGGATTCAGATGTCGCTCTACTACCCTCCTCTGGATCTTGAACAAACAATGAAAATCTGGGAACTCCAGATACGAAGAGCACGAAAGCCTCTCGAAGGCAATATTGAAGATGAAGAAGAAGTCCTGAGAACTGCGCACGAAATCTTTCGGAAGCAAGGCGCTAGCCAGCGGTGGAATGGCCGACAAATTCACAACGCCTTTATTGCTGCGATGTCCTTGGCTCGCTTCGATAACATGCCATTGAGGGATAGACACTTGGCAACGGTCGCGGAGGCCTCGGCCGTCTTTGACGAGTATCTGATGGAAGTGCATTCAGGTACATCACATTCACAGCGGATGCACGCGCAGAGCATACGCGCGGACGATTTCGTTAGCCCTCCTCGGTCGATGCAGTATGACACAGATAGGCGACAACGCCCCGAACGCCCAGATGCACCTTACCTGCCCAGCGATTTTCCATACCCTCCGCAGCCTGCCCCGCCCTCATTAGGTGTTAGAGGCCTATATTACGCAAAGAATCCGTTCAGCAAAACACCGAGTGGTTAGCTCCAGAGCACCAACAGCCTTTCACACAGTCAAACCCGTCCGAACACCAATTAGTGAAATTAAAGAGACGGTCTACACGCCCGCCAACCCCATCATCACAGCCAAAACCAAGTAATCGCACTGCGCAGACATCATTGAGCTCCTCCGACATGCCTGAGTGATCCAATCACTTGCTACAACAGCAAACGGGCATAGGCGGAAGAGTCTTGAAACCTCCCCTCTGGGAGTCAAAAAATCCGGGGTATTCGCTTTTTCGGGCTTTTCGAAGATTGATTTGTTGCTACTGCGTTTCACGGCATCTTCATGTAGTCTTCCAGGTTCACTTTGGCGTCACTTTAGGTAACGAAAGAAATTGACTATACAACGGTCCTTTGTCGCTTGTGTGAGCAGTTGAAGCAAGTGTCCTGACGTGCACGTAGATTCAAACGGCCTTTCTCCAAAAGTCATCGAGGCCCGAGTCTTCTCCCCCAGTGCCTCTTTTGCGAGAAGTCATGCCCTTCCCGCAACAAGCTTCATACCCACGTATGTACATCCGCGACCAGCACAACAAGAGCCGGTCGAGCAATAGGCTTGCCGAGGCCACAACACAAAGATCCAGAATCAGGCCCAAAGGCCACTCCGTCTTGGCCGACGCGCCACTCGATTCAACCGAACCCATCGCGTCCCAGGCTCAGCCGGAGGCCAGGCCAGGCCAGGATGGGGTTCCCGCAATCGGAACCATGCGGTCGCCCAGGCTCCGGCTCGGAGGCAGGCAGCATGAAGGAAGTTAACTGGCTGCGTTATTGACATAGGATGCTCGACGTCAATTACCGACAGGGTGGCCCCCCCTGAGTCTGACCAGGGCCAGTGTACAGGGAGGGCATCAGCTGCAAGCGTTTGAGAAGCGACGAGTACTTATACAGATGCATCTCTATACGCTACGCTCCCATCCATCCTGATGCATGTGTACGATTGTGAAACGCACATCCATATCAGGGGCACGAGGTCCGTACTCACTTTAACAAACGACGGGAGACCTTGGTGACTCTTACCATTCATCTATCCGCGAATAAAGAAAATAATAATAATAAAAAACACACACGACGCTCTATACGCTCTCCTCTTCCCACGCAGCCAGCCAGCCCATGCCACTTTCCTCAATTGAAATTACTCACCATTCACCGAAAGAAGCAGAAAGAAGAGAAAAAGGAACTGTTACAGAACACACGGATCGGGGCTCGCTTTCGGCCCTCTAGATCCCAGGTTTTTGCAAAAAAGAGATGTTCTTCATTCCTTTAGCTCCCAACCCCAACCCTAACCCCATGCCCTCCCCCCCCTTCGCTGGACTCATACAGCTGCTGCTACTACTCGACGCTCTAATACTTTTTGTCTGTTGTTTTACTCTACAAGCAGGCTCTGTAGTCTCGCCTCCGTGGAAAGGACCTGAGATAATCACGTTAGCCGTTATGAACTCGACGGTCATCATATACAAGGAAGGAGGCAATGGTGGGGGGGAGGGGATGATAAAACTCACATCAAGCGCTTGCCTGACCTCCAGCACCCTCCTAGCATCGCCCAGCCAGTCCCTCGCCAGGACCTTAGCCCAGCCGCTGAGACCGTTCATCTCACGAGCCGCGCCGTCGATGTTGCCCTCCTCGAGCAGCATCTCGGTGCGGGTGAGCACGGACTCGACGTCGTTGCCGACGGGCAGGCCCTGGCCGTCGCCGCCCTTCTTGAACATGACCTTGCTCAGCACCAGGCTGGCGGCGTGGGAAGCGACGCCGGCGTCCTCGGGCAGCAGCGCCGCCTTGCGGACTTCGGAGGCGACGCGGCGGAAGCGGTCGATGAGCTGCGAGGGCGTGGGGACGCCCTTCTGGTAGGCCGCGGGGGTGATGGAGGCGATGGCCGCGTTGACCACGGGGTCCTCGGCGGCGACCTCCTTGAGGGCGGCGAGCTCCTCGACAAAGGGGCGCGGCTGGTCGGCCTTTTCGACGGCGTTGCGGGCGGCCTCGACGGCGACGAGCATGTGCTGAGTGCGGAGGTTGGAGTCGATGACAGAGTTCCACTCGGCTGTCAGCTTCTCAAGCTCGGCAACGGCGTCGGAGAGCTCGTTGAGCTTGGCAAGACGACCCTGGCGCTCCTGCTCCACGCGGTCGTGGACCGAGTTGGCAAATTGACGGTTGAGCGCGATGGCCTGCTCGAGGAGCTCGTTCTTCAGCTTCTGGTCGTAGACCTTTTGGGAAGCCTCCAACTCAGCTCTCAGCTTGCTCTGGTAGGTCTGAGCAAGCTTCTCACGCTCAGCTTCGAACTCGTCCTTCCAGCGGGCTTCCTGGCCCTGAATCTCGGCCTCAATCCGGCTGACGAGCTCCTTCGCACCAGCATCAAACTCGGTATGCAGATTTCTGATCTTCTCCTCGCTCTGCTTCTCGGCAATAGCCTTCATGGTCTGGATGTCGTTGATGACCTTGGTGAGCTCGCCCTTGGCCTTGGAAATGGTAGAGTCGTACTTCGAGCCCGCGTTATCGGCGTTGACCACAGTGATGATATCGTTGATGATCTTGACAACATCCTGGACAACGGGCTCCGTAGCTCCGTCAAGGCTGAGCTTGTCGATCGGGGCAACAGTGGCAGCGGGAGCAGACTTCGCCGGAGCCGCGGACTTGGGAGCAGGCTTCTTTTCCTTGGAAACGGCAGCCTTGTTATCCTCAACTGCACTAGTATGCCTGCCAGACTTGGACAAGTCGGCGCCGCTCTTGGAATCCTCCTTCTCGTCGGAAACCTTCCAGGAGAGACCGCTCTTGCTGGGAATGGTGACCTTGTTCTCGCCACGGATCTGCTGGTGCAGCCTGGACGGAACAGCGCCGCCAGGGAAGCGCTTGCGGAACTCACGCTCCTCGAAGTAGCCAACCGCATCCTCGCCGAAGGGCACGTACTCGGTGAAGAAGTCGTGGAAGTTGTCGGAGATGAGCGAGTAGTAGATACCGCCAGCGTATCCAACGGTGGTCAGGGTGAGCAAGGTGAGCAGGAAGCGACGGAAGCTACCCTTCTTCTTCTTCTTGGGCGGCGGAGCGGGAGAGCCGGCGGTAGGACCGACGGAAGCGCTGCCGGTGCCAAGGGGCACGCCAGTGCCAGCACCGGGGGCCGATCCCGAAGGCGGCGACTGCGCGTGGACCTGGCCAGGTGTAGGAGGCGTCAGAGGGACCTCGGACGGAGGAACGGTACCGGAAGGTGTAGGGTTTACGGGAGAGGTGGTCGGCGGAGGAGGGATGTCATCGGCAGCCCTTGCGCTTTGCGAGCCGGGCAGAACGGTCTCATCGGTCTTCCTGACATCGGCAAAGTAGCGCTGTCATTGCATTGGATGGTCAGCCATCAATGGCGGGCTAATGGAAGCGTGCATGCGCGTGCGTACCTGGCCGAAGGCCATCTGAGCGGGCCGGTGCGCGTGAAGCCATTGGGAACCGACCCTCGGGGCGACGGCGCCGGCGGCGAGGTGCCTCGTTCTTGCGACAGAGATGCGCAGCATGGCGGGCTGCTGAGGCGGAGAGGAGCGAGGGGATGGAGAGCGCGAGCGTGTTGGTTTGGAGCTGCGGATGATGGAACTCGATTTTCCCGAGGCGGCGAGCTTCCGCCGCCGGCGAGACGGCCAAGCCCGCACACCGCGCAGAACGTCATCTTGCCTGAGGCACCCATGCCCTCTCGCCAACACACGCGACAAAGAACAAAGACAATGCGCTGGTCCATCCCGGAAATTGGTTTGCCTGCCTAATGAAAATAGAGTAGAATACAGCTGAAGAAATGCCTTTTGTAATATATGGTATCCCAAGCAAAGCTCTCAGCTCTCTAGGAACCGATCCTCTCAACCCATGTCCCCAAGGTCGCGATACCTTCAAACGCCAGTGGTGCCTGCAGATCCAGTAAAGCCCACTATTCTATCCTCTTCTTGTTACCCTCTTCTAGATAAAGAAGTCTCGCATCGCTCTTGCCCCTCTCGTGCCTCGCCACCAATGGTCCCAAAAGTGGATCCTTCTGCACATCCGACATCGCATCCTGATAGCCCTCGACAGCCCACGGAGGCGTGTTCAGCTTCGGCCAGTTGACCTGTGTGTTGTCAGTATGAATACTCATTGGTGGCTGGCGTTGAACTTACGTAGAGTGTGCCGTGGCTCTGGATGAAGCGGAAGCAAAGGATGGTCACAGCGAAGAAAAGAAGTACAAGGATGCGCAGAGGCCAGACGTAAGCGTCAGGGGACCTTCTCGTAAAAGCAGAAATGAAAATGAAGAAGACACATCCAGCAAGGATGTAAGGGATCGACTGGATGGCAAGTGGTCTACGGTCAACGAACAGCAGACTGTTCCCAATGTTGGAAGTAGAAGGAAGATATGTGCCCAGGAACAGGTCAAAAGCATCTTGCCGCGGACCATCGAGGAAGTTGTTCTTCACGTAACGAGTGATGGAGTTGCTGAGATCCTGCACCATACCAGCCTTCGTTCGCTGTCCGGTTCGGGTGAAGTCCGTCTTCAGAGCTCCAGTGCCTGAGTATGACTTGGAGACGACGTCGGCATTGTCGGCCCAGATGTTGCGGAAGAGATCCTCAAACGCGACATCGTCTTGCGCATTCTCGCCCTCACGGAGAATACCCAAGTCGATGAGCATGCGGCTGAGGATGAAGCGTCCCAGCATGCTCTGAACGACATTGGTGCGATCCAAACAGTCCATACAGTTCGTCCGCACAACACATGTCTGCCGACTACGGATCTCCATCTTGCCATTCGGGTCACCAGGCATGTTGACGCCTCTGAAGTAGCCGTTCTCTCTGATCGGTCCCTCGAGCTGCTGAAGCAGCAGTGCAGCACGGTGCCACCGAAGTCCCTTCGTTTCACTATGGAAGTCGAAGTACGTGTAGTGGATGCGATCGTACCGCTGCTTCTCGCCCTCGGGCTCGATCACGGTGAATTTCTCTTCAGTGACCTGGTCCGACTCGGTACCCTCGGTAGGCGAAGAAACCAGGAGTTGAACCATCTTCTCGTAGGCCTCCTTGACAGCCCTTTCGCGACCCTTTTGGTTGACGAGATTGACGAGGTAGTTGTCACCATACAGACGAATCTGCTCGTTGAAGTGGCGCTTGGCGGCTGACACAGCGCTTTGCACCCCGCGGATCTGCAACTTAGGGGTATATTTGAGCTCGTTAATCTCGGCCCAATACAGCGGCACGCTTCCTCTTGTCTGCACGTATGACAGTACCTGCGTCTCTGGTCCCCCGCTCGACTGCAAGTTTGAGCCTGCGGCGAATCCTCCAGGACCGTTCGACGCGTTGTCATTGAGTATGACCACTTGCTCCGTCTCGTTGAAGTTGGACACGTTGCCATTCTCGTCGACTCCACGAGAGAAATAGCGGGTTCCGGCCCGGTGTCTCGATCGCCGGGTAATAAGGACGAACGTCAGGGGGTTGCCCTTAATCGACGTGTTCTTAATCTCCATCATGCCGAACATGACGGGCAAGATATAGGGGTCGACATCCCTCTGCAGGCCGCTCGCAATGCGGAAGCCGGATGAGCCGGAAGCACCGTTGCGAAAGTCAATCAGATCCGACTGGATGAAGCGATTCCAGAAAAAGCGATCGTCAGCGCGCTTCCACAGCGGCTGGGTGAAGTCGCTCTGGGCCTGGCGCTGGAAGCTGTTGGTGATGTCGATGGAGTAGGAGAAGTACATCGGCCCCTGCTTGAGCAATGTCTTCAGGTAGAAAAGGTAGGTATCCTCGTCCGGATCATGCAGAGGGCGCTCGCGCAGAGGCAGGAATTCGGTAGCCGCAACCTTGTACACCATGTGGCCCTTGAGCCTCCCGACAGGTTGCGCCTTCGTGATGACGATAATGTATTTGTCTGTACACGGTGTGTCAGCGAGTGAAGGGCTTCAAATATGGTGTTTGGGAGTATGGTGCAAGCTACGACGCGCTTCCTCCCGCAAGGCATTGCAGACACAGGGCAGCTCGCACACGGATAGGGCGTGTCCGGTCAGAAGCCACAGCGCTCCACCCACGAGCAGGAGGCTGCCAGACAGCCCAGAGCCCTTATGTGTAGCCGCCCTGCTGCTGCAACGCCTTGTGGTCCTCGACGTACCTAGGCGCAGCTTAATCATGCCCAGCACGCCAGCAATGCTGGAAACGCGCTGGCCGCCGAGGAGCTTGCCATCGTTAAGGCGCAAGTCTCCGGAGGGCCGGTCGACAACGAGGGTGGGGGCCGAGGGCGACGAGGGCGAGGAAAAGGCGTAGTACGAAGACGAGGCGTGGACATTAATGTCCCGGAACGGAAGGATGGCAGCCATGGTCGGCCGGTGGAGCTCTGGTCGCTCCTATGCGGGGACGGCGGGGCGAGAGGCGGACGATAGGTGGGCGACTATAGCAGGGAGGACTGGTGATGGTGCGGAGGGGCGCGGGGGGCAGGAGAGGAGAGATTAGAATTGCTGGTGTTTGATGCACATGTGGCAGTTGCGCTTGCGCGGCGTGGCAGGCACGGGGGCGCAGGGCAGGGCATGACGATGCCGAACGGAGCGCGCGCAAGCCACACCCTTGCCAAGCCATCCAGCGTTGGCTGCCCGGACAAGCTCCACCACCAGCACCCAACGTCGACACCTCAGATCTACACCACCCATCCACCCACCTCCACGACCTCAACCCATCCGCCGCATCGACGCCGCGCCGCTCGCACCCGACCCGCACCCGCCGCTCCCCCGCCATCCCCCACCGCTCCGCCGCGCCACCGCCATGTCCGCGAGAGTCCAGCCAGGCGGCCGTCCCGGCGGCTCGAGGTTCGCACAGTTCAAGCTGGTGCTGCTGGGTAAGTGTGCCGAAGTGCCGCAGACGCTGCAGCCGCCGACCGAGTGCTGACCGTTCGCAGGAGAGTCCGCCGTCGGAAAGGTTTGCCCCGCCCCTCGACTGGCGGTCACGCCCGCAATACTGATACGCTGCGCAGAGTTCGCTCGTGCTGCGCTTCGTCAAGGTGCGCCCCCTCGAGCCCTGCGTGCCCGCACGGCTGGAGCTGACCCCCGCCGCAGGACCAGTTCGACGACTACCGCGAGTCCACCATCGGTGCCGCTTTCCTGACCCAGACCATCGGTCTCGACGAAACCACGACCGTCAAGTTTGAGATATGGGATACCGCAGGCCAGGAGCGCTACAAGTCCCTGGCCCCCATGTACTACCGCAACGCCAACTGCGCCGTCGTCGTCTACGACATCACCCAGGCCGTAAGTGTCCCGCAGCTCCCCTTCCGCCACCGCGGCCAGTACTAACACGCTCCCTGCCGCAGTCGTCGCTAGACAAAGCCAAGGCGTGGGTGAAGGAACTACAGCGCCAGGCCAACGAGAACATTGTGATCGCTCTTGCCGGCAACAAACTCGATCTGGTCACGGAGAGCCCCGACAAGCGCGCAATACCCGCTGCCGACGCGGAGCAGTACGCCAGGGAGGCCGGGCTGCTGTTCTTCGAGACGTCGGCCAAGACGGCCGAAAACGTGCGGGAGCTGTTCACCGCCATCGCGAAGAAGCTGCCGCTCGACCAGGCCGGCCCCCGCAGCATCAGGTCCGGCCCGCGTCCTGGCGTCGATCTGCGGCCCGAGGCAACCAGCGGCCAGGGCGCGGCGGGCTGCAACTGCTAGCCTTCTCCCGTATTCGTCCCTCAATTTTGCTATTCCCCCCTTTGCTATGGACAGATCATGACTCGAGCCGGAGGCGCGCTGGCTGGTGGATTGAAGCTTGTCGTCAGCCGGTCTGGGTAGTTGGGGTTCGGGCGTGGAGGTTTGCGTTTGCGTACGTTGTTGTTTCCTATCACAGTCAATACACTAATGATTTTCGAATTTTCTTGACGGTCGTTATGTCACGCGGAGTAACACTCAGAGCATGTTGTTATTACAGTTAGACCAGGTTCAATGGATGTAAGCTGCTAGGCCAAACTCTTGTCCCTGCCCAGTTGCTTACATGCTTCTGGGGATGCTGGAGCTCTTGTCCATTGGGACCGTTGTGTCTGCGCAACGAGTGATTTCTCGTGTGACCTGTTACAGACGCGGTCTCTTCCTGCCGCTCTGGATGACGGCCTCTTTTCCGGTGTGGCTCGTTTCATGGGCCTTTAGCCCCAGAACGTGAAAACGCCCGGCCGTGCCGATCAGCAGAGGCGTATGTTCCACTGGTGAACCATCACGCCTGAGACAACGGTCTTGGATGATATGACGGGACCTTTTTCTTGTTTGTTTTTTTTTTCCTTTTTTTTTTCGAGGCGTTGAGAGCAGCGTGGTTTCAGACGCGTGTTCGCGGCACGCAATGTGCGCTGCAGGGCTGCGACCCCCCCGTGACAACCCTGGGTTCCACAACTCACGACACCACCACCACCAGGATTGGGAATGAAGTTGTCAACGTTTCCTAACACAGATTCTTACGGCTTACAGCCCCCTCCCTTCCGTTTTCCGGGCCATACCACGTCGGTGCGCGTCTGTGTCTCAACGGGTGCAGGCAGATTTCTGGTTTCAACGCGCGCGGATGTGTGGATCCGGTGGTGTTACTTGCGTGCCGCGCTCCCGCGGTTGAGCGGCTGCTTCGGCATTTTTGCGATGCGGTCAGCTGGGTAGGTAGCGTCATCAAATGCGGTTTCGAGACGGTGGAGATGCCATATGAAAGTTCTCTCTCTCTCGTAACCTGGGCCCCATGAACCGGCCCGAAACCGTACAAGCACGCCACAGCAAGGGTGGGAGAGCCGGAAGTGGCTATGGGGAGGACATGCATACTTTACCGAGAAGTGTCTGCAACACTACAACACAACCCCCCATCTTTAACAGGCTCATACACAACCCTCTGCAGATCGAGCCCACCTACATAGGCAGTGGGAGTAGATTTCCGGACGTATATATCAGTATTTAAACTGTATATCTACATCCAGATAAAGAATCCAATTATCCTCATCTGCGCAGAAACATCAGCACTCATCCTGGTCTCGATTCGGCGGTTCACAACTTTCACCCCAAAATCCTCGCAGCACCAGCCTCGGAGCCTTTGCATAAAAGAGACAGGAAAAAAGAACGGAGGCTTACATGTCTTCTGCAGACTGTAATTGAGTTTGCTGTAATTGGGGTACCTACCAGCTGAGTAGAGTAGGCTCTTTCCCTTTGTAACCCGCTGTACCACCGCACCTTATGCTCTTTTCCCGCCCACTCATCACATTCCAATCACATCCGCAATCTCGGTCGTTGGGTTTATGTACCACCGCCCCTTGTCCCTTACCATCGACACCTGCTCGAACGCGTACGCCGATCCGATCAACTTGGCCTTATCCCACATCCTGCCGAGAAACGACAACCCGAACCTATAATCTCAGATCCCTTCGTCAGCTCCCACACCGTTGCAACGGCATCGCACCGTAAAAGAAACTAGGCCGAAGAAGGAGAAGAAAAAAAAAAGAACAAAAAGAAGAAAAACACTCACGACACGCCCTCCGCCCACCACCGTCTCATCCGCGCCATCATAAAACCCCATCGGCACCGTCGCCACCGGCGCCCCCACCAGTGCCGGCACCCCAGTACTGACACTCGTCGGCAACACCACCACCTGCACCGTCACCACCGCCACCACCATCCCCCCTCTCCAACGCCCCCCTCCCCATCCAACCACCAATCCCCCCGCAACGCCGTCGGTCTGGACGTTGTTTCCCCGTTTACACGCCAAAGTCAGCAAGATCTGTACACAGTAGTAGCTGGTCGACCCCCGTTGTCTCGAAGGGTAAGTGTGTCGTTAACGAAAAGGGCACAGCAAATCACAGAAGGCGTGGACCTGTCTGAGCCCGCAGTGAGGGGGATAAATACGCACCTCTGTCCCCAACGAGGCCAGTGCCAGACCAAGATCAGATGCAACACCGCTTCCGCTCGAGCTTCCCGCTGGGGTCTTGGTTCGGGTAGTACGCGGCGGTGACCTGGCCGCCGTACGCGGGACCAGCCATTGGTCGAGTTGTTCGATCGGTAGTTGGCCCACTGGTTGAGATTTGTTTTTCCCAGGATGACTGCGCCGGCTTTCCGCAACTTTCCAGCCACTGTGGCGTCGTGGGGGACTTTGGCGCCGAGGAGAGCATATGAGCCAGCTGAGGCGCGTCGATGGACGCAAGCTTCCCCAAACTGTCGGGAGAAAGCACGTACCCGTGTTGTTCATCTTGTCTCTCGTGGCGATGTTATTCTCGATGAGGATAGGGATCCCATGCAAAGGACTGAGCAGAGGGCTAACGGAGAGGTCAAAAGCAGATGAGTAGCATTATGATCGACTCACCCGCGGGTGGTGCCGTTGAGCCTTTCAGAGTCTAGCTGGTGAGCAATTTGGAGTGCGTCGGGGTTGAGCTCCGTGACGGCATGCAGAACATCGTTGACCTCATTGATGCGGGCGATTTAGGCTTGTACAACTATCAGGAAAGCGCCTGATACAATTCAGATGACCTTTGACGCAGTACCGTTACCAAATCAACGCTAGTGAAGGAACCAGCTTCCATGCCAGTTTGCAAGTCCTCGTAAGTAGCATTGATGATGCTAGGAACGGCGACGCCCTGGACTGCATACCATATGTTAGCATTCTCGTGCAGTGCGCAGATGGAGTGCGAGTGTACTGGTTTTTCTACTGCGGCTTTGAGAGAAGAGTATGCTGAAGAAAGCGATGAAAAGAAAACGAAAAACAGCCATCTTTCAAACAAAGGTAAGAGAAACCGATGGATGACGCAATGGTTCTACGCGGCGCGAAATTCATCGAGAGATCGTCCGTGCCTGGTGGAACAGGGACTTGACGGGAAGGAAGCATTATATGCCATGGGTGTTGCAATAGCGGCAAGAGCGGGTGAGGGACGGCAGCATGAGGACCAATAGAAGATCAACTTCCACTTACGCCACCAGGCGTACCTTATCGCGACCGACAGCAACAGCGGCAGGAGAGCAATCTGTGCGACAACCTTGCTATTCATACATGCCATTTTGCGCATCGTTTGGTTGCCGTCACCGTCAGGATTTGAACGGTGGTGTGCGGTCCACCCACGTTTTATGGAAAAACGACTACAACTACTACATCAGAGCACTTGGCGATCACCGAAGAAAAAGACAGAGAGGACCTGGAAATATGAACCAAACGGCTCGGCAAGTGCACAGGAACAGCCGCTGATGCTGCATCATGCTACTTCCGAGGACCATGCACAACGTCATCACTTGCTATTCCTTGCCAACTTTGGCCCTGCCCCATGCTCTCGTAACAAATCCATCGATAAGCTTGCTCCCATACCTAATCATCTCACATCTTACATCTTTTTGTGTGGCAGACCTGCTACTTTGGCCCGCTTGTCCGTCTTATTCGAAAGAGCTCCAATACACGGCTTTCGCATGGCAACTGAAGCGCACGGTTTAGGCAAGCTTAGAGGCTGTCTCACTTTCCATGCTTTGCAAGGAAGCAAGGACAGCGGGGGTGAGATAGGCGAACTAGCAACTAGTCGCGCTATGCCTGATCAAGCAGCTGGTTACCGGTTGCTTGTCGCTCTGCACCAGCAGCTGACCGCCACCAAACGAATGGTACATACAAGTCTCTCGAGCCTACTTCGGATGGAGGCGAAAGCAAATGCCTAGACGCAAATGCAAACTTTCCAAGTTCTCTTCCGTGGGCAGTCGAAGCAAATGTCCGGACGTAGATACGAGTTTGAATACTATATATGCATCGAGACATCGAGTGCAACTCCTCACGTGAGTAGGAGGCAATACTCTGTAAACCCAGTTCTTGTACAGTCCACCGTGCCGCCACCCCGTTGAGGGCCGGCCGCCAGAATACAATACGAGCACCTCTCGTTCGACCGGTGAGGTGCTGTGTAAATTGCGGGTCCCTGGCGGAGATCAGGTAACGATTATCGGGGCTGCGGGGAGGGAGGCAATACTATGTGGAGCAGCAGGGAGACAAGGCTGGTCGAGAACGCCGCGGGCGTTTCTCCTTATATCAGACTCAGATTATAGCCCGCTCTCCGAATACGAGACGAGTCTTGATGATGGACAACCCCGGCTCGGGAATAATGCTGATCGCCCTAGAGGTTCAAAACACGCGTTGCACATCATATTGTTGCACAGGTGACGATCCAAGTATCACTGATATCTTTCCCATTTACGACCATCATGTCCCCAACACACTACTGAAGGACACAAACACACCGGTGGTATCTAGCTTGGGCCATCCTCCCCATATACGCGCGGAGTTTCCCTTTTTCAAACAGCCATGATTACAGAGTCCTTCTCCCACAAATAAACGCCAATAGTCGTGGTCATCATCAAGGAACCCAAAAACGATCCTCGAGTCGGCAAGATTGTACAAGACGAAAAGGAAACGAAGAAAAGGAAAAAAAAAAAGCGTGCATCAACCCTCCTCCTCCTCCACACCAACATTCCCCATCATTTTTCTCTTTAGACACGGCTATCGTGCCTGAACGGCTCGTACGCAGACGGGGCCTTGTTTCCCTGCATGTCCCTCAGAGGCACGTTGCCGTACGACTGCTGCGGCTGCTGCTGGTGCTGGGCGCCGGCGCCGGCGCCGCCAAAGGGCGAGTGCACGCGCTCGTACGTGTACGGCGTCTTCTCGACCGTGACCTTCTTGCGGCCGCTGCGGTCGCTCTTGCCCGAGCAGCAGCACGTCGACAGCACCCAGAAGAGCCCCGCGGCGATGGAAAAGGCCGTCGCCAGCCAGGTGATGCCCATCATCTTGCCGCCCATCGAGGCCTCGATGTTGTACTCCTCGAAGACCGACTTGAACGTGGCGACGAGGGTGCCGTAGAGCGCGCTCGAGGTGATGGACGCGGCGAGGGTGAAGAGGGTTGCGACCTTTTTGAGTTTACTGTCAGCACGGGGAAGGTGGTGAAGGTGGAGGGGGGGCGGTTGCAGACTTACCGAAGCGGCAAAGGTGGTGATGAAGCTGCCCCAGCGCGAGAAGACGGCCAGGACGCCGAGAAGGAGCGTGGCGAGCGTGGCGAAGAAAGCGATGGTGTAGGCAGCGAACATCCAGCTGGCAATCTTCTTGTAGATCTTGAGGCCACTCTCCAGCTTGTCGGGGATGGCGTCCTCGGCAGCGGTGTTGTTAAGTCCCCAGACCTCGACGGGGTTGAACCAGTAGGAAGCCTTACGGCCGCTGCAGTAGTCGATGCCAGTCGAGTTCTTGTCACCGCTGCAGTAGTTCCAAAGGCCGACGGTGTAGATGTCGCTCAGGTTGTCGTTGGCGGTGGTGGTCAGTGCAGCGAGAAACTTGTCGTCTGCGTCGGTGAAGGGTATATCTATAGAGGAGGACGAGGATATGTTGCTTCTGAACTCGGACATGTCGGCCTTGAAAATCTGTCAGTTGATGCAAAGGATTTCGGAGCTCTGCTTCGGATATGCGCACCTTCATGAAGTAGATGGAGGTCAGGTTGCCGTCACTCTTGGTCCAATTGCCCAGGAAAACGAGAATCAGGCAGATGAAGGATGCCAGCGACAGCGCCATAGGCGTGGCAACGCACGCGATACGTCCGATTTTGCCCATGGTTGCGGTGAGTTGAATGAGATGTGCGGTGTTTGTTGATGGAGCTGGTTGCTCGAGCGAACGGCGGACGATGGGGGGCGAAGCGAGGGAGAACGGGCGGTAACGTCACCGGCCGGTGGGAGTCGAGCAGCGACAGGCGAGGAGCGAAAAGGCGGGACACGTTGGAATGGGCTGCACGGTAGCGGGGGCCAGAGGGCCTTATATTGCACACTGAGTCGGCTTACGGCGCCCAGTGCGGTGAGGGAGGGCAGATGCGGGCGCAGCTGAGTAGCGTGTGGTGCGCAGCAGCAGCATCAACAGCAAACAAATGGGGCGGTGCAGGGTGCCGGCCCGCGTAAATGCAGGATGGGATGGCGGAGAGGCTGGCCGGGGGCGTCTGGTTGCCGGAGCGCCCAGGCGTCTTGCCGCTTTCAATCTAGCTGTAGCAGCGCCAGCCACAAGGCTGAGCAGCACCCTCCGCGCACGCTCTTTTGCCGCGCCCAAGCGTGCGCAACACCGCTGCACCGGTTTCTCGTCGCCTCAGCTCGCCAGCAGCACCTGTCCCTGCCTTTCTCCGCCATATGACGACTGCCCAGCGGCGCGTGGCTCTCCCAACCCCGCTGCTGACACCAACGCGTGCCACGGTGCCGTGCAGAGCCATCGTCCTGGATCGCCCGTCTAGAAAAAAATTTAATTCCTCGCCGTTGTAAATCGCTAAAACGCCCAACCCTCAATTATTGGCTCCGGCTTCGGTGGCTCCCTTGTCGATCATTCCGGGGATGGCCACCCTGCGGCTAACCCGGGTGGAGAGCCCTGCTATCCCTAGGTACCGCGCGGCCGTTGGCGCAGGGCAAGATAGCGTACGTAACTGTAGCGTATAGTGGCGCGGAACCATCACGGGAAACAAAAAGAAGATTTCCAGATACGAAGGGAGAGCAGAACGCCGACCTACGCACGGGTTCCACGGCTGGGCCGATATATAGTCGTGTAAGGCGTGCCGTTCAGCCGAGCGAAGCAGCGGAGGGTCGACCTAGGACGGGCCCAAGTCAGCAAAGTCGGGCACCTGCCGAAAGGCTCCGGTGTGCGCGCGATAGGCTAGGGTCGCATTCATCGAAAGGGAGCAATAAGGGTGAGAGAGCGAGAGCGAGATAAATGGAGGGTCCGATTGCTGATGATGACGACGCGGCCGCCAGCCCGAGCGAGCACGCGATCAGCGACAATCAGCGATCAGCAGAGTGGTGATGCGTAACGCGACGACGCGGTGATTAATAGGCAGCAGGCACCTGATCAGCAGCGGCTTGGGTCGCGCGCAAAGCAAGCAGCTGCAACTGCGATAGAATTGAGCTCACCCGTGTTCTCGCAGCTGATAGTGATACCTGCGTGGATCTATATCTGGACGTGGATATATGGCTTCAGGGCTCGCATGTGCTTCAAATGTCCGCGAAGAAAAGCCCATCTCCAGGCAGCGGCTCGTCAACTCTTTTGCAACCCGCGGTGCGCGCGGTGCAAGTGAAACGGACGAGGAGACGGCCGGTCAAGACGCAGGCCGCACGTCGCTCAGCACATGCGTCTTCGAAAACGAAGAATTGTCAGCGGGATCAACATGAGAGGCGCGGCGATGTTCATCAGCTTGTCCAGACCTCCGCACAATCAGCGACGCCGGTGCAGCGTCGGCGAGGGAGGCACCACCATAGGGTCGCGCGCAAGAAGCCAAGACCGGCCAAGGCCTGGCGACTCGTCATCCTGAACTGTCTGCTTATATTTAGAAGCGCGCCACGCTCCATCCGGAGGCGGTCAGCGCCGGATTACGCACTCCCGCTGCAGGGGGCGGAGCCTGATGCCGCTTGCGGCATTTGCTATGAGGCGGCAAGTGGAATTGCGTGCAGCCCAGATTCACCTTCCCGGCGTATCACCATATGGCATGTGTTTCAGGTGCTTGCTTCATCGGCTTTGAATTTCTTCATCGTCTTCGCCCTCTGCCCATTCTACCGCTCGGCCTCCTGCTGCTATGGACCAGCCCTCGCCGAAAGGCGCAGGGAACAACAATCGAAAGGGAAACTCCCAGCCGTGCGCATGTGCGCAACCATTCCAACCCTCTCTAAGCATCCCCACAGGCGAAAATCCTCCACCTCCTGCAATAATAGAAACACCAAGAACAGACACGCTGTCAAGACCACATGCCGTCGTTCCGTGAAATTTTTCCAAAACATGAGAAACCTCCGAAGCGCAGGCAACAGAAACTGGGAATAATCGAGAAGCGCGCAAAAAAGGAAATGCAGCAGAAACAAGCCCCAATTAAAACACGAGAATCCCCTTTGACATTTGGAACCCCTTTGCCTGAGTATATGCGACCGTTTCCTTTTTCGCCGTGAACACCGTCCGCGCTGCTGGGAATGAAACCGGCACTTTCGCTCACAACGCCAAACACAAATGAAACCCCTAGCGACGAACCTTGTCGTCTGTGTGCGGATCTGAATCCAAAGGTGGAAGGTTTGAGAAAACTGTCAGGGTCCGCCTGACATGGTGAAACAAATTGGCCTCCGGCGATCCGTTCTACGCGGGCAGTTGAAGCATATGTCCCAACGTAGAGGTAGGTTCAAACAACCTTTTTGCCCTCACAGGCGGTTGCAGAAGATATCCAGACGTGGATGCGAGTGTTGAATCCGTACAATCGCATCCAGACTTGAGATTTCCACTACCCACGTAAGATGGATCGCCGAGCAGACCGGAGAAATGAGAATGACGAAGATGTCGCGGATGATTAGGATGGGTGATGCTGAATAGCCCGGCTCCGGATGGGTATTCATCTCCTGGGAGGCTGGTTCTGAGGGTTGTGTGCACCGCCTTCACCCCTTGCCCGAATCCATTCGGTAGAGCCGCTGGAGCGACCCTCGGCAGCCTTTTGTGCGTCAGGGTCGGGACGCGACCGAGGTGCCTGGCCTCCACGGAGGATATCCTTGGGGTTGATCTTGCAGATTTCGTAGGCAATCTGCTGGGCGACGTAACGCCGCAGCTCACGGTCCTCGGCCATGTCCTCGCCCTCTAGACGAAACTTGTCGTGCTTCGAGTTCTTGTCTCTCCTGTTGGCACGGAGCTCGTTCATGATGTAAAGCAGTTCGGACTCGGATGCCCGTTTACGCTCCAGAGCGTAGCGGCTGGAACGGACATATCTCCTGGTAACGTCCATAGCTCCGTCGGCAGAGAAGGCAATGCAATAAGCGAGCTTCTTACCCCAGCCTTTAGATTAATTAGCGACGGCCTCATCAAAAGCTAAGCGCCGATATCCACATACCTTCGGTGTAAAGCCGGGGCTTGTCCCATGCCTCTTCGCAGGCATCCACGTGAACCCATCTCTTCCGGTGCACGGAGTACACTTCAGTCCATACGTGGTCCTCGGAGTTCCACACCCAGCGCACGCGTGATCCCACAGCCCTGCAAAGCATGCTGAAGCAGTTTGCCCACTCGCCACATCTTCCTTTCCGGGTCTGCAGAAGGACGAAAGCGTCGTTGTAGCGGGGAAATCTCTCGTAGGAGCCGCAGTGATCCAGCGAGCAGCGGTACAGTTCCACCTGGTTAGCTCCTCGTGCCGCCTCATCCGGGAGGGGTGCGGCCATTCCGACGGCGATGGTGGGCGAGCCACAGGTCCTGCAGATCGGGTTGTTGACCCACGAAAAGAAGGAGCGCTTGAACCACCGGAGCAATGCGCGGACGACGCAGTCCTGGTAGCCCCAGGCGGGCTTCTTGCCCGCACCGAGGCTCTGGGCCTCGGCCAGGAAGATCTGGCTCTCCTCCTCGGCTTCGCCGTAGATCTGGTCCAGCGGTATCGAGCGCAGCGCCTCGTCGAGAAGGCCGGGGTTCTCCCACTTAACGGGCATGTTGGACAGCGAGTTCAGCATGTTCTTGAAACGGAGCGAGCGGGCGTCGCGAGGCTCGCGAGGCAGCAAAGGGATGTTCTTGATGCATGTGCTGTACGAGGGCGGTGGTGCCGTGGTCGGAGGGAGGGCTGCGTTGAAGGGTGCAGGCGAGGCTGAGCGCGAGCGGCCGCTCAGTTCGTTCATGCGCTTTGTGCTGAGGACCTGACGGAAGCGCTCCGTCAACTCCTTTGCCTTCCGCTCGTCCAAGGCGGCCCCCCGGCGTGGGTGGTGCGAGTCGACCATTGCGAAGTGTGCGGTGGAGGGAGGGGAGCGGCCGTCCTGAGGTGGTGTTTGGTGTCGGTAGGTGTGAGGTTGGGGTGTGGGCGGGTATGAATGGCTTGCGGCAGGTTGCGACCGCAGCAGCTGCACAGCCCTCGGCGAGAAATGCCGCCACAGGGTCAGTGCGCGAGGGAGGGTTTGGTGGTGAGTGCCTTGGGAAGCAGGGCCCTCTTCATCCAGATCCAGGCAGACAGGGCGACGGAGAGGTCGAAACAGACTGCGCAGGTTGGTGGGCACGGGGGAGCAAAGTATAGGTCCTGGTGGAGGAGGAGCGGAAGGAACAGTGCGGCAGCGATGAGGTGTTCAAGGGCGGGATGCGCGTACGCAGTCCGGCTTGCGCGTCCTCGTCCGTAGGGCTTGAGCTGCGCAGCCAATCAGCGCCGTCGACGGCGGACTAGTTCGCAACGGGAACTTTGCTCGCGCGTCAGCCGGGGGATGATTGAATGTTAGTTAGAGCCCTTCTGGATCCGAGTGCACTTCTTTGCCAGCCCAGCGTCGTGCGGACTCCTTAATTACACAGCGCGTGCCAAGCCTGAGCGTGGGAAGCGACGTCCCGGATGCGATGACTAACCGCGGCAGCAACGCGGCCAGCCTGCGACAGGTTGCGGCCGCGCGCAGTCCCTCGCGAGCGACGGCAGAGCGTGCAGCCGGCGACGTCGACCCTGTCGCGCTCCATGGACGCTGCTGACGGCCATGAGGCGCGGCGGAGCGCCCGTCGCCAATGCCGCCGCGGCTATTCGTGGGTTGGGGCCTCGCCTCTGGGGCCTCTGGGGCGGAGGGCAGGACCACGCAATCCGCAAGCCACCAGCCCGGCGCGGACGCGTCACGCCCCAACCCGGCCGCGCTGACTCGGGCCCGCTCGAATATGAATACAGCGCGACTCGCACGCCCACTGACGCTCCCTCTGACGCGTGCTGCTGCCTCTGCACAGTACGGACGCGACGCTCGTGAAGCTTGCGGCTGACGAGCGAAAGCCAGTCTGCCCAAGCATTGCGACCGCTCGGCTTGGCGGGCCCCGCCGGCGACTTTCGCCCTGTTGCGACGGACGATTGCGCAGCACGGGGCTTGGCGCGCAGCGTTCCACTTTCCATGGCTCCTCCCAGCAGTGCCTCTCTGGCGAAGCACGTCAGCCACCATGATCTCCAGCCTGCGCTGCCACCTGGCCCCCAGGCTCCCGCCGCCGCCAAGCCCGCGCATCCTCATCTGCTCGCCCGCACCGGGACTGCTCAAACCGACGACGCGGCCGACGTCGGTCTGCTCTGCGTATTCGGCTCTGAATAAGCAGCAGGTACGGACTTGGCCGAGTGCACGCGGACACATATCCCAGCGGAAGATCCCTCTAATTTTTCCTTCTTTTTTGCTCTCTTCGCTGCGCACAGGGATGCCCTCAGAGCCTCTTCCGCCCCCCGCAACGCTGACGCGGCCGGCTCCCGCTCTGCGGACCAACGAACGACAGCGTCATTGCGTGACCAAGCAGCTGGTCTGATCCCCTCCACCACTTGGCCAAAGCCAGCTCTCCAGCTTCGTGTTGTGGAATTGCTGTTGCTCAACACCCGCGCGCCGCGCGGCAGGTGCCGCCTTGTTCCGCGGGCAGGTAAAGGTCGCTTACCTAGCCGCGTTCCAGCCAGCCGCAATATTGGGTGCTTTAGCGTTGGCTCGCTAATAGTGTGTACTGCAATCCGTACAAGAAACACAGCTTCCAGAACGTGGCTTCGAATTGGTCGGCATCGAGCCGACTGCACCATACTCTGGTGGGGAGTTGAATCCAATAGCTGGACGCGTTTGTCGGCATTATTCACGCTCTTCCTACATTACTGCACCTAGCTATTGGATTCGACTGCCTGCGCAGCGATTGGAGCGTCCTCAGCGGGGCTCAAGGCTCAAGACTTCTGTCACATGCTGTGACCCAACCTCTTACAATCCCATTTTTCGGTTTACCCCTAATTACGCCTAGTCTAAAAATGCTTATCTTATCCAAAACACCTACGTCTCCCATCTGAGGCACTTGCGCCTCGTGACAAGATCTGCAGTGGCCGCACCTTGATACATCGCCCGTCTTCACATACCCGAGACATTGAGGTCATCCACCCCGCCTGTCCACGTTGCACTGACACACCTGATTGCTACCCGTCGGCAGGACTACCCCCCTCTGACCGGCAGTTGCGGCTATCTCTCGTGCACGCCGACAAATTTCGGCGGCAAGTCCAGATCCCACGTTGGCCTCTCCACCAGCACCACTTCCAGCGGAGCGGCTGCTGCGGCCGACTTCGCCTTCCCGCTCTTGGCTGCAGCGCCCTCACCGCCATCGTGGCTGATGGGGACCAGCCCCAGAATCGGTCGGTACTTGAACGTGTGCCAGTGGCTCTTGCGCTGCTGCTGCAAGGCAGACTGACTCTCGTCTGCCTCGTCATTCGTCTGGTCACCGCCCTCAGACACGCCGCGCCGCAAGGTCGCGAGAGCACTCGAGCCCTCGTATTGAACGGCCTCTGCGGAGTCAGCCTCGTCGTCGTCGTCGTCGGAGGCCTCTTGCCCTTGCTGCAAGTCGACCCAGGAGGCCGCGTCGGCCCCGATGATCTTGCGGTACTTCCGCCCCGCTCCCTCAATTTCCCGCGCCGGCTTCCTGCTGCCTGCGCCGCTGTGCTTCCTGAGCAGCAGCGCGTCCTCCGGACCTCGCTTGCGCTTCTTCAGCGGGGACTCCGCGCCGCCGTTTGTGGCACCGTCGGAGCCCGATGATCCGTCCGAAAAATCGGTTGCAAGGTCGAACATGAACAACCAGTTGCTGCCGTACAACCACAACCGCTGTCGCGTGTCATTGATGTCCCACAAGCAACCCATTGCCCGGTCTCGTTGGCCCCTGAACTCTGCAGGGAAATCCGAGGTAGGATTGCGCCTGGACCAGTCCGTCATCTTCCCGTCAAGGACGTCAAATTCGTAGACCTGGTGATAAGCGGTGACCGCGAGCAGCTGATGTTGGCCGCCTGGCAGCGTGTGCGAGCGAGGGTGTGGGTTGTGCCTCGTCGGATGAACCGCGGGGTTGCCGTTCGGCTGAGACTCAGAATCCTTCGTTGGACGGAAAGAGAGCACTAGCGCTGCGGACTCGAGTTTCGGTAGGAGGTGGCCAGCGGGATTGCGTACCCAGTGTTGGCCGAAGAAGATGACTGGACGGCTGGCACCCTCGTCTTCGTCGTCGTCATCATCGTCAGACGACGCATCTTTGGAGGCCTTGTCCTTTTCAGGCAAGTCTACTTCAGGTGCCGTTATGTCTTCGTTTCCTTCGACTACCCAGCTGTCAAGGTACCCTGCAAGGTCGCTGACGACAAGCACCTCGTTGGATAGTGCAACGCGGGTGATGATTCTGTCGTAGCTGCCCCAATAACCGTTGAGCGAATTTTGGTACTCGAGTTTTCTGTGTAACCGCTGGAGCTCCACGACGCGAGGGACGATTCTCCACCTACTGGGCTCATCCTCGTCGTTCGTCAGGCGGGCCAAGAAGATTTCGTTTTCGTGCGTGATGATTGCCAGCCACCTGCCGTTTGGGCTCAGTTGCACCAACCGCGCACCGCCCTCCTGGGGCAGCGGGGGGCTGTCGAGTTTCCTCACGCGGAGGCTCCTGTCCGTCTCGCCCTTGCGCAACGACAGGTGGAAAACCTTAATTTCCGCGACAGTCGAGATGGCCAGAATACTGCCGTCCTCCGAGATCGACGCAGAAGTTATGTTTTCATCTCCCTTCAGTGCCAAGCGGGCTACTAGTTTGGGCAGCTCACCGCTGGTGTCACGTTTCTTGACACGCCAGATTCGTACCTCGCGATCCCACCAGCTGACAAGGAGACGCGCACGGGGTGCGCTCGTAACTGGGGGACTTTGAGGCAAGGCAGACAGTTTGCGGGAGTGCTCTGTGCTGAAGGAGCGGATCGGGACAAGGACGGGATGAGTGTCGAGGCCTGTTCGCTTGATTAGCATGATGATGAACAGCGGGCCTTGCATATCGTACCTCCAGAAACCAAAATGCTCAGGCCTTTGCTCTCGTATGTTGCCATGGTCTTCAGATCGTGCTCGTGGAATTTCCGGTGACCGCTCTCCAACCATCTCTTTTCCGGACCGTTGCCAGACAGGGTGTATACGGTGGTACGTTGGTCCATGCCACCGCTGAACACGGTCTTCCCATCCCTACTGACTGCAAGGGCCAATACATCTTCCTTATGTGAGGAAATTCTCTGCAGAAGCGAATAGTTCTTGCCGTCGTAGAACCGGACCTCACCAGAACAATCCCCAGAAACAATATCGCCATTGGGCAAGCATTTGACAGCCCAAACCAGGATCTCCCTTGGCCCTGCAACGGACGGCGCACCGAGCGTGATTTTCCGCAGGAGTTGGCCGTTCCTCGAATCAAAGATTCTGATCGCACTATCGGCGAAACCTGCGACCACGATGTCGCGGCTCTGGTAGGTGACGCTAAGGACGCGCGCCTTCTTCGCCGTCGGTCGCGAGAGGAAGCGCGAGAATCTGAGGTCGTTCTCGTCGGTCGACAGGACGGCAAGCGAGCCGTCAGCGCATCCAACCACCAGGTTCTGCCCGCGGAACTCTCCCTCCCTCACAGCCTTCTGTCCGGCCTTCCACCGCGGCTGTGCTGCAAGGCACCAGATCTCACTGTGGTTGCCACTTGAGTTGCGCAAAGGCAGCCCGGTAACCAGGTCCCACTCCGTTACGGTGCTTGAGTAGCCAATGCTGAACAGGCGCAAGCGACCGACCGAGGTGAAGCCCTCGCTCTCCTCATCCGGCTCTTGTGTCCATGCCAGCCCCTCGACGCTGCGATCCTTGCCGCCGCTAAGTGTGATCTCATGGATCCATTCTGCGTCCTTGCCGGGGTTCCAAACTTCGATATTGCCGTTGGCACGGCCGATCGCAAGCCTAACGTTACCAGCGCCTTTACCGGTGTCTTTTGAGTCGGAGTGGGAGAAGGCAAGGGTGTTGATAGCGGCCGCCGGGTAAGGAACGAAGCGCGAACGATGGATATCCATGGCGTTTGAGGCGCGCAACGGCGCGAGAAAGGTGACAGGAAAGGCGCACCGTGTGTCGACCGCAGGCGAGCTTCTTGGTGAAGCGTTGGATTCGTTAGGGACCCAGGGACACGGCGTACGAATGTTCCGGCGGCGCGCAGACTTCGCAAGTTCGAGCGCGGGAACGACGTTCCAAAAATTTCCTTGACCATCGGCGTTTTTTCCTCCGAGGGTCTCGGTCATTGACCGCGCTAGTAAGCGAGCCGCGATTCTAATGCGACGTCAAGTCTTCACCCCTCACCCTCGTCCGGCGCCGATGCAGCACGACATCATCACAATATCAGCCAGATGGCAGTACCTCTTGTTCGTTGTTCCGGAAAGCCTCTATGCCTTGCAGAATGACTCCATACCACGTGTGACGGCACTTCGTCGGCGACAAACCTTTCCCCAACCGGACGCTTGTCCCAACGCAGACGAGAATGCAGCCATCGGGCGCAGCCCATGACCCTCCATCCGGTTTATAACTTCGACATGGGCGGGACGCAGCTTCGTCGAGAGCAGCCGTCGCAAGGGCTTAAACGGATATGCTGGGACACCTGTGAAGGCATCCGTGGCATCCTATGAACCGGAACTCTGACGGGCCAGCCGTGTTTCCGTGTCGCCGTGGACGTTCGCATACAGCTGTGTCACGTCCTCGATGCATCCGACACCCAAGCCATCTATTGCGTCATGGTGCAACGGCTATGAACGAGTCCGGCTTGCGTGGTATTGCAACAAGACCGAGGTGGTCGAAGCTCTTGTCCGGATGATGCCTTTGTTCATGGACATTTTGTGCAGTTCACTTACAGATACACGCTCTAACAAGTCACCCTCACTGTTGTGTCACCCAGGAAACCGACCTCGTATCTTATTGGTCTGCATTTTGCCGCAAGGAAGCGCTGCTAGCGTGGAGAGCACGGATGAGGCTTGCTGAAGTGACGATCTAAAGCCTTGTGTACCCGTCCCTAGTATAGTCATTCCTTCGCCTATGCAGGTCCAGACATATACTGTCAGTGTGCGCCTGCCTGCCCTCTCTACTGTGGGTACTGCAGACCAGGAAGGGGAGGAAATGTCTCCGCCTCTGCGTGAAGTCGGCATTGCTTGCTTCACCACGCGTCTCATGTGTTACGACGTCTCGCCTTGAATCCTTACTTGGTGCGGCTGAGAGCAGTCGCAGACAGTGGTTATACTGGATTTTGATAGGAGGCGAGGCTAGTGGGTGCCGGCGCCGAGGCGCCCAGCGGTGTGGCTGGGCCACGGTTGCGTGACGGGCGGGATCGTCGTGGTTGATGTGGAGAGATCATCGCTCTTGGTAGTCGAGGATGATCTGCGGAGAACTAGCTTTTCTAGAAACGAGGTGTGGTGTAGCTAGAGTGCAGCGATTGGCGCAGTAAAATGGCGTGTTATCTTGCGTTTCAATAATAAGCATGGCGGTTGAGACATGCGCCCAGTATTGGCAGAAATTTCTGTTTGACGCGCCGAGGGCAAGGCAGGCAGGATGCACAGCGGAGTCAGAGTGACGCTGCAAAAAGCCGTGTGGCTCCGTCTATCCGAGGCTTTAGCCCAGTGGCGGCCCGGCGATGCCAGGTTTGATGAAAAGTCTGAGCTTTGCATTGCATATGACCGGACTTAGGGTTGAACGGCTGCTGCTCACGCGTTGGTGGTCGCGCGTTCGGCGCCATTTCAGCCACGGACCCAGAGCGACCACCTTCTGTCCTGAGCACATACTCTCTTATGCCCTTATCCTAGCCGGCGGGCCGGCATCGAATGCGTCACCGATCTCATCTCGTCTGTGGGCAGCCAACGGCGCGCATTCTCATGCGGAGGCTTTGGCGAGGCGGAGCGAGATGTGCATCATTTCGAAGGCTCGGCTGCTGCTCTATCTACAATGCAGATGTTTCATGCCACGGAAATGATGCATCTTGTCCGAACGCGCTTGCTTGGCACGAGCCAACCTTCTGACATGCTTCCATCGGGCGTCGGGCTTAGCTTGGATGGCTGCTCTCGGTCTTCACTCGTAAGGATTACGCGAGGAAATGGAGGGGATAATCCGTGATGCCGTATCTAGCCTCCCGTCGGGTGCAAATTCTCACGGCGCGAGTGGGGCATCCGCTGCCAGAGAAACCGCCAGAACAGCCCGCAGCGTATGTACATACATCTATCTCACGTGGGTAGTGGAATCTCAAATCCGGATGCGATTGTACGGCTTCAACACGCGCGTCTACGTCCGGACATTTCATTTAGCTACCCACGGAGAGAGGCTGTTTGAGTCCACATTTGCGTTCGGGCGTCTTCTTCAACTGCCAAGTGTTAAACTGAAACACTTATGCCAGGACATCTTCTTCGACCACTCACGAAGAAATGTCATGATAAATCCAACCATCTGCGTCCGGACATGTTCTTTAATGGCTCACGAATAAAGCTTGTTTGCCGTAAAAGGCGGTAAGAAGCCCAAGGCGTTGAGCGAAAATTCTCTGCAGGCAAGCGGCGGCGGCGGAGCGGAGCAGGTGATTCTTATCCACCAGCGTGCGGATCCTCGCCTTGCCATTGCTGGAGGCCCACCGGCCGTCACCGCCTGCCCGCGCCATTATGCAGACACGACACATGCACTAACTATACAGCTTAATGCCTAGGCTACGCACATCTGCCGCAACCCCACGATGTGCGGCGGCGGCGCGGAGTCGGGCAGGAAATGAAGGAACGCGCCTGGCGGACGGCTCAGCCGCGACGGACGTCGTGCTCAGGAGACGGCGGCGCGGATGTGACATCAGACGGGTTGAATGTTCAGCGTGAAGAGAGGGCCAAGCAAGGGCGCGGCCTAGCCGTTCAAATGGAGAGCGGACGGTGCACTGGCGGGCCTGGTGATGCTTTCACCGCATCGATCTGCAAGCACACGTTTTCGTCAACGCAGCAACCCTGCCGCGCGAATCACGGGCGGCCGGATTGAGGTCTCGCAAGCGTTGCGGAGACGGCGCTGAAACTCGTCGAGCCGCATGTGACACGCCCTTGGGCGAGGGCAGCGGCGGCGAGCGAAGGCAAACAGAAATCGATTGGGCTGCCACAGCGGCAGGGACGAGAGGGCGCCAAGGCGATGCGCGGTGGTGGTGCCAGCGTGCTGCGCGCTATGCTGCTCCGCGAACGGTGGAAACCTGGGCAGAGGCGCGCAGGGGAGGTGCAGGGAAGGCGTGGCGGCGCAGGCTGCTGGGCTGAGGAGCCTTACCGCTCGCAGCGCTGGCGTGCCGCGGACAGGGCTGCTCTCAGGCCGTGCCGGCTGCGAGATTGGGCAGACGCGCCCCGTTAGATCTGGGGTTCGCGGGCGTGTGGCAGCGTGCAGCGCGACGCCGGGCGCTGATTGAGCGCAGCCCGCGGCCGTGGTGTCGTGTCATATGGGCCGGGGGGCGGCGGAGAGGAACGCGTTGAGCATCGCTGGCGCCGGCGGCCGTGGGCTGTCTGCCTGCTGGACCGTGAGCGGCGGCGGAGATGAGGGCTCGCCGCCCCTATGCGTGCGCCTGCGTTGTGCACGCAGACGCCCGGCTGCCGCAGCAATCGCTGGCCGTGGCACGCTGGGACGCTGGGACGCGTTGCTGCACTGGGCGGGCTGGCGTGCGCGCCGCCCGAAGCAGACAACCGCGGGCCCACTGCCAGGCGAAAAGCATGGCGTTTTGTGCAGCGCTGGCAGCGTGCGGGGATTGGCTGTCGCGCGATGCTGGCGGAGAGCAAGGAACAGCGGCGTCGAAGCAGTTTAGCCTGCACCGAGCGCTGGCCGCGAGCCCCATACGAGTGCAAGTAAGCTCGCCGTACCCATCTCTAACCTTGGCCTTCCGCCAGGCGACGCGAGCGCCCTCAGCCTCTCCTCCTCCACCTCCACCTCACCTCTCCTTCCCCCTTCCCTCCGCCGTCATTCATCCGTCGGCTCTTCAGCGGCCAAAGTCTTAGTGAACGGGGTACGTACGTGCACAATTCTCTTCCCTGCCTGCACATCATCCTTCCATAAGACCTCACCGGCTGGCGTCCACCGGGCCTCTGCGCAGCCGGCCTCTGCTCTGCCTACTCCCCGACCGCACCCAAAGCCCATCCTCTCTCCTCCTCACTGCATCACCACCTCACACCACCGTCTGCCCCGCCCGCCCAAGCCGTCACCCTCGCACCGTCGACGCAGCCCCTAACCGCCCGTGGACTGCAGAGCCGGACACCCTCAATCGTCACGATTGAAGCCAGCCTCCGCCCTCTTCACTGGACCTCCGTCGGCTGTGCATATACTGTACTGTGTGTGCATTGGTAAGTGCTGTCCGCTGCGCTGCCCCTCTCCCCTCGTCTGCTGCCCGCCCGGATCCCCCCACTACCGAGGACCTTGCCCGCCCACTGCCGGACCCGAAACCCAACCACGGCGCCTGCAGCCACTCGCGATGCCGCCATTCCGCTTCAGAGCCGCGGTTCAGACACGCCTGAGACACTGAGAGACAAGCCGTGGAGGCGGAGAGCCGCACGTGGAGCGAGTTGGAAATCCGTGCAGGCTGGCGAGCTTCCGGCCCGGAGAGCGGCCGGTCGGGTGTTAGAGATCGAGCGTTGGCGAAGTGTCAAAGAAAGTCATGCTGAATGGGCACTCGGAATCCACACAAGGCTGGGCGTCGGGCGTGTCTCAGCATTGGCGCAGGTTTTCATCTCGACACGACCCCTGCCGGCGCGTCCAGGAATCTCACGGCCCTGTGTTCAAGAATTTCTTGAGGGCGCCGTGGCGGCTTCTTATGCGTTTCCCTGGCTTGACTTGTCTTGGAAGTGGTCTCGTTCGCCTCGGTCATTCCTGCGTAACCCTCGGTCCAAGAACCAGGTGCGGCCGAATTTCGTCTCCCTGCGAAGCTTAAGCTTTCCCACGCTTAGGATCGCCCGCAGAGGAACGACGGCACCGCCGACCGCGCCGGCCACACGCGTCATCCCATCCACATTTGATTTTGCACGAGCGAGACATGGGACTGACCGTTTCATCCAACAGAACCTCAACCAACCCTCCTCTCTTGATCTGTCCTTTGCCCGCGGCTCCCAGCCCAGCAAGGCAGGCTCCCGACCCCCAAAGCATCGACTGCTCCTCCGGTCGAAGCATTGAACGGTTCGTCTTCCAGCGGCTGCCGTGAATTATTGGCGAAAAGAAAAGAAAAAAAAACAGCGTCGCTGACTGGTGCTCCTTGCTCTAGACTCGTGGGCTGTTCGACGGGAATTTTCCACATTCCCCAGACTCCTTGACGAGCGTGCCAGATCCCCCCCACCCTTCGGCGGACTCGTTAATTCGTGTTCTGCCTCCTGAGAATACCCCTGTGGCGAGCTTGGCCCTTTGAGAGACAAAGATCTGATCGCCTTCTCATTCCGACACTGAATGCCACTTGCAAGGGACTCGATCGTTGCTGGTCTTTTAACCATCGCGTCTTCATTTCTTCTAGTCACTACAGTACACTCCTTAAACTAATAATCTAATCCACAAGGTATGGACAATCTCGGCCTTACATAACCTGTCGCATCGCTAACCGATCGCCCCGCACGTTCCAGGCGTCATTTGAAGGAACCCCCTCCTATATCCGCGCTCTAAGGTCTCTCCACAGACTCCGACCGGAACTCTGGACACCTTCCCTCGCCGTACACCAACTAATTTCATTCACTACCACGCCTACGCCAAGGCAGCCACTCTCTAATCCCAGTCTCTTCCCGGACTTTACCCTCCCTACCGTCACCGCCAGTTGCGTGCACGGTCACCCAGTCTATCCAGGAGAACAGACGTCCACTCTTTCCACACCATCGCAACCTCAGCTCACCATGGCTTACAACCAATCGTCCCACCGCTACGGCAACTGCGACAGCTACTTCGTCGAGGAGGATGATGGATTATATGCTATGCGTGCCGAGGCAAGGGAACGTGCTCGGGCAGTGGCTAGGATGCAGCAGCGCGCTCTGGCTGATGAGCTTTCGAGGATGACGGCAGAGGAATACCAAGAGGATATCCTGGACCACATGGAGCACATGGAGGTGAGGAATCTTCACCTCACCGCAGTTTGAATCGCTGCTGACTTAGTTCACCCTTTCAGGCCGAGACGATGCCTGACGTCAACTCCATCGACATCCAGACCGAGATCCAGTGGTTCATGAGGCCTTACCTCCTCGATTTCCTCGTCGAGGCCCACGCCGCCTTCCAGCTTCTCCCCGAGACCCTGTTCCTGGCCGTCAACCTCCTCGACCGCTACTGCTCCCGTCGCGTCGTCTACAAGCGCCACTACCAACTTGTCGGTTGCGCCGCCCTCCTCATCGCCGCCAAGTACGGTGACCGCAAGGAACGTGTGCCCACCGTCCGGGAGCTGAAGTCGATGTGCTGTTCGCTATATGACGATGAAATGTTCACGCAGATGGAGTGGCACGTTCTTCAGACCCTCAACTGGGTCATTGGTCACCCCACGGTGGACTCGTTCCTGCAGCTTGCTCTGTCCGAGGTCACCTACGATGCCGAAGTTGAGCACATGGCTTGGTACATCAGTGAGATCGCCCTCTTCCACAAGGAGTTCGTGTCGGTTCGCCCCTCCGTTCTCGCCCGTTCCGCTCTGGCCCTGGCCAGGTGCGTGCTCGGCCGTTCTCAGGCCCGTCAATCCGAATGGGCGGGCACCTACGATCCTGTTGTCGTCCTCAACCTGTCAAACCACCTTTACCAGCCTTCGCAGGTTCTGTCAAGGAAGTATGCGTCGATGCACCTGTCTGCGGTGTCTACTACTGTCGAGGAATTCCTTCAACGTCAAGCACAGATCGCCCGCCGCAACATCACGCCTCCCACGCCGCCTGCGCTTGAGAACCAGAAGCCCGATGCGGACGGCTACCTCACCCCGTCGACGCCTCAGAAGAGCCACTACGATGCTGTCATGCAGCACGGTTGCCTGACGCCGCCAATCACCCCTGATAACGAGTTCGGTCCCAACTACGCGAAGAACGTGCTTCCGAGACTGTACCCCGTTACCCCGACGTCGGCGCCGCAAGAAGCTCCTCAGCAGCAACAGAACCAACCCCAGTACGGCTACCAGCAATATCTCCAGCCGCGGTTAGTTCAATAGCTGACTGATAGCGTTGCCAGGATCGATGACGGAAAGATGGCGACATCATAGACGCATTTCTGTCCCGACCTGTCGCATCTCTTCTCTTTCTTGTACCAAAGACCTATGTATGAGCGTCATAGCGTTGCCCTTTTACCCTTGCTCCGTTTAACTATTGCATTGCAAGCGTCATCTTGTCTTTCGTCATTCTAGTAGTTTTGCTCTTGATCTTCAGCATTTCTTTTGTTCTTGGGACACTTCGAGATGGAACAGCTTCAGGGGGCAAAGGGCGGCGGAAGTGGTAAAAGCACCAGTCGATGAATAGTCTTGGGGATGGATATGGTCGGCGGTTTCCTAGACTCAGTCCATCCCTTTTGGATTAGAAATTCAAAAGGGTTGGATTCAATCTTGGGGCCCGTCTGTGAGATGTTCCTTTTTGTCCCGTGGAGGATTGAAATTGCGATTCTGTGGGCGAGCTCGAGAAGGCACGCAGAAGATCCTCTCCATCCCGGTGGTCGTAGAGATACCCTTCTTGTTTCTCATCTTTTTCTGGATTTTCCTTTTTTGCTTGCTGATATCTTTTTTCACGCGATGGGAAAGGTCGGTCACTGCTACACGCATACGACAAAAGCAGAAGGTACTTGATGTCAGACTGTTTGTTTTTTCCACCACACGGCACAGCTCAGACAAGAACCAAGAAAGGAAACCAAAAAAAAAAAGGGGGGAAAAGTTTGGCTCATACATCAGATTGAACAGGCAGGGCTTGAGCAACATCCGAGACTGAGCATTATCATCCCTTTTCCTTCTTTTTTTTCCTTCTTTCCATTCATGCTTGCTATCTGTCTACTCTATCTTTCCGCAAATCTTTTGTTTGGGCTTTGGCTGGCGACAGAGAAACACCAACTTAACCCCCCCAACCAACAAATCAAGAAAAAAACGTCATAAACCCGTAGAAAACATATAATGCTCATCAATCTTTTTCGCTCCCCACGTATTTGCGCGGCTCGTTCCTATTATTACTTCTTTTTTCTTTTTTGCTTTCTACCGGGAGCATGATGAGAACATGACATCCAAGAAAGAGAGAGAGAGAGAGAGACCGTTAGATGTAGTGACGGCATGATCTTCGCTCCATCATCATTCCCCCCTATTTTTGGGGGCACGTCATTATACCATTATCATTTCCAACTGCAGCATCGATTGGAGGCTTAATTTGTTTTTTTTTCTCAGGATACCTATGCCGTTATCCTTATCTATTTCCTGTTTCGAACTCCTTTCCGTTTCTATTTACAGCTGCCTGCCTATACTCTTTCCGTCCGTCCCTTGCAGCACAGCTTGCAGCAACCCGACAGTGTGACGACTCCGACGAAGACGACGACTCGGTAGCGAGAGGCGGGGATGGGAAATGTCGTTTGTTTGGTTGTATATCTCACACAAGTTTAATCTCGCGTCACCACCCCGGCGCGGCGTGGTGCGGCGTAGCGTGGCGCGGCGGGGCGACCTCAGCAATGGCGCATCACAAGCACGAAGCAGTAGTGGTAGGTAGGTAGATGAACATAATTAGCCGCCGGGGGGTGGTGGTGGCCTCACTAGCTCTCGAGTCGTTTTTATGGTTCAGCAAATCTCCGCCACCATTTCTGCCGAAAAAAACACACGCTCACATGCGCCAAAAAGGTGTTCGGAGAATGGCGAAAAGGGGGGGCGGAGGGAGGAGGGGAGGCGAAGTTTCAAGTTTCGAGAGGATCAAACCGGATGATGGCGATTGGGGGAGGGGTGGGGGCAGAAAAGTGGCAAAACGTACATATTGTTTCGGAGGACCCTGATGTGGGAAGGAGGAAGGGAAGGAAGGGTTGGGGGGGGTTTGGGATCGTGCATGCATGCATGTACGCATGTATGTACGTACATATATGTACTTGCGCTTGCGCTCGCGCCGCAGCATGTTTGACTGTATGGACGTGCACGCACATGCGGCGGCATGGCGCGAAAGAAAAAGGGTCTCACAACAGCCGTCCAGTGCACGGAGAGGACAAGAAAAAAAAAGTCCCGTCTCTTCTTCTCCCCCTTGATGTTTGGACGGTCCGCTTATGCAGCGTCGCGTCCAAAGAGGGGGAGGCGCGGGAAGGGTTTACTTTGGGCGCAGGCGGGCGGGTTGCTGCTGAGTTGTGCATGGCATGGGTGGGCGGGGGAAGAGGAATAAGGAGGTTTGTGCGGTGTTAAGCCGCGGGTTCGACCAGCTGTTGCCGCGACGCCCCTGTGCTCATTAATGGCCTTCTTTGGTTGGCGATGAGTAAAAAGACAGGCAGAGACCGGGGTTCGCTGTCCAAAGGGAGGGTGGGAAGTGGTTGCAGGCCACGGCAGCTATTCTAGCAAGGATGCATGTGTCTGTGCCCGCCGGTCGGGTGGGCGCGAGACGCGGTAGTGTAGGTAGGTATGCGTGTCGCGTGGGATCGACGCGCGACTGGGACACTTTTGCATACCTGGTCCGGAGGCACGCGACGGAGGCGGGACCGTAAGAATGGGATGGATTTGCGGGCGGGACTACGTGTTCTGCTTTTTCGGGCCTGGGGTCGAGATGGAGCCCACGGCAGAAGTCATCAGGCTGCCACTTTCTTTTGGCTTTCGCGTCTCGGCAGCGTGTGAGTCAGGCGCGCGCGTTGGTGTCGGTGTCGGTGGTGGTCAGGGACGGGCTGGGCTGGACGGCTCTGGACGGCACGGTGGGAAGCAGCAGCAGCAGGGTTGCGCGCGGCAGGGGACGGCGCCGCGCTGGTTGGCCGGGCTAATAATAAGCTGGGCGGGCTATCGTTCGAGGGGTGTACTATTGCCGTATGTCGTTGCGCACAGCGGGTGTTGGCTCGGCCATGCCGGCGGGCCATGGTTGGCTCGGGCGAGCGAGGGTGCGAGACTGCGAGGCTAGGTTTGAGTCGTGCTTTCCTCAGCCCTGCTGGTGACTTCCCAGCTCTGACGGTGGCACTGTGGCACCACCAAGCGCCTCGACGAGCGCTTATCTTCCCTTTCCCTTGCCTTTGCCGCCCGTACTTCCGCCCGTACTCCGTGCTTCCGCCCGCGGCGGCCAGACCACGTCATCGGCCCTGCTGCTCCAAGCAATGGTTTCTACCTCATCCCGCTTTCGCACATCTCTGCCGTCTGCCACCCGCTATTGTACGCCGTGAGCGCCACGCCCGAACGCCTAGAGACACGCCTTAGGCCCGTCGGGGACATTCAAATATCCCCGTACCGTACCACTTTTGCGCCATCTACTTTTAAAAAATCTCTCGTTTCAGTAATATGCCGACGGTAAGCCTTTCCAATCTTTTCTTCTTTCCCCTCGTTCTGGCCCGAGCTCGACCTTACACAAAGCTGCCCGCATTCCCAGCCGCCTCCATGCCACACGCGCCTTGGGCCGCGTGTGTACTACCTGTGGCGCTCGCCCACAGCCAGCCACACGGAACACCCCTAGTCTTCCTTTTTTTAAACCCTCCCTGATCTCCTTACTTACCGTTAGCCTGATATCTGTTGGCCCTTTTTGTTGAAAATTGAATGGATTATCTTCATTAGGAAGTACATGTGTCTCCGGTCGTCAGCACAGTTGACTAAATCACTTGCCACTATTCCTTCTTTTTTCTTCATCTTTTGTGCACGTTGGCCGAGATCTGGAAAAATATGAAGAAGAAACAAAGGGCAGCTGACCCATCGTCTCCTTGGCATTTTCGGCAGCAGCATTTCAAGGTCGGCCATCCGCCGCCCTATAGCGACGTCATAACGCAGCAGGAGCAGCAGCAGCCCTGCAGCACCGTCAGCGATGACGACGACCGCCTCGACGACGATCTCAGCAAAGTCCCGGCTTACAGGGATGTAGATGAAGACGCAGAAGAAGGATTATTTAGTGAGGCCGGGCAGCATCCGAATATGCAGTACCCCTCGATGACCAGGACTCAGCAGCGAAGGCATCGCAACACCAGCTGGAGAACGGCTATGGGGCGCCGGTGCAGAAGGAGTTGCGACGTTTCGCTAGCACGGTGCCTCGTTGGGTGCGCCGTCGCAGGTGTTTGGCTGTGGTTGTGGTTGAGGTGAGTCTTTCGACGGCGTTGTTACAGTGGGATTTTATGTAGAGAGATTCCTTACTGGCGCTCATTCCGAGTGCGCCGTCTATCAAAAGTTTTGATTCTATTTCTCCTGGCCTCGGCCATCATTTGCATCTTTTACCTTGTGCAGCCGGTTTCTCTATTCTCCTCCACACGCCACCCTCCTGAGTTTTCCTGGTTCCTGCGATATTGCCACTTCACCCGCAACCGCTTGATGAGCATTACTTTGATCAACACCACTCCTGAAGTTAGTCGCAAAATGCGCGCAGCATCGCTGAAACGACAATCAACGCCAACACCTCTGTCTTCGCAGCACAGTCGCAAGCGCAAGCCAGCACCACCACCTTTGTCCAAAGTACGTTGCTATGTTTTCTCTGCTCCCAGCAATACCTTCTCGCCCACTATCCTCACCAGGCAAGTCTTCTCACTTCACGTCCATGCTCTAGGCTGGGTTAAGCTGGCAATACATGCACACGCATGAACCCGCTCTATATATGGAAGCCGTTCTGAAAGAGCTCTAGACAATAATAAGCCGCTACACCCGTCCGCTGCACGCGTACCCGTCCACGAGCCCAGCCCTGTCTGCGGCACTCCAGTGCTGCGAGCGGTAAGGCTTATCAGCCCAGAAGCATGGCCTCATCTGCGCTTTCCATCCAAGTTCCGATCGTTTGCGAAGTAGGGCTTGGCGCGAGCTGAGGGAAGGCGCAGCACCATGGCTCCTTCTCCAAAGGTCTGGGCAGAGATGCATATGTATCTTCACGCCCTCCGCCGAAATTCCCCCCCTTTCTCTCTTCGTTCGCTCGCATGCCTCCGCTCACCCGCCCACTTCACCACTGCCGCATCGGCAACCGGCATCTCTGCCCCAACACCCCCGACCTGCTTCTTTCGCTCCCGAGGCCACGTCCTAAACTAAGTCTTCTCACTTTATTCTCCATGCTTTGGGTTGAGTCAACAAGCACGCAGGACGAGTACCATCCTGAAAGAGCTCGAAAACATGGTAAACAGCTGCACCTGTTTGCTGCACTCACACGCATCCGCGCTCTTTCTACATGGGTAGCCGAATCCAATGTCTGGGCATGTTTGCCTGGATTCAAGACTCTAACGTAGGTAGCTGAACCCAGACTCGACTGGCCCCAAAATGTTAATGCCGAAACCCCACACAGCAACTATGCCACACGGAGATGGTTTGACGCACTAGCATTTCGAATGATCGCTGACACTTGTTTCGTTCCAGCTGAACTCTAGAACATGGATACGACAAGCCGGGGCAACCCTGGATGTGCTCGCAGAGAAATGCTTTGGGAGGGATCGACCGCCTGTCTGCCTTGCGAATGCGCCCGCGAGGCGTACCGTGGGGCGATGCGGAGCAACCAATTTGCAAAGTTCGAAACGATGAAGGGATGTTGGCGATCGCCATGGTTCCAGAGACACATTTCGATGTTGAGTGCACCGAAGGGAGAAAGAAAGGTCACTACCTGACACGGGTTGTCAGAAAAATGTGGTATTTTGGGAACCAGCATCCCTCGGCATTTTGCGCAGAACAATCCGATGCTCTCCACGACGGCAAAGGTGGGAAATGCCATGCGACGAAGTGGTGCGGAACGTCGGTTTATTTGAGGGGCGCAGATCATGGAAAGCAAGGTGCTCGAGATGGTCGGGCGGCATTTCGTGAATCGTGCCTTGCTCACCAGGCCGGCCGATGCCGCTCGCTAGTGTGGGCAGAATGATGGCTGGTTTCTTTGCATCCCGCTGTCCCCTGTTGCGTGATATATGGCTGGTTGGGTCAGGGCTGGCGCCGAAACGGCCAACTGCTCGAGAGGGTGGTTGGCGCCTAGTGCTGGGTAAGTACGTAGCCATCTGGCACAGCCTCAACCAACACGGCTGCATCCGTCGATCGAACGAATTTATCTCACCTTCTTCTCGCCCGGCCCACACCCCGCACTGTTGCCGCGATCCAGCCTCGTGTTCTGCGCGATTTCTCGGCGCACGTCGTCGAATCACTTCACCTGCACTGTCCGGCCCCGCGGCTAGGCGTCCAACCGAGGCATTTCCATGTCGAGCTTGAGACGACGGACGCCGCCTGCGGTTTCCGCGGACGTTATGGCGGTCGATCGCTCCCGAGCTGAAGCTTTTTAGTCCTTGGCCCGGGCCAACGCCATTTGCGTCAACCTCTTCCTCTCTACCAATAGTGCATGCGCGTCAATCGTCCCGCAACCATCCTATTGGGGGCCGGCAAACCCCTCACGTCCCGCCGAGTCGTACATCCCTCCGAGTGGTCGACCAAAGCCATGGGCTGACCACATCACGCGAAGCTACTAAAAGCTTCGCCTTACCCTATCTTAGTCCGTCCGATCCATCCTGGGCCGCACTACTCCAAACACACAGTTTATCATCCCCCGGCATCCCTCCCCATCCCCGAGAAGACAGAGTTTCCTTTTTCTCGCTCCCCATGTCCACCTCCTCTCCCAACCCAACCCAACCCTTCTCAAACAAACCCACCACCACCACCATGCCCACCATGTCCACCACCACCCCACCACCAGCCTCAACACCAAAATACCACCCCCTCCTCTCCCCCATTTCCTCCTCGTCCTCCCCGCCCAGCCCCAGCACCAAAACCAGCTGCAGCACCCCCTCCCCTCCCCCCCACTTCGCCGCCGCCTTCCCCCCCTCCAACCCCAGCTACAGCACCAATCACCACGCCGCCGCCTTCGCCGACGTCGCCTCCGCCACCACAGTCGACCTCGAACTCGAGCCCTTCTCCGGCGCCGCCGCCGAACGCCCCGATCTCCACCCCCACCCGCACCCTCCTTCCGCGTCCCTGGCCCGCCAGTACCACCGCCGCCAGCACCGGCGCCGCTACGTCAGCCCCGTCCACCGCTTCTGCCGCGTCTTTGCGCTCGTCGCCGTGTGGGGCAGCATCGCCGTGTTGGCGGTCGCGCTGATCCTGTTTACGAGTTATAGGGCGATGATGGTGTTGAGCGGGAAGGGGGCGGGGGAGGGGGCTGGAGGGGGAGCTGGATCGGGAGGGGGAGCGGGAGGTGGGCATGGGGGTGGGGGAGGGGGGCGGCATGGGGGTTGGTATGGGGGGCATTGGTATGGTGGTGGGGGTGGGGGTGGTGATGCTGGTGGTAGGGGTGGGGGGAGTTGGTTTGCGTTGAGTGGATGAGGTGACTGACTGGATGGAAGGGAAGGAGTGTGTGGTGCATGTGATGTCAGTTGAGTGAGTTTCTTTTTTTTTGGTTTTTTTTTTTTTTTTGGTTTTGTTTGCTTCGGCGGTGGGGAAGGGGAAGGTGTTTTGTTGCTGATTGAGACTGTGTTGTTGTTGTTAAAGGGGATGATGGGTGTACAGAGCCGGCTGACTTCTTGTTTGCAGTTTGGATCCTGACCACGACCACTACTACTGCTGCTGCTGCTGAGAGTCTCCACTCTGCTTCACGATGCCGCCCGGCTATTGTGGGGACGAGCGAAAAGAGCTGGCTCTGACGCTTCGTTCCCCTCCCTGGCAGCTGCGGCTCATCGACCCCGCTGGCTCTCCTTCCCGTCGCCGATCGTTGTATTGGGTCATGGGGGGACATCGAGAGACTGCATATACGACTTGAACGAAGAGCAAGGAAGAAGGACACAACGTGGAAGAGATGGGAAAGTCGTAAACGCGTACACAACATCGTTGTGATCATATCCTGGCGACGTGGTGGCCACTCGGCTCAAGGGCATCTTCAACGAGGAGACTGTCTCCATTCATCGGGAGCTTGAATCCTTCCGCAACTACTACGTCTCACACCTTGATGGGCGTGGAATTCCCTACTCAACCCAGTGGTCGATGATAGGCAATTTACCAGGTACTCGAGTCTCACTGGTGCCACTGCGCTTAGGAAAGACGCTGAAGGGGTTCGTTCTTTGGTGGACAGGCGGCCGAGTTCCTTGACAGCATACTGTATTCTTAGATTCAGTTCTTCCTTTGCACATTTGTTTCTACGTTGGAACAACTGCCGGACCGTCTTAGCGTTGTATCCTATGAGAATCGCAGTACTGTCCATGTAGACATTCAAAGCCAGACTTCAGACATAGACGTTGAATTGACAGGCACAGTAAAGAAAAGAAAAGAAAGACACGACCGAAGAAGTCGGAAATCGAAGTGAAAATGTTGCGACATATTGTGGATCTTTTCGCAAAATTCGTGGCGGTTTACCCCTGCC